TGTTGACATATATTAGTCAAATTGCCACAAATATGACTTTTAACGAGTCAAAGTATTGTATTTTTAATATATGTATCCATTCTCTAGCAACGAAAGTTCGTTTCAATGCTTCAAAAGCGGTAATCTGACCGTGGTTGCTGTATCTCTTCACACACGATTTCACCTAACTTAATGAAAACAATATTAAATTAAATTTTGAATAAAATTAATAAAATATATTGCAAACATAAGTCCAGATATACAATGAACACGTTTTAATAACAAGATAGTATAATATTTGTATTGAATTGCGTACTTCAGTTTGGATTTGCTGACTGGTATTTTCGGTGTTATGTGCTTGCGGTGATCAGCTGATAATGTTTATTGAGATGGGGAAAAACATCTGTCGGTGTAATACCTAAGCTTATTAAAAATGTAAGTACGTTTTTGGGAGCCATGCGATAGAGCGCGCTACAACCAATTAAAAGGCACAATAGCGAGGAAACCCTGTACTTGAGATTTGCGTTCCTTATCGTGGCGTATCGATAAATGGGCCCACGTTTATCGTATACCATTCGTGGGTCAAGTATCGCGATGCACAGGAATATCGGTGTATCGTTTCACCCTTAGTTCAAATACAGTGGGTAAAAGGATTGACTTTTCTCTCTAAATATCAATGCAATCCCCTGGAATATATCTTTATGAAACTGCATGATACTGCAATGTAATGCATCAATAATGTTTTGCATTCATCTCTTTTGAGTGTTTCTGACTGATTTTTCTCTATTAAATGATATCTGTTTTTTACAAGTATGACGGGATTGTCGAGATAAAGGTGCCTTGTCCTGTTGTATGTAGGTGCAGTAATGTGAAACACATCCTGGGTCAGAGGGTATGGTGTTCATCTTCCCCTGTTGCAGCTCACACTGTTCAAGCTTGGGTTGGTTATAACAGTGTACACGACCCACTTACCAAAGTTTGCATTGATGTGTGTGAATTGAATAGTGATAAGAGACATTTTCATGCAGTGAATGGTGATCTGCCGTAAACATTGTTCAGTCAGCCATACATTTATGTGTGTCCACCTGCTGTGAAGAACATGTTGTTATATATGTTGAAAGCAAAAGTAATTTACATGTTTACTACTTCAAATCGTTTGCATCCTTGTAATAGCGTTGAATTTGCAAGTCCATAATTGTGATGGACCAAAACACCAGTTTACCAGCTTGAAGGTATGGTATGACACATCCTGTCTGCTTGGACAGCATCAGAAATTGGCACAAGACCTGTAGTCCTTGCCAAACTGCCCAAATGGGGCAAAATGGCAGGTAACCATGTTCTGAAATGCAGATGGTCAAGGTCAATACCGGTGTTGGGATCACATTGTGCTTCCAACATGTATACAGGGTGGTGGAGTAGCCAACTGATTAAAGCTTAGCTCGTCCCACCGAAGACCCGGGTTTGTTTCCCCACATGGGTACAATGTGTAAAGCCAATTTCTGGCGTCCCCTGCCATGGTATTGCTGGAATATTGCTAAACGCACTGTAAGACCATACTCACTCACTCACTCACCCACCCACCCACCCACCCACCCACCCACCCACTCACCCACCCACTCACTCACTCACTCACTCACTCACTCACCCGAACATGTATACAGGGAATATGTGCCGGCATGCGCTCATAAACTCAACATTCCTGTTATTTCTTTATAAATATACTACTAAAAAGAACTTAAAGAACACTTGATTCTTTCATATTTCTATAGTTAATCTTTCATACACACATTTCCTGTCAAATTTGATTGGTAAGTATTAACATACATTTTCTGTCTCCTGTTTCAGAGACTCAGTTTATAATGCATTTATTATTATTATTACCTTTTTACAAACGTGACATCACAAGTACCTCAGACAATGGTATTGTTACTTCACAACCCTTGCTGGGAATAGATATAGACTTTGCACAACAAATTTTAAGTCACCAATATGAACCAATGCAGTTTACAATCCTAGACTGAAAGTCTAATTGTCAAATATACGGTGAATTCCCATTTGGTCGCACAGAAAGGCAACACGTAATGACCCTAATGTTAAAAGTGCACTGAGTTGGGGGTCCCTAGGTTCAAATACCATACAAGACTTCAAGGACCCCAGGCCCCCCTTAATTTTGAAAACTGGAACCGATGGTGATACCGGTACCCATCGGGAATGGGTGAGTGAGTGAGTTAAAATTTATCTTTGCATCAGCATTATTTCAGCCAAGTAGCTGTGTGTACAAGTGCGTCACGAATACATTACCATATTTTCTTGAGTGTGGTGAACATTTATTTAAAAAACCAACAACACAGCTGTGTAGAAGTGGGTGCGCATAATGAGTTTTGATGTTCCTTCTTCACCACCAACACCGACCCCACCACCACACACACGCATGCACGTGCCGATGCCAATACATTACCGTGAGCACGTAACACTGGAAATACGCAATAAAAACTTGTATTGACACTGTCTGGTTATAAAAAGTGTTCACTGTATATCTGGACTTCTGTTTGTAACCTATTTCATTCATTTTATTCAAAATTTCATTAAATATTGTTTAAAAAATCCAGAATGGGTCCCCAGAAACAAATGGTTGGGAATAATGTGTGACTTGGCTAAATTTTGTCATTTTATCCAGATTGTCAGACAAGCTATGATACACTTATTGCCCGGACAATGTTCATTGATTTTGATGGTGTCATAATAGAGGTGGAATATTGCCAACCAGCAAATTACAACATTCATGCATTCTCTCACTGATGTGGATCAACAGCTTTGATCGATACCATCATTCAGTGGCAGTCATTCTGGACAGTGTGTGTCACTTGTGAAGATCCTATTCAGCAACCCATGCTTGTCTTAAAAAGCGACTGCTTGTCGTTAGAGGCCACTACCAGGATCAGGTGGTCAGGCTTGCTGACAAGTACATTCTACCTGTATGTGAACATCTCTAAGCATATTAATGACCTGTCATGACACCACACTTGTGTGTGGTTTGTTTTATGCAGTCCTCGGTACTGTTCTTATCTTGCACCTGATAGTGCACAGATAAGCAATATTTGATCTGCAAGATTTGTTTCTGGCTGTGCTTTAGGCAGGTACAACATGGGTGTTTTTAATAAAGGACATGCTTGTTGTAAGAGGCAACTAAGGGGATCGGGGGTCAGGCTCGCTGACTTGGTTGATGCATGTCATAATATCCCATTTGCGTGGTTCGATGCTCATGATGTCAATCACTGGATTGTCTGGTGCCGTCTACAGACCGCCGTCATATAGCTGGAATATTGCTGAGTGCGGGGTTAAACAACAATCAAACAAATCTATGAAGGACACACATTGGAAGAACAAGTTCTTAAACATACTGTGTTGCTTTACATATTAATGAGAACATTGAACCCAGCTTATGTTTCAAGCCTCAAGTGAATGATTGTCTTGACACAGCGATGTGGGGTAATAAGAAAATATTCAATTTCGGCTTGTCTCTTCTTTCTGGTTTGTAGTGTTTCCTTTTTACGAGAAACAGTCCATCTGAGCAGCCACATCTTAGACAGGTTAAGGTCGTCTTTGTAAGTGTTGGGTGGTGTTTGGGGCTGGAATTGTCAGTCCAGGCACATAGCTGCAGTTTCTTCAGGTCTTGTTGATCACTTTCTGCATCAAGTCTGTAGGATCCCAGCAAAATAGCATTACTCTGTTGAGTGGGACACCAGTGCCATCAGTAAAGTTTGGACAATGTATGGTGAAACAAAACAGCAATTTGACTGATTTTGAAAATACTTGTCATGAGTGATTGAATGAGTTTGGTTTAACGTCACATGAGAGCTTTCGGATTTCAGTTATTTCATAGCTTTTCCGCCTAATGTGAGAGGAAAGGTTAAAGTGATGTTGATTTTAAAGTACTGTCTGAAATGCTAGAAAATTTGACTGATTTTGAAAATACTTGTCATGAGTGATGGAATGAGTTTGGTTTAACGTCACATGAGAGCTTTCGGATTTTCAGTTATTTCATAGCTTTTCCGCCTAATGTCAGAGGAAAGGTTAAAGTGATGTTGATTTTAAAGTACTGTCTGAAATGCTAGAAAATGCTTCTTGCCCATGAAAACAAGGTAGACTGTTGCTATTGAAATATCAAGTAACTACCAATCTACCTACCTGTGGTTTGAAGTATTTCAGTCACAAGGAGTCCTATCGCCCATCTTACAGTAGACAAATTTGAACAAAAACAGCATGTTCAGATTTATTCTAAGTCCAATGTACGTGTGACTCCGTTATAAACATAAAAATGCAGTCTGTGCAAAAGCACAGGCCAGTGTGAAGTCATCACCTTGTGATTGGTGTTGGGTAATTACCTCAGGCTATAGGCATGACAACACACGACTATTTTGTAAGTTTATCATCATTTTTTCTGTAAAGGTACGTTTTCAGGCTAATCACAGTGTCAGCTAGATTAGGTACATTTGTGTTATTTTGAAATGCTATTTTATAAGCCCTATCATTCATATTTATTAATTTATAAAGCCAGAAAAGCATTTTTCTAGCATTTCCAACAGTACTTTAGATTATATATGCCACTTTATAAGTTGATTTAATGTTTTTGTTGTGATCTCGTCATTCCCTCATGACTGAATGAAGCTCCTTCATCAGTGATTTGTTTTTCTTTATTTTGTCCCCACATTACTATTAAATAATATTATCATTTATGTTGTGTACTGCTGTGTAAAGCGATAAGCTCCAAAATGAAGTAAACATTTGATAGCTGAAACTTCAAGGTCATATCTCAAGGTCATATGATTGACTGCAGGTAATATGGTGACAGGTATGAAACATCATAACCACCTGCACATACTTTTAGTTTTAGAAAAATCCTTTGGATGATCTTAGTTTTATTTCTGTGTGCATCTTAAGTTTGTTGATAAAGACATCAATGTACCCTAGACACTAGTCTGAAATTTGACTCTCTTTAATGTTGCTGATATTTCTTGCAGTCCTCCTAGAAAACGTGGAGGTCGTAGACGTCAAACAAAGAAGGCAGACTCACCTCCTTCCAAGTCCCTAACCAGATCGTCCCTACGCCGTGCTCACAAGAAATCTCCCACCCCATCGCCATCAGCATCATCAGCTTCAGATGAGTCCTCACCAGAAGAAACTCCAGTCAAAAGCAGCAGAGGCAAAGGTCGGGGAAGGGGAAGAGGTAAAGGTCGTACAAGCAGGAGAGGAAGGCCAAGGACAATCTCAGGCTCCAGGTCTCCATCTCCTTCACCTTCAAAGGTAAATCGCACTAGTCATGACAGTTCCTGTTAGGTATCAGATGTAGTTGTCCAAGGCTTTCTAATATTTAGTGATCCTTTTAGGGACATAGTGGAGAAGAATTTTCGAGCTTCAAGCTTATGGTTAATAGGGTTATTCTCTGGCGTTGAAGTATATGTTAGGCTATACATTTTGTATTTCGATTGGCTGAAGAGACTTTGTCTTGGTCAGCCCATTGTACTGAAGACACCACATAAGAATGTGTGTCAACAGATAACATGTTCAGTCAAGACAGAAAATATGACATATGACTTTACAATGCCAAGGGCCACTTCCCAAATGAAAGAAACCGAAAATAAACCTGAATCAGAATGAAGCAAAATTATTGACGCTCTATTGGTAATGTTTTTGTTTTTGCAAAAATTGTCATTTTATTTTTCTATTGCAGGAGAAAGTTGAAGTGATAGCTGAAAAAGAAACACCCCCTGAGCCAGAAACTAAAAGACCTCGTAGAGGAAGTAGTCGCAAGGCCGCAGTGGCAGCGGCTGTAGCTGTTGCAGCAATAACAGTTGAGGAACCAACCAGAGAAGAGCCCCAACTTCCCATTGAGAAGCTTGACAAACCAGCTCACAAAACAAAAGAAGATCCTCGGGAAAAGACCCCAGACAAGAAAACTGCAAAAGACAAAACAGATGCTGAAATTGTGAAAACTGCGAAAGACCAAAAAGATGCAGAGATTGTGGAGTCCAAAGGAGAGAAAAAATCTGATCCGGTGGAAGAAAAGAGACCTATGTCCCGAAAGGACTATATCAAACGCTCCATTGCTGAACCTGCCTCAGAGCCAGTGAAAGTGAGTGTTACTGCCGAGTTGAAACCTGAGCCTAAGCCTGAGCCTAAGGCTGTGCCCCAGGAACAGAAGAAGACCGAAGATAAGCCTCCAGCACCCTCGACGCCAAACAAGACGCCAAACAAGACATCTGTAGATGTAAAAGACAGTTCAGCAGATGATAAAAGTAGGGATCGTGAGGAGGAGAAATCGAAAGAGGATCCTGCTGAGAAAGAAGTACCACAAAAGCGGGGCAGAAGATGGGGGCGCAGGTCTTCCCAAGAATCTTCAAAGCCAGAAGTGATTGAATCCCCTAAAGCACCAGAGCCAAAATCTCATACAGAAAAAGATAAGCAGCCTGAAAAAGAAGCCAGCTCTAAATCCAGTGTCGGGCATAGCTCAAAGCAAGGTGAACCGGAAACTAAGGCCCAAGAAAAACCAAGTGATGATAATGAAAAAACAGGAAGGAAAAGTCGATGGGGGCGACAGAAAGATTCTCTGCCAAAGCCTGATGTGACAGAGACTCCAAAATCTGAACAGTCACAACTCAAAGCAGGAAGTGATGAAAGGACTGACTTGAGAAGCAAGGATGCAAGTTCCAAGTCTGAGAAAGATTCCATTTCTAAATTGGAGGAAAAGTCTGGTTCTAAGTTGGAGAAAGAGCCTAGCTCCAAATCAGAGAAAGGACCTAGTTCCATATTGGAGAAAGAGCACAGTTCTAAATTAGGTAAAGATCCCGGGTCTAAATCAGAAAAAGAACTCTGTTCTAAATCAGAGAAAGAGACCAGTTCTAAATCAGAGAAAGAGACCAGTTCTAAATCAGAGAAAGAACTAAGTTCTAAATCAGAGAAAGATCCTACTTCTAAATCAGAGAAAGAGACGAGTTCTAAATCGGGGAAAGAGACGAGTTCTAAATCAGAGAAAGATCCCACTTCTAAATCGGAGAAGGAGACGAGTTCTAAATCAGAGAAAGAACTCAGTTCTAAATCAGGGAAAGAGCCTAGTTCTAAATCGGAGAAAGATCCCTCTTCTAAATCGGAGAAAGAACTCAGTTCTAAATCAGAGAAAGAGCCTAGTTCTAAATCAGGAAAAGAGCCTAGTTCTAAATCGGAGAAAGATCCCTCTTCTAAATCGGAGAAAGAACTCAGTTCTAAATCAGAGAAAGAGCCTAGTTCTAAATCAGGGAAAGAGCCTAGTTCTAAATCGGAGAAAGATCCCTCTTCTAAATCGGAGAAAGAACTCAGTTCTAAATCAGAGAAAGAGACCAGTTCTAAATCAGGGAAAGAGACCAGTTCTAAATCGGAGAAAGAACTCAGTTCTAAATCAGAGAAAGAGCCCACTTCTAAATCAGAGAAAGAGCCTATTTCTAAATCAGAGAAAAATTCCAAATCTCAGCAGGAATCTAGACCCAATGTTGAGAAAGAGTCCAGTTCAAAACCTGAAAAAGAGCCAAGCTCCAAACCTGAAAAAGAGCCTTGTTCTAAACCCGAGAAAGAAACTAGTTCTAAATCGGAGGAGCCTAGTCCTAAATCAGAGAAAGAGATTAGTTCTATATCAGAAACAGAGCATATTTCTAAATCAGGGAAAAATTCAGGTTCTAAATTGAAAGAACACCCTAGCTCCAAACTGGAGAAAGAACATAGTTCTAAGCTTGAGCAAGAGCATATGTCTAAGCAAGAGGCAGAATCTCAAGTTCAGGAAAAGCTGAGCAAAGACAGTGACAAGCCAGAAAGGAGAAACCGCTGGGGACGTAAATCTTCCAAAGACACAGATTCTGTGGAAGCTGAGGCTACCTCAAAACCAGGGACCACTGCAGATAGTAAGACAGATGAACATGCAAAAGGTGACAAAGGCCTTGAGAAATCTTCAAGAACCACTGAGTCTGGTATTAAGGTATCTGAGAAAGAAAAGGCCGTGGAAGAAGTTGAGAAAACTTCAAAGAGAAATCGTTGGGGGGCACAAAATCCGGCCGGTGACACTCCTTCAAAACCAAAATCATCAGAAAGTGATGCACCATCTGAATCTCAAAAATCAGAAGTAAAGAAGACTGTTTCTGGTGCAGAACCTCCAAAATCAGATTCAGGGCAGAAAGAGAGTACTGTTAAACCGCCAACCCCAGAAGCAAAGGACTTGCCAGAAAGCAAGAGTGCGAAGAGTGAGGAAATGTCGTTAAGTAGACGTTTTGGCTCCAGAAAACCATCAGATGATTCCAAATCTCAGGAGAGTAAAACCAGCGAACAAGAGGACATGGAAAAACCCGCAACTAAAACTAGACGATGGGGATCAAGATCTTCCAAAGATTCCAGTTCAAGGTCGGAAGAAACCGTTGCTGAAGCCGATTCATCAAAAACTGAAGAGAAAGAACAAGAAGCAGAAAAGATTATACCTAAAGCTGTGGAACAGACAATTCAGGACAAACCAGCAGATTCAACTTCACCGAAGAGAGCCGACTCCCCAACCAGGAGGGGTCGGAGATGGGGTGCCAGGAAAACCGATGCACCAAAAGATGCAGCCGAGTCCAAGAAGGAAAAGGTGGAAGAACCTGAAGCCACAAGATCAGAGAAGCCAGATTCAACAGAAGATTTGGACAGGAGCCAACCGAATGTTGTTCCTGAGACTGAAGAAGAGAAAGAAGCTGAAGCAAGGGAAGACAAGCAGACGTCTGTGAAGAAGGCTCCATTGACTGTACAGAGTAGGATCAGCAGACGGCAGTCCTCATCATCGGAGGAATCATCGTCTGAGGATGAAGAGCAGAAGGAGAGAGATGGGGAATCCAGTTCAGCGAAGTCCTCGTCGGAGTCGTCATCCGAGAGTGAGGAGTCGGATGATAAGAATGATGATGAGGATGAACGTAGTAAAGCCATGTGAGTGTTTACTATTTAGTGGGTGTTGTATATTTTTTTAACACCAACGGATGGCACATGCATGTATGAGATCCATTTTGTCAACCGATGGAGATAATGTCAAGTGAAGGTATTGAAGGTTATTTTTCACTGAGTGTAACATTTATGTAGAGATGATTTAAATAAGTAGAATATCCCGACCTTACTCTCAAGATATATTTCAATATATAGAGATTATTATACAAGCATGTGTGATATACTGATTTTTTCGAAATGAGTGTCAGAATTCTTGTATTTCCTGAGTGAGAATGGGGGAAGTGCATGAATTTTTACGTGAATTTCATAAAATCAGTGTGACACACATGTGAGTGTAATAATTTCTTTATTACCCATTATTTCTTATTCCTTTTGAGCTCCCTTTTAGAAAAATGCAGTGATCACCACCGCTGTCCTTGAAAACCACAATTTGTCAAATGATGTCGTCGTTTCTCTTGTGACGTCATGCGTCCTTATATCACAATAAGATTTGAATGACGTCAACAATGCCGTATGGATGACAAAAAACAATACTTTGGTGCGCGAGAAGTGATATTTGCACTAGTTCACTAACACCATTTATGAACTTGGATATTTCTTACCCTATGGGTAATTGTATATTTTGACCTTACTATCAAGATGTATCATAATCAGACCATACTATCGAAATATTTATCACATTGTGACAAATTGTATCATCAGAACCTTATTTTACGCCTGATCTTGTTTTAAAGGGATGCTGAGGAGACGGAAGATTCCGAGAGTAAACGTGAGGCTGACAAGGTAAGAGGAAGGGAGACGAGACGAGACTGGGTAAAGACATGGATGTAAATAAAGTGGGAGGGAGAGGCGTATCTGCTGTCAGATCTGTCATGTTGTTTTTAGTTGCTCGGACACAATGCCCACTTGTTTGTAAGCTCGGGGGATCTGAAACCTTTTCTCCTGTTCTGCATAATTTCTCCTGGATGTCTATGTTTGTGTATTATACAAATGTCTTGAAGGCAGCAACATCTTTGCATGTTATTGGGATGTGAAATAGGATTTCACAACTGTTGCAGCTGACTGCTGTCCATGCCGTTGATGACATTTGATATAAGCAGCTGATGTTTTTTTCCACACATTTCGAATTCCATCTCAAATTGTCCACGATTCAGTGCATGCATATGAATACTTTTTAGTTTTTAGTTATCATAAGACATAATTCTAACGTTATCTTCCAAGTTGTTGCCTGGGCATTGTGTAATGGATTTGAGTTGCTTCTAAGTTGTTCTTGTCAAACTTATAAACATTAGGCCTCTCCCATGATTTCATGACATGCTATTACCTCTGCTATCTCACGTGTACGTTAGAAAAGGGAGGTAACTACGTCCAACTGGGAGACACGGGGAATGATGCAGCTTGCCAAACATACATTGCGCCCGGATGCCAGACTCCCATATCACTTTGGCCACGTCCCTGACCTTTACCGCCTAGTAGTTGCCATGGTTACCTGAAGCCATCACCCGGTTGTTGCTACCCTGTAGCTTGTGACTTAAAATAGCCTTGAATGGTCTGTGTTACAAGACTTCAGACTGAGGATGTGGTGTGATACGTGACAGACCGATATGTCTTCCTGACAAAAAGCCCATGAGCTTATATTGAAGTCACGACAGGAATCTGAAATGTTTTAAAGTCGAAGCTGACACCACTATGCAAAACATGCATAATGAACAAGTGTGTGAAATTTGGGTCTGAAAGGCTTGTTTGGAGTTGTTCTGTTGTGACAAGAAAACTGGAAAGCAAACAATTATCAAACATTTATTGAGTGTCTTCAAGCATGGTGGTTGTATCTTTGAGGTGAATGAAGAGCTATTGCAGAAGGCCAAAGGTCATTGACATGTGTTGATTCGTGTTCTGCAAGACGACATTAAGAGGACACTTTCAAAAGATTCCATGTGTCAAGCCTTAGTTGTGGAGACCCATCTGTCAATATATGCAACTTGAAACTGTCGACAAACTCTGCATTTGTATCTTCTCTGTGTATCCTCAGGCTTAAAGAATTGAGTGATGGGCTAGATGCCCAATATTTGTTGCCTAGGAGAAGTGACTGAGCTGTGGAAGAAAATCATGAAGTTTGTACTGACTGTGATCCAGCAAAAATGTGAAGAAATGGTTGTGCTGGAACCGTGTCCTGATTGAGGTGAAAGTGATGTCACCACGGAGGGTTATTGCTGGACCCTTAGCTTGAGACATTCAGCTGTTTTTGAAGATTGAGCAAAAGACTTTGCAAAGCCACACAGTCCAGGTGGTGACATCATTCTGCAGCTCGAGACCCAAACAGGAGGGTATGTTTCAGTGTTCCTTTCCTGTGTGAACATTCAGCAATTTATGTGACTCAACTACCAAAAGTTCCCCGAGTCCAACACAAGTTGTGATCTTCAGTGTGTGAGAGAGGGTTATTGACCTAGAAGACTGTTAGCAGTTCAAAGACATGTTTTAGAGAAATTGATGGATTCACAGTAATGTTTGATGCTTCATGAAAGGCCATCACTCGGGGCCTGGGTGAAAGAGACCATTGACGCAATGTTGTGATCTGTCATTACTGCTTCGTCTGTCAGGGAAGTGGAAAGAATACTGCTTCATCTCTGGAGAGCAATGCTTTGTCTTACAGAGAAGTGAATAGAACTTGCTTGAGAAGTGAAACTTTCAAACTGTTCCTGAACATTTCTGAGAGAAAACAGACCCTAATGTCAAACAATGATGTCGCTTGTCATACATCATGACAATCAATGAACTTTCCTGAAAGATTCCATGGCTGAAATCAATATGACTGAAGAGCTGTCGCAGCTAATAGATGTCTTAACCTACAAGGCGAGAAAAAAGCGAAGCCGAAAACGAGTCTGGCAACCAACATTTGCCCCATAATCCCTTGGTCTTTTGTGTGTAGCTTGAGATCACTCAGTATATATGTGGGCAAGAATACAGCCATCACAAGTGACCACTGGTATTTGAATGTTCAGATATTACGTACAGTCCAGCTCTATCGCCTGTCATAGTTACATGGTGGATAGATATAACTTGGACCAGACTGCTTTGCTTAAACCATTTGGCCCATTTTTGAATAATGAAAGACATTTGATTTCACAAAACTCCCCCAAATATTGATATAATTTCAGAAAAGTTATTTAACTACCTACCATGTAGCATGAAATGTAATCACAGTTCTTGCTTTCAGAGATACCAAATGAAAAGTGCCTTATTTCAGTGTAATATTGTGTAAAATGGGATACCGTCAGATATAAGATGAAAGCAGCTAATTGTTGAAAAGAAAGTAGTGTTCTAGTACATATATATGTTCAGTATCAAAGCTTTAAGACCTGATCAGGAATTCAAGTTGTATTCCACTGAGATGTTGCAAGGTGCTTTTCTGGATCGAAAGAAAAATATCTTTAAGATGGTATATCTTACGGTTTTGACCAACAGTCGTACATTTGACAGATCTGACAAATCCTAATCGTTTTGTAAATCACACTGACCTGATATTCAGTAACTGTTTGGTAAGTGTTATCCATTTATGACTATGTTTCTGCACTCCTTGCATTGTCTGAAGTGTATGGGGTAAGTCTGGTGCCAGTGACTGACCAGTGTTTCAACATTTGGCCTGGATATTACAGGCAGAGGCGGCGAGGAAGGCAGCAGCCGTGGCAGAAGTGGTGGTGCCCCCTCGACGAAGAAATCTACTCTCCAGTTCCAATAAAGGTTCTTAACTTGCCTCTTGCTGCAACTTCCAAAGGAAATCAGTCTTTCCAATGTTGGGGTTGGGTGGACAAGTGGTGAGGCAGTGCAATTCACAATGCAGCGTTGCATTCCCTAGTCATTGCAGGATCCTATTTTAAGGGGTTTGATCCAAGGTTTATAGTTATCAGCGCCATACCGTACTCAAGGGTAATTATGAAAGTAAATAAATGAAATTTTAACGTAACAATTTAATGCCTGAAAATACCTTTACATGTTTGTAAACTTCAGATACTTTGACAGCTTAGTATTTATGAAACATTCCAGTCAGTGTCCTCCAACTTCCAATAAACCTTTTAGGTAGTGTATGGTCCTTCATGACCTCAAAATTGATCCTGATGAATCGATGCTCATGATGTCAATCACTTTATTGTCTGGTCTAGACTTGATTATTTACACAGACCGCCGTCATATAGCTGGAATATTGCTGAGTGTGGCGTTAAACAACAAACTAACAAAGTTACTTACCCACACCACAAGTCCAGTATTGGCACATTTGGACAAGAGTCCCTTGATATTGTTGACACTGTTTGGTCAGTGATCTGTTGTTGATGTAAGGAAGGTGGTGTGTTGGTCAGTGATCTGATGATGGTCATTTGCCTGATGATGGTCAGTGATCTGATGATGGTCAGTTGCCTGATGATGGTCAGTTGCCTTATGATGGTCAGTGATCTGATGATGGTCAGTTGCCTGATGAGGGTCAGTTGCCTGATGATGGTCAGTGATCTGATGATGGTCAGTTGCCTGATGATGGTCAGTGATCTGATGAGGGTCAGTGATCTGATGAGGGTCAGTTGCCTTATGATGGTCAGTTGCCATATGATGGTCAGTTGCCTTATGATGGTCAGTTGCCTGATGATGGTCAGTGATCTGATGATGGTCAGTTGCCTGATGATGGTCAGTGATCTGATGATGGTCAGTGATCTGATGATGGTCATTTGCCTGATGATGGTTAGTGATCTGATGATGGTGTTGTGTTTCAGGCAATGAGGACAAGTCGGAGGAGAAGGAGAACATGGCAGGGGACCGCCCGATCAAGAAGAGGAAGTGGGGATCATCAAGTGCAAAGTACGCCAAGAAGTCAACCAGTGTTGAGATTTCAACAGATTCACTCAAGGTAACTTGAATTCTAGTTTCGGGGACTGCCTCCGTGGTCTAGTGGTAGAGCGTCCGCCAGGAGAGAAGAAGGTCCGGGGTTCGATCCCCAGCCGCTTCATACCAAAAGACGTTAAAAGATGGTACTTGTTGTTACCCTGTCTGGCACTCGGCATTAAGGGGCTAAAACAAGGACTGGTCGGCTCTGAGTCAGTATACTGTGTCTGAGTGGGGTATTCATGTTACACTGAGGCATGGTATCTCAGTGTGCTCGCACTATAAATCGGCATCAGTCCGGACTAGTGCAAACACACACACACTCTCACACACACACTCTCACACACACACTCTCACACACACACACACACACACACACACACACTCACACTCACACACACACACACACACACACACACACACACACACACACACACACACGTGCATGCACGTCGCGATATAAGTGCAATAATCTTGGACGCGACATTAAACCCCATTTCACCTCACCTCTAGTTTCGGGGTTAAAGGATGTTTGGGGTTTATCTTTGTGAAACTGTTCATGTGGCTGTCAGTTTCAGGGACGGACCTGTTTCCTTTTTTATCCTGAATATTCCTACATGTTTGGGTTGGAGTGTGCCACTGTCCAACACCCTGCAACAGGCTGTGGCAAATTGTCCTTCGTTGTGCCAGGATCTTCTCATCAAGAGTTACGACCCTTGGTCTGTCAGAATCACACCATTTGTCACAGGTTTCACCAAACTTGCAAGCATCTATGTCCTGTTCCAGGTTTGAATAGGTCCCCAGTAACCGGGGCTGTTGGTGAGAGGTGACTTTATGGATCAGATGGTCAGGTGACCTGGTTGATATCGTGTCTTCGTAATATGACAGCATGGTTTGCATATCTTAATATGAATCACTGTATTGTCTGGTCCTTAATCAATTTTCAAAGGCTTCCGTCATACAGCTGACATATTGCTGAGTGTGACGTTAAACAACAAACAAAAAGTGTTTTTTAGCACATTATACTAGCTCTTCATTGGAGAACTGAAGCACATCTCTCTCTCTCTCTCTCTCTCTCTCTCTCTCTCTCTCTCTCTCTCTCTCTCTCTCTCTCTCTCTCTCTCGCTTTGACTTTGACTTTGTTGAGTTTTCTGTTAGATTTTGCCTCTGTTACATGCTTGGGATTCTCCTGGGAAAACATTACAGCCTTTTCAACTTCTGACTTGTGACTATTTGCAGGGTCTGATTGATGATGTGAAGCCGCTGAATGAGCCAGTGTTGGAGCTGGAGGCCGAGGGGGAGTACGGGTCTGAGCCGGAGGAGGACAAGCGGGACATCAAGATCAGGAGGACTGTCGTACAGGTACTTCATACTTCACGATTCCTAAATACACCAGGCAATGTTTTGTTCAGAGATAGGTCCCCAGTACCCCATGGTTGTAACAAATAACTGAGATGGGGATTTGTTGGCTGTGTTTAATGTTGGGAGTCACTTCGAGACAAATGACTGACATTGGAGAAATTCTTACACTTTTTTGCTATTTTATCTTGAGACAATGCGTGTCATAAGAGGCGACTAACAGGATGGTATCCCAATTGCATGGATCGATGCTCATGATGCCAATCACTGGATTGTCTGGTCCAGACTCGATTATTTACAGACCCCCATATATAGCTGGAATATTGCTGAATGCGGCATTAACAACAAAGAACAAAGAACAAAGATAGAGACAATTGTGACAAATAACAAGGTTTCAAAGCATTTGCATAGGCCTTCATGTTTTTGTCAGGTCAGGACTAGGTACAATAATGGCTAGAGTATTGATGCACACCTCTGTCAGGGATTCAGAGGCAGAGTAGTTCTCGACTCCCCAGTATTGTTGATCTAAGAATGAGGGTGGTGACACTTGAACTGACTCTGGCTGTGGTTGATGTTGCAGGTGGTGAAGGATGAGGAAGGCAAAGGGGAGGACACGCGCCACACTTTGCTGGAAACAGACAACAACAAGACAGAGGAGGAGAAGGAGAAGGTTAAATCTGGTAAGATGACATGCTCCTACCTACACCCTCTCACAGGCTTTCCTAGGGATTGAGGGGTTGTCGGGTAGCCTAGTGGTTAAAGCGTTCGCTCGTCACGCCGAAGACCCAGGTTCGAATCCCGACATGGGTACAATGTTTGAAGCCCATTTCTGGTGTCCCCCATTGTGATATTGCTGGAATATTGCTAAAAGCGGCGTAAAACCAATCTCACTCACTCACTCCTGGGGATTGATTTAAATTATTCTTGAAAAGGTGTGGCCAGATTGCCTAATTATTTCAGAAAGTGCTGTTGGACATAGTTTATCTTCCTCCCTAGATGAAATGGCTTGTGTCTGCATTCTCTTTTGATCATGTTGTTAGCTGACTAATAGGATTTATTCTCATGTCATACTGAGGATTTTTACAAAATTTTGCAGTTGTATCATATTCAGCAATTGAAGAGCATGTTACAACTCTTGGTTTATTATACACCCAACCTAAAAGTACAGGGTATATATAAATCCTTTTCAAACTTGGTCAGCAATTTCTATACCAATAGGAGAGTGCACCTGAGAAAGCTGAGTTCGATTTAAATATTTGGATTTTCATATATATTTTTTACTTAAACATTTGTGCTACCTGAAAACTACTGCATAAATTCTTTTGAAATTTAGTGAACAGTTTCCATTCTAATGGAAGAGGTGATTTGCAAAGTTTGATTTTGATTTTCATTGTGGATTTTCTGGGAAAATATGAATTTTTTTAACTTGGAATGTTTGGTGTTTTTTTTATTTCAACATTTGTGCAACCTATAACTTGAGAACGGCTTCATGGATTCTTTTCTAATTGGGCATACAGTTACTATACAAATATATGAAATAGGAGCGGTGTAGTGCCAAATGGTTTTTTTGGTGTTTTTTTCATGTTTTGAACTTCAAAATATGTTGGGAGTCGAAGTCTTGGTGTCAGTAAGCCCTGCTCACTTTTTACCTTGTTCCTGGACATTTTTTTATTCAGAGCCGAAGATTGTCCGCCGCGTGAACCAAGCCTCTCTCCAGGAACCTGATGAACCCCAAGCCGCCCGCCGCTCCCCATCCCCAGCAAGGAACCCAGTCTGCAACATCATCCACATCCGCAACCTCGTGCGCCCCTTCACACTCGGGCAACTCAAAGAACTTCTCAAGAGGACGGGCTGCATCCTGGATGGGAATGGTTTCTGGATCGACAAGATCAAGTCCCATTGTTACGTAACGGTGAGTCAGATAACGACACATCTGGTGGTAGTGTTAGGATTGTTGTTTGTGAGACTGACTGGAGAGTCTGTGTTAGCAGTGCCCTTAGATTCCTCATGTCACCTGATTAGACTGGTAACATTATTCTTAGATAGAATTCTTGAGGCAAATACATTTTTATCTGTCTTAACTTATTTTTGACGAAAATTTGAGTCCTTCTCAAACCAAGGTGTAGAATAGATGGAGGCTTGTTTTGACAGATTCCATGGAAGGTATTTTAGTCTTCAGTTTTCATTATTGGAGTAGGAATTTAAATACAAGCATTAGGAGACTAAGAATGGCTCTGCTTTCTTACCTTTTGCTTCAAGCTGGAATATGTGTTTTACACCGCTTTTAGCAATATACCAGCAACATTGTGGCGGTGGACACCCGAAATTGCCTTCAATTGCATTATGATGTGTAAACACTTTAACCACTAGGCTATCCACTGCCTAGATTTCATGATCTCTGTGTGAAGACAAATAGTAATACTGTTTGTTTCTTCTAGTATGAGAATGATGATGAGGCTGTCGCCACCCGCAAGGCGCTCCACGGAACACGATGGCCAGGCTCCAACCCCAAGGTGCTCCGAGTTGAGTACGCCTCTCAGGACGAGGTAGGTGTGAAGGATAGCTCCAGCATCAACAAGTCTTTGTACACACAGTTAATTGTTGTGTGGCACTACATCAGACACAAATAAATAAGATGTTGTATATGTTTCGATAACTAAGGAAATGTACATCCATTGTCCCACATAAATTGTTTGTGGAACCACCTCTAAATTAGTGTCACAAATGTGACATAAAAGTAAGATTTAGAAAAGCCTTTATCAAGTCTACTATCCTTCCATCAGTTTTAAGATGGTTGGCAATGAAAAAAACACCTTCAAAGTTGAGAGAAAGGGAAGTAACTGTTATCACTTTTGTCACTTGTCTTTCACTTCAAGCAGCAATCTTGTATTTCTGGCAATCTTCAAGTAAGTAGGGTTTTGTTTCGACCATCCTGATACTTGTTACTGAGGAGACCGCCTCCGTGGTCTAGTGGTAGAGCGTCCGCCGCGTCATACCAAAAGACGTTTAAAGATGGTACTTGTTGTTACCCTGTCTGACGCTCGGCATTAAGGGGCTAAAACAAGGACTGGTCGGCTCGGAGTCAGTATACTGTGTCTGAGTGGGGTATCCATGTTAAACTGCGGCATGGTATCTCAGTGTGCTAGCACTATAAATCGGCATCAGTCCGGACTAGTACAAGCAGCCACACAAACACACACACGTACATGCACGTCGCTATATAAGTGCAATAATCTTGGACGCGACGTTAAACCCCATTTCACCTCACCTTGTTACTGAGGGAGCCACACTTTGTACTCAAGAGTCAAGGCATGAAAAGTCCTAAGGCCTATATTCACCACTTCTCCAGATTGAGTTTCACCGAGCCCAGGAGGAGAGCCAGATCCTGTCTGCCAAGCCCAAAAAGGCTGAAAAGGAGAAGAAAGAGAAGGAGAAGAAAGAAGGAACGAGAGAAGTGAGGCGGAAGGAAGAGCCCAAGCCTATCCGTGAGTGGGACCGGGACAAGGTGAGGGACAGGTCACCACCCGAACGTGAGCGGAGGAAGTCAACCAGGTCTCGATCTAGGGACAGAGAGAGGAGAAGGAAGGAAGAAGAACGGATCCGGGAGAGGAAGAAGGGTCCAGGTAAGCCATTCATTGTTTACTTCAAAATGTTTTAACTTATCCTGCATTACCCCTTATGCATTTACTGGTTCTTTCGACAGAAAGAAGCTATGTGAGGTCTTGCTGAAGAAGTTGTTCCAACTAGTTTGCCTAATATCACACAGCTCCCACATGACAACGCAAGTGATGACGTCACGAAACAGCACATTACTGCTGTCATTCAGATTGAACTGTCACCGGCTTAGCAGTAATGTGCTTTTCCCGTGACGTCATCACTTCCATGGTCACTTGGGAGCTGTGTGATATTAGTCACACAACTAATTGGAACGTCTTCTTCAGCTAGACCTCACAAAGCTTCTTCTTTCTGTCTAAACAAGTCGTAAATACATTAAGGAGTAATGCAGGATAAGTATACAAATATAAAAAAATCTAGATTTTACTAGAATTGAAGTGCACAGTTGGAGTAGAATTCTGTTTGGAATTGCATGAAAATGTTGTTTTCGAGTCTATTTTCATTATGTTTTATGTTTGCTCCACAGAGAAGAAAGTTGAGGAAGAAGCACCTGCCAAATTGTTGGATGACCTGTTCCGCAAAACCAAAGCCACACCTTGTATATACTGGCTGCCCCTTACAGAAGAACAGGTGGGTAACCACGGTAACACGATGCATAATTGACAATAAGGAAGAAACCGATGGAAAATGAAATCCAAGATGTTTTTGTTTTCCTGTATTGGTCAACTATGATTGTCCTGTAAATTGTTTTCAACTGCTTCATGTAGTCTTTTAACACCTGGCAAATTGATACTACTCAAAAGAAGTTAAGAATCATTAGATTTCCACAAAGTGGAAGGGGGATGGATATAGGAATGGGGGCAGTTCATCTCCCCTTCATTTCCAGAGAGGAACTAAAAAACCATGAGAGATTTCTTTACCAAACTTGATGCATAGATAGGTGTAGTGGTAAACTGGTGACTTTTGATAGTTTGGGATTTAAATATTTTTTTTTAGTTTTGAGTGTCCTGAGCAGCGACTTTGACTAAGACTGAAAATGGCGGTAGTGCTTCTTTCCAGAACAAATCTTGAAAACCTACTTAAGGTTACACACAACCAAATGTTTTCCCATAGACTTCTATAGTAACGTTATGATTTTTTTTAAAATAACTAAGCATTCAACAGCTATTACCTGTACGTGTGTGCACAGTTTGGCCTTAGAGCAGCAATAAAAAAAATAAAAATGACTAGCTTAGTCAGCTCCTTTTCCGAGTACCGGAAGCTAAACACACCACCCCCAGTTTCGCACCAAATGTCACCTACTTGAAAATAGCTGTGGTCACATTCAGCATAAGTCATCATGTTGAAAAAGACAGTACTAAATATAGAAAAACATGGTCAGTTTTAATAACTGGATGGATGTACATTTGAAAGACATAAAAATCTTACAGAATATCCTCCAATCACAGCCTGCAGATATCTCTCGATCTGCACTGAAGGCTCCCTACGAAAACCGCACTCTCCAAACTGGTACTGATTTGGTGTAGTAGAACCTTAAGATACGTTCCTGAATCCTTCTGTGGTACTATCAGTGTGTAGCTGTAGAAGCAGCTTCTGCTGGGTAGAAGTAGGTGTATAATCTCCAGTGTATTTTATAGTTTGTTTCTAAGGGTCTGTCCTATTTGACACATCTTGAACCAATATTTTACAATGTTTGTATGATTTCGACACCTGTGAAGATCCGAGTTAGAATAGGTCTACAGCAACCCATGCTTGCTGTAAGAGGCGACTAAAAGGATTGGTTTGTCAGGCTCGCTGCTTGTCATTGTATCCCAATAGCCTAGGTCGATGCCTATGATGTCAATCACTGGATTGTCTGGTCCAGAGTTCAATTACTTACAGATCGCCATCATATTACAGGAATATTGCTGAGTGCAGTGTTAAACAAAAACAAAAACAAATTGTGTGTTTGATAAAAAGTTATGCAAAGAACCCTTTCACTCACCAGATTGAACTTCGACAACGTGAGAAGAAACAGCGACTAGATGACAGACTGAAACGCCGCAAGGAGGAAGATGAACAGGGGCACAGAGCTGGCCGTGACGCGGACTTCAAGCGGAAGGTAGCCATTCACTCAGTATATTTAGGGGTCATTGTTGGCTCAGTCATACAATTCGATCCTAATTGGTTTGCCAGGACCATGTTAAAGAATATAATATTTGTGGTGAAAATGAACATGGTACTAGAGTGATCAAATATGGTTTTGAGGTTAAAATCTGCACTGTGAGTGAAACCAAATGTCATTTGGATATCACACAAGTGGCTCTAAAACACTCGCAGAGATTCAGGGCCATAAATAGTCCTGCCTACATGATTGTCCAATGTGAATTCAGGCCCCCGAGGGGCGGTCGGGTAGCCTAGTGGTTAAAGCATTTGCTCGTCACGCCGAAGACCCGGGTTCGATTCCTGACATGGGTACAATGTGTGAAGCCCATTTCTGGTGTCCCCCGCTGTGATATTGCTTGAATATTGCTAAAAGCGGCGTAAAACCATACTCACTCACTCACTCAGGCCCCCGATGCTATACTCGTTCTGTTTGTTGTTTAACACCGCACATTGATACACTGAAGGCCTGGACTGTTGTTCTTGCTATCAACCATTGGTTTGCTTGACCTAGGCTGGATTATTGCCAGACTACTGCGAATTGGTAAAAATTTGGAGACTCCAGTAAATCAACATCCACTTCTCTACATAGAATGAGGGCGGTGGGGTAGCCTTGTGGTTAAAGCGTTAGCTTGTCATGCCTAGGACCTGGGTTCGATTCCCCAAATGCGTACATTTCTGGTGTACCATGCAGTGATATTGCTGGAATTTTGCTAAAAGCGGAGTAAAACTATATTCACTCACTTACTCACATAGATTGAATTATGCTTAAAGTAACACTCAGCTTTCACTGCTATTTAGCACCTGAGGAAAATCGGGCAAGTGTTGTGATTGATGTCGGCGTCCCAAGTTGTATGTATTAAATATTGTGTGTTTCCTTTCAGGAACCTGTCGAGGTTGGTGGAAGAGATCGAGATATGAACCGGGATCGAGACAGAAATAGAGACCGGGAACGGGAACGTATGAGGCAGCGAGAGCGCCAACCACCCCCAAGGCGAAGTGATAGCCGCAGCCGGTCCCGGCCAGTCAGGGGCAGGAGTAGGAGCGACAGTGTCGGCAGGAATAGAAGGCGGCGATGATTTTTTTAAATATGGCATAATGTACATTTTATATTGTCATCCCTACAAGACGCATTGTTTTAGTTGGGTTTGTAGCCGTTCACCACACCACAATCTTGTTTTATAGTTTTATTATTTAAGTCATGTAATTATGTACAGTCAGTCTTCTGTTTTAAAACCCATGTGAATAGAGATGATTTGCATTCATTATGTGCAGCTATTTGTGAAAGCTGATGCAAGAGACACTTTGTAAATTGCCAAGTTAATTAACCATGCCATCTTGAGATATATGATACTCGATGGTTCTAGTCGTGTTGCTGTAAACCGTTGTTGGAACACCTCCTTCATGCTTGTTAAACACCTCATTCCAGAGGGTTCCTCTCATCCTTATCATCGTCATGGAAACGTTTTAGAAACTCATGATGGACACCAAGATGTACATTTGTAGAATGAACTGTTTTAATCAGTTTATTATTTAAGAGTATTTTTTAAATATATTTTCAGATAGCTAACTGTGCATTCATTTAAACTGTTCATCAATCTAATTCAGTTGTGATCATAATATTCAGAGAAATCTCGGATAATCTGTGCTCAAGGATCCTGTCCTTCAGACAGTATTTTGTTTGATTTCCCCTTTCTTCATCAGTGTGAGTGTTTCATGTGATCTAACACGTCATCCTGGGCATTTGTTGATTTTCTCATATTTTAATACATGAAGCATAAGACTGACACTGTTGTCCGAAGGGTGGGCAACCGGATGCAGGTATCGTAGTCTGGCAGCATGGAGAAACAGCTTATTCTTTCATCTTCAGTGTCTTTGTGTGTGTGAATGAATGACATCAAACGAGCTGAGATTCAGGTTTATTTTGGCTGTATCAGGAGAACTAAATTGATTGATCTGTGAAAGATTTTGCTTTTGACTTGCTCCACTTCGAAAGATTGTATTTTTGACTTTCTCCACTGTGTGTGTGAGACGTTCCATAACCTTTATACACATGCCGTGGTCCATAGGCTTTCTCTATGCTGTCATATTGTTGTATAGTTTTATGCAAAGCTCTGAAATAAAAGTATTGATTAACATGTGATTTTTGTTGTATTCTGTAGCTTACTTGGATATGTAGTAATATTTAAATATGTAGAAAGACAGACACTGACACTTTGTTTTTTAACACCGCACTCAGCAGTATTCCAGCTATATGACAGTAGTCTGTAAATAATTGAGCCCTGCTCCAAACTGCACATGTACCAAAGAAGTTTCAGCTTGTTTAATTTCTGATCAGAAGATTATGGACGCCAGACAAACAGGCCATGGCACAAGATCACTTGACAGTAATTTGCCAACCATAAACATTCTTTATTCTTTAGACCACCTCCGTGGTCTAGTGGTAGATCGTCCACCCAGAGAGTGGAAAGTCGTGGGTTCGATCCCTGGCCACGTCATACCAAAAGATATTAATAATTGGTGCTTGTCATTACCCTGTCTGGCGCTCGGCATTAAGGGACTAAAGCAAGGACTGGTCGGCTCAGAGTCAGTATACTGTGTCTGAGTGGGCTATTCATGTTAAACTGCGACATGGTGTCTCCGTGGGCTAGCACTATTAATCAGCATCAGTCCCGACTAGTACAAGCAGCCACACACACACACGTGCATGCACATCGCTATATAAGTGCAATAATCTTGGACTTGACGTTAAACCACAAACCGCAGTTTGCCAGAAACGTGTCATTGGTTCAAATCCCACATTCAGTCTTACATATTTTAGGTTTGTTGGCACCATAGCTGTACTTGTTGGTTTAAAGGAGGTGGATAACATCGGACACACTTCAGGCTTTCCTCCTACATCAAGCGGACAGTGAAATATCTGATATACTGTTCAACCAAACCAGCACATCTAAAGTCGCTACAGTGCCTTGAGTTAAAGATGTTCCTTTCACCTTGACTAGACACGGTGTTGTGACATGGAATACTATGGCAGTTAACAATGTACTCTCGCCAGCAAATTCTTGTTGCCCCTTTTGGCAAACTTAAGTATTTACACCAAAGATTTACAGACAGCCACTACGATCTAGTGGTAGTGTCTGCTCAGAGGGTGGAAGGTCGTGTGTTCAATCCCCAGCCTCGGGTGATCGATCTCAGCACAAAGGGGCTAAAACAAGGTCTGGTCGGCTCGGAGTCAGTATACTGTGTCTGAGAGGGCTATTCGTGTTAAACTGCAGCATGGTATCTCTGTGGGCAAGCACAAGACTTCAAATTTATAAACATTACATTGCAGGTCTTAGTTAACAGGTTTTTAACACCCCAAGATAAAATAAACTCTTTGTAAAGAACCCTTTCAATCCCTGAACAAAAATTAAGACAACCAAATATTCAATGAAATCTTTATTTCAAATTGATTTTTAAAAAATATACATATAATACTAAAATGTTTCAACTTGAATATCACAGTATACAGACACAACTTTGAAAAACATGGTCCTTTTTAATAAGAAATATTCTTTTGGAAGAACAGATGGGTTGTAGGTTTCTTGTTCCAACACCATTCTCTCCAAGAATCCTGACTGTCTTACCATTGTTCCTGAATGATCACAATTTAAGTATTCCTAATTAAAGCCATGTAACAATGCCTTAGAAAATAACCTAGAAATATAATATATGCCAGAAACTATCAATACCATATTCAACGTAATAAGCGCCTAGGGCACTCTCGAAATTAAAAATAGGGGGCTCTTATTAGAATATTATTTTGGTGAAAAAAAAGATAAATTTCTTGGTTTATGCTAACAGCATGAAATGTTCATGTACAACAGATATATTTTTCCAGAATTTAATTGCCCATAATTAAGGTTGCATATAACACACGAGTGCATATTATACATAAATAAATAAGTCTTGTGTACATTGATCAATCGGAAGGGGTGCTAATTGGGATTGTTCACAAGCCAATATATTAGCAAATATCGCAGTGGGTGCTTATTACGTCGAAAACGGTATGTTTTTTAGCATGATCAATTGTTTCTACAATACATGCACAAGTGTCATGAACTATGAGTTGAGATCATCAACATCAGCACCTGGAGTAGAGTTTGGCAGTTAGAGGTGTGTACAGCTACTACGGACATGCATGAACTATGGTCAGTAGACTATGACATTGTGTCCCATCCCGTCCTAAAAGGAGAGCTTGACCCTGGCAGATTGACAGTCGTGGTCACAGTTAGGTTAGTTGGAGGCTGTGTACAATCACTGTGCTGAGGGCATGCATGAACGAAATGAAATACTCTCCAATCCCGTCCTATCCTTAAAGGAGTGCTTGACCCTAACAGATTGACAGTTGTGGTCACAGTTAGGAGGTTAGTTGGAGGCTGTGTACAATCACTGTGCTGAGGACATGCATGAACCAAATGGAATACTGTCCAATCCCGTCCTATCCTTAAAGGAGTACTCCACTCGGGCAGATTGACAGTCCTGGTCAAAGTTAAGAGGTTAGTTGGAGGCTGTGTACTATCACTGTGCTGAGGACATGCATGAACTAAATGAAATACTGTCCAATCCCGTCCTATCCTTAAAGGAGTACTCCACTCTGGCAGATTGACAGTCCTGGTCAAAGTTAAGAGGTTAGTTAGAGGCTGTGTTCAATCACTGTGCTGAGGACATGCATGAACGAAATGAAATACTGTCCAATCCCGTCCTATCCTTAAAGGAGTACTCCACTCGGGCAGATTGGCAGTCATGGAAAGTTCTATTGAGGTCTTTGAAACACCACAGTCAATGATGTATATCAGTCTAACCGTCAATGATCTTCCTATTCCATTGACACAATGTCTCGGTTTTTCACAGGGTACAACACTTCGGCACAGTGGTGACTCAGCATTACACCAAGCCACAGGCTAATTTGCATATCATGTGACCTGACTTTTCTCTTGTCAACAAGCACACTTATTCTGAAATCAGAACAGACTGGCCTCATGCAAGTCTTATTGTTTTGCAAATAGATATGCTACTACATGTGACAGTGAGGAGCAGGACACTATATACACATCTAATACCCCATTCACATGCCACCTGACACTCATGTGGGTATCTTTACATATGAGAGTAAATTTACTCCTACACATATAAGTGACCGTATCGCTAGGTCTCTGTAGGGCTTCGATGATGTAAAAACAAAGGAAATGACCTGGTTTTTCATGTTTTAGGATATTTTCTCAATGAAAGTTAACTTTTGTTCGACATATGTAAATGTGTAGACTCATCAAAATAACATTTGGCAATATATGCCATATCTCTAACGGACTGTATAAGATGTGACGTGGCGCTGGCCCATGGATGAGGCAGCAGGCTGGCCACAAGGAACTCTGGGTAAGAGAGTGGGAGCAATAATGACAACACCGAGGCGTAGAGTGAAAAGTGGGCGACAGACTGGAGCCATGGCTATCTTAAAGTGTGCTGAATCTTGGATGACTATTAATGATATTAATTAATGATGCTTTACATGACGACATGCAAGGAGAAAGAACCATAATCAACAGCCTTTTTCATAACTCCCCATAAATCTGCGACCAAATAACTGAGATGATACCCATTAATGTACTAAATCCTTATGAATAATCAGCCTGTCATGTTTGAAACATGCAATGGAATGACTTTTGTAGCTGTCCCTGAGTTTAGGAAAGTGTGGATGGAGAAGTGCTTCCACTTTGTGAATACATGACACTTTTTATGAATAGCAGCTTCTATTCTTTGTCACAACTTTTCAGAGCTTCTTGCTCCTTCATCAGGTGAATCCTCCATGTGTTCATATATTATTAAGTTGACAAAGAAGACACTATCTATGGATAACAACTTTTTTACTTACAGTAAAGGCCTTGCTTGACAATGGTATAAGGATCTATACCGAAACGTCACCTTTACAGTAAATAAAAAAGTTGTTATCCATAAATTGTGTCTTCTTTGTCATTTGTCAACTTCTAAGTAACGCCTATCAAACAAAGAAACATCAGCTTAAGGCAAACTTGTCATCAGTCTGTTTTATGTAGGAAGTTTCCATCCTCCACAAAGCATCATCTCTGCCTGTGTTCAATGTACATAGATACAGGGCAAGTGGGACAACACAAGCACTATTGTCAGTAAGTGGAAAAGATATTGATAAGGAATTTTGTTTCCTGTTTTCATGACCTTCCAATATTTTACATGTCTGTATGTCCAAACATATGTTGTCGGTTTATGCTAATTCTAAATAAACAACTAAAACTGTGATGGACGGAATAATAAATAACTAAAAACGTAATACTATAAAACATACATAGCATTATTAAGGCAACATGATATGGACTTTTGTATTCATGGACGGAAATTACATCTAGGTTATATTCAGCAAATAAATTTACGTAATGTGTAAATATAATTATTTAATATCACAAGCATATATTGCAATGTAGTTTTCACAAGACGGAGTTACTGCCCTTGCTATGAACAAATAAAGCTAATTATTTCATTACACCATAATAAATCTTGTACACACATTCTAAGCATTGTGTAATGCTAACAACAAGCTAAATTGAGATTCTAACATTTCCTTAAGCATTTTAAACAGAGATATGCAAATAACGAGTGAGTGAGTTGAGTTTAACACCGCTTTTAACAGTATTCCAGTTATATCACGGTGTGTCAGCTTAATGTGGGAGGAAAGCCCGAAGTGATGCAGATCTCCGACGTTTACCACTTCGGTAAAACCCACGAGCATGGGTATGGTGCTGACAAACCTAGAAACATAATCGGGGCAAACCCGGATTGGAACCCACAATCATAGGTTTCTGGCATGCCCAAGGGACGCAACTCTGCACAGCGAATCGCTGCGCCTTAGACCACTGGACCACCTGTGCCCCGTATGCATGCTGTACTTTCGAGTATGTATACTGTATAGAAAATAAAAATCAAACATCATGTTTAGTAGTGTAGTTATTGAGTTTTTCAAGAAATCTTGGTAGTTTATTTAATAAGGTGTGACTTGCCAGACAGCATGTGAAGGAGTTACTCTGCCATTCCTTGTTATGTTTGTTTGTTTGTTTGTTTGTTGTTTAACGCCGCACTCAGCAATATTCCGGCTATATGACAGCAGTCTGTAAATAATCAAATCTGGACCAGACAATCCAGTCATTGACTTCATGATCAGCGATCCGAGCAATTAGGGTACGATGACAAGTCAAGTGATCCTGGCCACCCGATTCTGAGTCACCTCCTGCAACAAGCATGGATTGCTGAAGACCTATTCTAACCAGATCTTCACACGGCTTTGTTATCAATTAGATATGTAATCCAGCGTACATCTGTCAACACTGAATAACAGACAATTGTCAATAGTTGACATATTTATAAATACCTATGAAAACATTAAATCAGGAACCTAATATAAAACATTAATCTTGTTTTAAATGATAAACAACCTACTCATCACCCTGTAAAATTTTCATTTGGAAAAATAACAACAAAAAATCCACTTTTCCTAAAATGGATGACTAATATGTTTTTGAAAAAAAATAAGCAAGTATTTGAACATTTTAGGATTAACAAATTTCAACATCTTTGTTCAATCTCATTAAAATCAGATCTTAGTTCTCGCTACTGCTAAACAAAGATCTGAGGACATCCAATTACGGGTCACGTCAGACCGACCTTGCGCGAACTTTGACCGACCAATGGAATGACCAACCAGAAGGCAGCTTTCTCGTGCTTTACGGCACTAATTTCAAATTGGCGACTACGCTTTGAAACATATCTTGACAAATCTTGATTAAAAATTTGAAACCTGAACAAAACAACATTCTGGAATGGCTTATAGATGGTCTAGATTGTATGGATTCAGTCGTTAAACCTGTAACTATTGTTCGGAATACCCTGTGTTAAAGTTTTCAAGGATGCATGATTAGAATTAATGCATTAACACATTCCGACTGTCACTTTCATGATCTGGTAAGCAACACTCTGATTGGTCGGATGAAAGGTTGTTCTGACGTGACCCCTACCGGGATGTCCTCAGATCTTTGTTGTGTGGTAGCAAGAACTAAGGTCTGATTTTAATGAGATTGCATCTTTGTTTCAATAATTTCAGAGACATATATTGTAACTTCTCATAGCAAGGGCTTCCAGGCTTAACATGCGTCATGGCTGAAGGAAGCATGCACACTTGTGTATCTCCTGCGTCGGTATAAAACTGGCCTCCCTGACTGGCAAGGTACTGGTAAGGCACTCAGTGTTCCTCATCACTGGACAAGTGTAATAGTTCCTGTTTATCTACGTCTTCCACCACATCTCTCAGACCTGAATGTTCTCGGAGCTTCCGAAGACTTTTCCTCATCGTGTCCTTCATGCGAAGATTTTCTGAGTTGGCAGCTTGCCACATGTGCTCGAGGTCACTCTCCACTTCTCTGCAACAGGAAAAGCCATTCATAGATTCATGGTGGAAAATACAAATTCAATCTAAACATTTTCATGATTCTCTATTTCCTAGTTAACTACCTCATGTGGCCACATGGAGCGAGACTGTAAAGATCCGGGTAAAATAGGTCTTCAGCAACCCATGCTTGTCGTAAGAGGCAACCAACGGGATCGGCTGGTCAGGCTCGCTGGTTGGTTGATGCATGTCATTGTATCACAATTGCGTGGATCAATGCTCATGATGTCAATCACAAGATTGTGTGGTCCAGATCCAGTTATTTACAGACTGAAGTCATACAGCTGGAATATTGCTGAGTGCGGCGTTAAACAACAAACAAACAAACATGGAGCCAGACATGGAATGTGGGCTGCCATGAAGAATATTCTTCCTTGATCTTGAGTTAATATCTGTACATGAGTCAACAATCAATTGAATATGGATATGAATAAAAAAAATCTATTGTGTTTCAAGAATTACTCATTGAAATAAAACCCGACCTCTTGTCATGCACCATGTTGAGTAGCACCCCATCCTTGTCCTGCAGGACGAGGCGCAGGTGCTTGATCTCCCTCTCATACTCCTGCTTCTGGCTGTTGAAGGATTCATCCTGCTCCTTGAGCCTGCAATATAGAGCACCCTTGAAACACAGACATCGGAAGAGTGAGTGAGTCAGTCAGATGTGTCTGACACCACTTTTAACAGTATTCCAGTTATATCACGGCGTGTCAGCTTAATGTGGGAGGAAAGCCCGAAGTGATGCAGGTCTCAGAACGTTTACCACTTCGGTGAAACCCACGAGCATGGGTATGGTGCTGACAAACCTAGAAACATAATTGGGGCAAACCGGGATTCAAACCCACAATCATAGGTTTCTGACGTGCCAAAGGGACGCAACTCTGCACAGCTAACAGCCCTGAGCCACACATGCCTTCAAAGATCCGAAGAACCAGGTATAAGAGATATATGCTGACTATCACACATTGTCATAAGGTAAATTACAGAGAAAGTATTTTTAGGTTTATTGTCACTGATAATGATACTTTAGTTACGTAGGTCATAAAATTTCCACAAGGAAACTTCCACAAGGGGCACTGTGTACTTCAGTGTCACACAAGCAGGATGTGGGTTTGAGTCAAGAGTAATGTAGTGTGACTTGTTTGCCAGACGAACCACAAACCAGTACTAGAACCCACCTGTCAGCCACAGTGGAGAGTTTAGCTGCTGCCTTCATCTTGTACAGCTGGAAAGGCAAGTGTTGGAAATTGATTACTGATTACTTATTCTATTCGTCACATGCTTTTATTAGTCATTGGCTTGTACAGGGTAATGGTTACCTACACTGATCAAACAAGCCGAGGGGAGGAACCATCGTGAGGAATACCCATTAGAACAGATATCTATTTGACAAAAGAACTTGTAATCATTCAACACACAAATATTCAATCAAGGTGAGGTGAGGTGAAATGGGGTTTAACATTGCTTTCAAGACTATTGCACTTACCGGTATACACAAATGCGGATCTAGCATTTTTAAAAGGGAGGGGTCAAAATATCATAATTCTCTCTCAGTGGGGTGGGGGTGGGGGATTGTCTTCCTTGGTTTCTCTCAGTGGGGTGGGGTTGGGGTTGGAGGATTGTCTACCTTTGGTTTCTCTCAGTGGGGTGGGGATTGGGGATCGTCAAGCTTTAGTTTCTCTCAGTAGGGTGGGGTTGGGGGATTGTCTAGCTTTGGTTTCACTCTGTGGTGTGGGGGTGGGGGATTGTCAACCTTTGGTTTCTCTCAGTGGGGTGGGGATTGGGGATCGTCAAGCTTTAGTTTCTCTCAGTAGGGTGGGGTTGGGGGATTGTCTAGCTTTGGTTTCACTCTGTGGTGTGGGGGTGGGGGATTGTCAACCTTTGGTTTCTCTCACTGGGGTGGGGGTGGGGGATCGTCTAGCTTTGGTTTCTCTCAGTAGGGTGGGGGTGGGGGATCGTCTAGCTTTGGTTTCACTCAGTGGGGTGGGGGTTGGGGATTGTCAACCTTTGGTTTCTCTCAGTGGGGTGGGGGTGGGGGATTGTCAACCTTTGGTTTCTCTCAGTGGGGTGGGTGGGGGTGGGGGTGGGGGATTGTCAACCTTTGGTTTCTCTCAGTGGGGTGGGGGTGGGGGATTGTCAACCTTTGGTTTCTCTCAGTAGGGTGGGGTTGGGGGATTGTCTACCTTTAGTTTCTCTCAGTTGGGTGGGGGTGGGGGATTGTCTAGGTTTAGTTTCTTTCAGTGGGGTGGGGTTGGGGGATTGTCTACCTTTGGTTTCTCTCAGTAGGGTGGGTGGGGGTGGGGGGTGGGGGATTGTCTACCTTTGGTTTCTCTCTGTGGGGTGGGGGTGGGGGTGGGGGATTGTCTAGCTTTGGTTTCTCTCAGTAGGGTGGGTGGGGGTGGGGGATTGTCTACCTTTGGTTTCTCTCAGTGGGGTGGGGGTGGGGGTGGGGGATTGTCTAGCTTTGGTTTCTCTCAGTAGGGTGGGTGGGGGTGGGGGTGGGGGATTGTCTACCTTTGGTTTCTCTCAGTGGGGTGGGGGTGGGGGATTGTCTAGCTTTGGTTTCTCTCAGTAGGGTGGGTGGGGGTTGGGGATTGTCTACCTTTGGTTTCTCTCAGTAGGGTGGGTTGGGGTGGGGGATTGTCTACCTTTGGTTTCTCTCAGTAGGGTGGGGGTGGGGTGGGGGATTGTCTACCTTTGGTTTCTCTCAGTAGGGTGGGTGGGGGTGGGGGATTGTCTAGCTTTGGTTTCTCTCAGTAGGGTGGGTGGGGGTTGGGGATTGTCTAGCTTTGGTTTCTCTCAGTAGGGTGGGTTGGGGTGGGGGATTGTCTACCTTTGGTTTCTCTCAGTAAGGTGGGTGGGGGTGGGGGATTGTCTAGCTTTGGTTTCTCTCAGTAGGGTGGGTGGGGGTGGGGGATTGTCTACCTTTGGTTTCTCTCAGTAGGGTGGGTTGGGGTGGGGGATTGTCTACCTTTGGTTTCTCTCAGTAAGGTGGGTGGGGGTGGGGGATTGTCTACCTTTGGTTTCTCTCAGTAAGGTGGGTGGGGGTGGGGGATTGTCTACCTTTAGTTTCTCTCAGTAGGGTGGGGTTGGGGGATTGTCTACCTTTGGTTTCTCTCAGTGGGGTGGGGGTGGGGGATTGTCTAGCTTTGGTTTCTCTCAGTAGGGTGGGTGGGGGTGGGGGTGGGGGTGGGGGATTGTCTACCTTTGGTTTCTCTCAGTGGGGTGGGGGTGGGGGATTGTCTAGCTTTGGTTTCTCTCAGTGGATGGGGATAGAGGGATTGTCTAGCTTTGGTTTCTCTCAGTGGGCAGGGTGGGGGTTGGGGGATTGTCTAGCTTTGGTTTTCAAAGGTAGGGAGGGGGGAGGAGGGAGGCTGATTGGCTGATTAGAAAGTTGACCTGACGTGACCACCAATAGAGGGTTTATCTGATCTTGACACAGAGATATACTGAATCATGAACAAAAGATCTGATCATAGTGAGATTATTTACACTAGATAAGAATGTCTCCCTGAGTGACTACCTTTAGCTTCTCCTCCAGCTTGCCGACCGTGACAGTTCTGGCCAACATCTTGTTCATGGCTCGCTTACTCTCACTCTGCTGCTCCTTGGCCTGGGGAGACAAACACCATCAACACCATCATCAACACCATCATCAACACCATCAACAGAACATCTCACTTACACAGTGTCACCTACACTAACTGAGAGTCTTCATCACTCACTGGGACATTCACAACTAAATAACATCATGCTCATTCTGCTCATGACCAAATCATGTTAAAATGTTAAAATAAACAAAATTAAGAAAATATGACTTCCTCTTTTCTGATTTTGTGGGAGGCAGCACTGTCTAATAAGACTTGAAAATATGATTTGGAGTATTATTGCTGAAATATGCATAAAATATGCAGGGTTCCTGCATCTTGTGAAACCCTACTAAAACACATCTCCAGTAATGTTACAATGTACAACCTACTCAGGAAGTTTTACACATGTTCGCAACTTGATTACATAAATTGGACAATGTTATTTTTTGAGGGAAGTGTCCAGTGAAATCAACTCCACAGATGTATCTGGCAACCGCAGATGAACGCAATGGGAAATCGATCGCATTTATAAATGGGAGAGATATGACAATCTGTATAAGTAGAAAAGGTACACCCTTGTTGCACCCCTCATGGTTTATTCTCCCTGCAGTAATTTATTGCACGAAAAACAACTCACGCTCGTCATTTATTTCTTAAAAAAATATATTATTACCCTGGTATTGTAGTACCATGTTAACGTTTCACTAAAAATACTTACAACTTTAGCATAAGTATCCCTTTCTGCTGCAGTTTTTTCAGCCTGCAAAGCAAATAATATCCATGCATTAGTGAGCATTGTGCAAGTACTTCAATAAATGATCCAACCTTTCTGCACAAACAGTTCATTAATCGAGTCAGATCCAGCAGTTGATAAAAACGTCCTAGCCCATTGGGGTACGACAACATGCGTTCAACCAAATGATCAGGTCTGACAAACTGATCCAATATGTCGTCTGTTACAACAAGCAAATTCCTGGTATAATCTCACATAGAACTTCTGCAAACATATTTGCGCCTTGATGGTATTAGCGAGAGGGAGATGTGAAGCAACACTGACCAGCTTGATGACAGTGGCAAGGTACTCCTGGGTAGTCATCTCCTTGTCCTCCGACTGCTCCATTGCAGACTGGAACACCATCAACTTCTGCTGCGCCCGCCTGCAACACATACAGATCTTTCACAACCCATCAAAACACCACACAACACTACACAACATAACACCACACAACACTACCCAATACAACACTACACAACACCATCAGCTTCTGCTGGGCCCGCCTGCAACACATACAGAGCTCTCAAAACCCTACACAACACCACACAACCCTATACAACACTACCCTATACGAAACTACACAACACAACATGTCAGAACACTACACAACCATATACAACACTTCACCAGACCCTATACAAGACGACACAACACTACACAACAAAACACTACACGTCAGAACACTACACAACCATATACAACTCTACACAACACAACCCTATACAAGACTACACAACACTACACTACACAACACAACGCTACACGACCCTGTACAACACTACAGAACACAACCCTACAATACATGACCCTACATAGCACTATACTACACAACACTACATGACCCTATACAACACTACCCTATACAACACTACACAACCCTACACTACACAACACTACATGACCCTACACAATGCTACATACACAACGCTACACTACACAACGCAATGCAACCCTACAATTCATCACCCTACACAACACTACACGACAAAACACAACGCTAGACTACACAACCCTAAACAACCCTACACAACACTTAACAACCCCACACAACGCTACACAGCACTAAACAACCCTACACAACACCATCAGCTTCTGCTGGCCCTGCCCTCAACATATACAGTACTCTCTCAACACTACACAACACAGTTGCCATTGCTGTTGGCCCGTTTCTCTACTTTGTGCACCATATTTACCTGACAGCCTTGTGAAGAGCCTTGATCTCTGCATGGAGTCTCTTGTTCTCTGCCAAAAAATCTGTGTTCCTCACCGCCAGACTCCTTCTCTCCTCCTCCAAGGCCTGGCAACATCAGACAGCCATACAATAGTTCAGAGAATTAAATAACCTTCAACATCAGGATAAAATGCAGTGAATGGAGCTGGGCAGCATTAGAAGTTTGCTTGTTGTGTAGCGCAGCACTCAGCTATATGATGGTGGTCTGTAAATAACCAAGTTTGGACCTGACAATCCAGTGATTGGTATCATGAGCAACGATCCACATGGTCAGGGTACAGTGACACTCAATCAAACAAGTCAACCTGGCTAATATGGAATTCACACAGAATATTCCAGCCACATCACAGAGCAGAACATCAACATGATCAAGACTGGACTCCACACATTGCTTACAGGTGGGGGATCAAAACTCGGCTTTGGCACGACAAGTGAATGTCTGATAACCTGAGTACTCAACCCTATAAAACTTTCCTAATTTAAGTAAGTAATCCCTGTGTACAAAACACCATTTAATGTGGAAAACAAGGAAGATACGATGGAAAGAATTTCCTTGATTTTCATTCTCAGCTCCCTGGGAAGTATACAACGCAAGCTGCCTGTGAGGTGCTAGAAGGTTAACAGTCAGTCACGTTACCATCTCATCCTACCAGGTACCCATTCACTGCTTGGTGAACAGAGTCACTTTCGAATAGTGTCACCTGTCTAAAGAGACACCACATGTGAGATCACTTCATAATGTCTCAACATTACTTATTAAACAAGTGGCCCAGTTGTTGAAGGTGCCACAAGTTGCAGAGCAGAGTTCACTCCCTTAGCTGTAACAGAATCTTCTGGTCCTGGGTTGGAATACTAGATTTGCCCTGATTGGAGTACCGTATTCGACGTAATAAGCGCTCCACTCTAATAAGCACCCACGGAGATATTTGCTAATATATTGGCAAGTGAACAATCCCAATTAGCACCCCTTCCGATTGATCAATGTACACAAGACTTATTTATTTGTGTATAATACGTGTGTTATATGCATCCTTAATTGTGGAAAATTAGATTCTGGAAAAATATATCTGTCGTATATAAACATTTCAGGCTGTCAGCATAAACCACGAAATTTACGATCTTTTAACCCTGTTGTTTTTCACCAAAATAATATTCTAATAAGGGCCCCCTATTTCTAATTTTGAGAGCACCCTGGGTGCTTATTATGTTGAATATGGTACCTGGTTTGCCAGGACCATACCCAAGCTCACCAGTTTCACCCAAAAGATATGTCTTCCACCTGCTTCACCAGCTACTCTCACATTCAAACTGAAACCCACTCTACATCTTCCATGACTTGCCTCTTCATCAGCAAACACAGGAATAGGAGAGGTGTGTGTGCCATAACTGGCTCCCTATCTGTCACTCTCTTCTCTGATATAAAGTACTTACCTTTATCCTATTGCGAAAAGTTTCCGTTTCTTGAAAGTGCTGCTCTTTCTCCTCCGTCAAAGACCTGTGTTCATTCAAATATCTTGGTAACTGGGAGGTTCAGTTGCTACTGACACTCAACACTGAGAAGGTACTACTGGATCAACAACTAATAATTACATAAGCATTCCCTTTCTACCTTAACATCATGTTAATAGTCATGAACTGGTTATAATAAATGTGGCTCTGTAGAGTCAATTTGTAACTTTCACAAACATGTTGGTGCATGGAGAACAAGGAGAGGGATCTATAGCTTGTGTCCTACAGGTTCTGCTTGTGTTTGTTCACTATATTTCTTGTCCAGACAAAACTATTACCACAGATACCACTGCTGTGATCAAACTAAAAGAAAAGATTGTTTTTATCTTAAAGGCCCATTCGTGACCAACTTGTGTTATTCCGGAACAAATAGAGACTCTTGCCCCTCTCATGGCCATTTTTGCGACCGGGGTTTCGTCTTAGCGCAAACTGGCATACCTAAAACAATTGTCAACTTGTTGCGTAATGGGTCACATATATTTCCCCATTTATTATATATATTTCAGATGCAATTTAAAGCACATCTGGACATGCGGAATTATACAGTATGAATGAACACATTTAACTGGGTCTTTGGTATATTTTTAGATGCAAGACATATGTAAAATCAAAAATATTTCTGAGGGATTCTTTGACGAAGAACTTGAAATCATACACGCATTCTGATTCTGATGGTTTGTCATATTTTCGCACATAACATTTATCGATAGGGGTACGAGTCTTCTTGCAGGTTACAGAAAGGGGCGAGTGGTGACCAATGCTTAAAGGCATCACTATCACCAGCTTGGTCCTATGTTAAACCTATTTTCTCTTGGAAGAGTGGAATGAACCAAATAGTAGTGCTGTGGTTGTTCTTGGGGCACTGTTGTTTATTTCGCGATTGGAATCAGAATTAAGCATTAGAATGAAGAATTAATCATCATCATTACCATTTTTTGGTCAGGATCATTAATCCACCAGGACCTGAATATTATACCTACTGGTCCTTTGGAAAGCTGATATCTGCTGGAGCATATCCCACACAAATGTACTGACCTCTTGATGTCGGCGATGGTGTTGATGTGGTCCTGCACGGTCACCTGGCTGCCGGTGGTGAGGAGGAGAGCGTCATGTTTGTGTCGCAGCTCGGAGAACTTCAGTCTGGTGGCCTCCTGGTCTCGCTCCATCTCCAACTTTTCAGACTCGGATACACTCAGCTTCTTCGTCAGCCTGGACACTGGAGACAACATCAAACATTACCTTACTGTCATCCTCCTCAACATCAAACAATCCCTTACAACCAGCCTCCCCAACATCAAACAATCCTTTACTGCCAGCCTCCCCAACATCAAACAATCCTTACTGCCAGCCTCCCCAACATCAAACAATCCCTTACTGCCAGCCTCCCCGACATCAAACATTCCCTTACTGCCAGCCTCCCCAACATCAAACATTCCCTTACTGCCAGCCTCCCCAACATCAAACAATCCCTTACTGCCAGCCTCCCCGACATCAAACAATCCCTTACTGCCAGCCTCCCCGACATCAAACATTCCCTTACTGCCAGCCTCCCCAACATCAAACATTCCCTTACTGCCAGCCTCCCCAACATCAAACAATCCCTTACTCCCAGCCTCCCCAACATCAAACAATCCCTTACTGCCAGCCTCCCCAACATCAAACATTCCCTTACTGCCAGCCTCCCCAACATCAAACATTCCCTTACTGCCAGCCTCCCCAACATCAAACAATCCCTTACTGCCAGCCTCCCCAACATCAAACAATCCCTTACTGCCAGCCTCCCCAACATCAAACATTACCTTACTGCCAGCCTCCCCGACATCAAACAATCCTTTACTGCCAGCCTCCCCAACATCAAACAATCCCTTACTGCCAGCCTCCCCGACATCAAACATTTCCTTACTGCCAGCCTCCCCAACATCAAACATTCCCCTACTGCCAGCCTCCCCAACATCAAACAATCCCTTACTGCCAGCCTCCCCAACATCAAACATTACCTTACTGCCAGCCTCCCCGACATCAAACAATCCCTTACTGCCAGCCTCGCCAACATCAAACATTCCCTTACTGCCAGCCTCCCCAACATCAAACAATCCCTTACTGCCAGCCTCCCCAACATCAAACAATCCCTTACTGCCAGCCTCCCCGACATCAAACATTTCCTTACTGCCAGCCTCCCCAACATCAAACATTCCCTTACTGCCAGCCTCCCCAACATCAAACAATCCCTTACTGCCAGCCTCCCCAACATCAAACATTTCCTTACTGCCAGCCTCCCCAACATCAAACAATCCCTTACTGCCAGCCTCCCCAACATCAAACATTCCCTTACTGCCAGCCTCCCAAACATCAAACATTCCCTTACTGCCAGCCTCCCCAACATCAAACATTCCCTTACTGCCAGCCTCCCCAACATCAAACATTCCCTTACTGCCAGCCTCCCCAACATCACACATTCCCTTACTGCCAGCCTCCCCAACATCAAACATTTCCTTACTGCCAGCCTCCCCAACATCAAACATTCCCTTACTGCCAGCCTCCCCAACATCAAACATTCCCTTACTGCCAGCCTCCCCAACATCAAACAATCCCTTACTGCCAGCCTCCCCAACATCAAACATTCCCTTACTGCCAGCCTCCCCAACATCAAACAATCCCTTACTGCCAGCCTCCCCAACATCAAACAATCCCTTACTGCCAGCCTCCCCAACATCAAACAATCCCTTACTGCCAGCCTCCCCAACATCAAACATTACCTTACTGCCAGCCTCCCCAACATCAAACAATCCCTTACTGCCAGCCTCCCCAACATCAAACATTCCCTTACTGCCAGCCTCCCCAACATCAAACATTCCCTTACTGCCAGCCTCCCCAACATCAAACATTCCCTTACTGCCAGCCTCCCCAACATCAATCAATCCCTTACTACCAGCCTCCCCAACATCAAACATTCCCTTACTGCCAGCCTCCCCAACATCAAACATTCCCTTACTACCAGCCTCCCCAACATCAAACATTCCCTTACTGCCAGCCTCCCCAACATCAAACATTCCCTTACTGCCAGCCTCCCCAACATCAAACAATCCCTTACTGCCAGCCTCCCCAACATCAAACATTCCCTTACTGCCAGCCTCCCCAACATCAAACAATCCCTTACTGCCAGCCTCCCCAACATCAAACAATCCCTTACTCCCAGCCTCCCCAACACCAATGCCTCTTTTCTTAATTACTTGAAAGATTTTCTTTTCTTTGGATTGGTGTGAATACACATAGTATTCTAATTTATAAACATGTTTTCCTTCAACGGATAAAAAGGTTGAACCTGCACGGTAGTAAGACAGAAATGACCAGGAAGACGGCAGAAATCGTAATTCTCTCCTCTTCAGATACGACCTGTGAAGATCCGGGGTAGAAAAGGTCCTCAGCAACTCATGCTTGACGTAAAAGGCGACTTTGCTTGTCATAGGAGGCGACTAACGGGATCGGGTGGTCAGGCTTGCTGACTTGGTTGATGCATGTCATCGATCCCATATTGCGTGGATCAATGCTCATGATATTGATCACTGGATTGTCTGGTCCAGACTTGATTATTTACAGACCGAATATTGCTGTGTGTGGCGTTAAACAACAAACCAAACCAAACCCTCTTCGGATACACATAATGAATAGATCCTAGTCTTGATTCCTGACCAGAGGGACAAGATTTAAGGATGAGCCCTTCAGGTAACAGCCTAATTTCAAATATAAAAGAAAACTGGAAAAGCTTTTTCTGATTATAATAATTTAACTGATGGTTACCATTTCGACACTTCAAAATATTCTCTTTTCAACAACATGTCCATTTTTCACATCAGAGAGTCCTTGACTCCAGCTGACTTCAAACTGCTGACATTTGATGAAAGTTTCATCTTGGGTCACAAACTTGGTCAGTGTTATTTCTGTTAAAAACCATCTTCTTGTATGCATTTTAGACCTACTTCAGCTCCATTTCTAAGCAACTGTGAGAGAAATGTATTACCTTCCTGCAAGTGGGCATTGAACATTTCCTTGGACTTGAGTTGGTTGATCTCGATCTGTTCCATAAGAACCTGATTCTCCTCCAGGACAAGCTTGGCCTGCTCCTGTAGCTGCTGCCTGCAAGACACAGAGTCAGGCAGTGACTATACCATGTATACAACCATTTGGAACCGTAGTTCAGTCACAGTATCCACACGAGATATGCACAGAAAATACTTTGGCATTCTTTTGACTTTTTCTAAATTTTGTTTAGCTTCCAGTTACTTTTCCTAATTACTGGGGGGGGGGGGTAGCCTGGTGGTTAAAGCATTTGCCCGTCATGCTGAAGACCCGGGTTCGATTACCCACATGGGTACATGATGTTCTGATGTTCACTGCTGTGATGTTGCTAGAATATTGCTAAAAGTTGTGTAAAACAAAACTTATTTACTCCCTCCTAATTACTATTTGGGAAATAGACAAGTATTAACGTGAAGCATAAATATTCAAATCTAACCCTAGTTATTTTATTTCAGATCTCTTTGGCTCAAACAAAAAGCTCAAAGATTATTACGGAACAATCATCAAATTATTTAACTGTTTGGTTATTGAGAGTTGAAATGGTCAATTGTTCCATCTATGTGACATGATAACATCACTTATCAATTGTGAAGTCATACAGGAATGTCGCCCCTCCTACACATTGGCAGTATTTGTATTATTGACAAAGTATTGTAACTTAAATAAACTGAAAGTAGTCATACAGGAACGTCTCCCCTCCTACACATTGGCAGTATTAATATTATTGACAAAGTATTGTAACTTAAATAAACTGAAAGTACTCAAAACACCAGTTTTTCTGTGAAGGAGCACAGGTTTCAAAAGCATGTAGACAACTCAATGCTTCACTGGTGTTGGAGATTAGGAACATATATTTGAAGAGAATGTGAATTCTTTCTTATCTCCCATCATACAGCTATAATCACTTGTGTTTCATAAAAAAGAAAACTACAAACAAAAACATTCATACACATGATAGTTGTGGTGGGACAATACATCGATGAATCGGTGGATCGTTATTTTTTACTTCCCGATACAAGTATCAATCACAGTAGCACACTATGCAAAACAATATCGATTCTTACCTTGAGTGTTAGCTATAATAACTGTTACACTAAACAATAATTAGTAGTGAAAATGTCAATATTTTCCACTGTGCCATACTTGTAGATCATCAGTGTGGCAGGTTTACTAAAAAAGATGCCTTCGGCACCACAGATAACAGCACATGCGAGTATCGTGATACGTATCAGATCGTGAGCAAGGTATTGTGATACGTATCAGATAGCACAGTTGGTGTATCGTCCCAACCCTACATCATAGGAGACCCGTGAAGATCCGGGGTAGAACAGGTCTTCAACAACCCATACTTGCCGTAAAAGGCGACTATGCTTGTCGTAAAAGGCGACTAACGGGATCTGGTGGTCAGGCTCACTGACTTGGTTGATGCATGTCATTGATCCCGATTGCATGGATAGATGCTCATGATGTCAATCACTGGATTGTCTGGTCCAGATTCGGTTATTTTACAGACGGCCGTCATATAGCTGGAATATTGCTGAGTGCGGCGTTAAACAACAAACAAACAAACAAACATCATAGGAGTCTGGAGCAAGAATAAATTTTAACATTTAGTCCAGCTACAGCCTTGGTGGGAAGCAAGCTGCAGAATATCTGAATAATAGCATTATCATGAACAAGGACCTTATGGGTGAAAAATCATATTTTGACTTTTTATTATATTTTAAAACTACAGCATCTTCGGAGCACAAAAGTACAATTCACAAGCTTCAATTCATATTTATTACAAAGATACGCGACGTTACACATATTGATCTTCACTGAAGTAAATTGACGTCAAACGTCATGTGATGTCATATCACAATTGTATCCTACACCCATAAGCTCCCTTTTCTCCTGGTGGGTCACAAATGTTGCCCTTCACCATCTCCTAAGCCTTGTCAGTATAACTTAGATATTGACATACTTCTCCCAGAACACCCCAGACAGTGTACCCTGTCTACATCCCATCTGCATCCACCATCTGATCCTCGTCCTCTACACTGCCATTTTCCTGATCAATGTACATCAGCACCTTTCAGGGTTAGAAATTGGCACTAGTCCTATAGTCCTTGCCAAACTGCCCAATAGTAAAGGTATCCTAAGGACTAGTAGAATTTTGACATTTTTAAAGGTTTTGCTTTATGCTATCATTATAAGGACTAGTGGGTTGAAATTGTTAGTTTCTACCGCTGACCTTTTCTGGACCAACACAATGCTGCTTTCGACACCAAATCAGATAATAGGAAGGATGATGTAAATAAACTAACTTGTAACACTGCTGCAGACAAACCTACCTCTTTCTTGTAAAAATGGAATATCGACAACCAGCAAGTGTCTGTACAAGCACAAGTTGTGAGCAAGCTGCTCTCCTCACCTGCTTGAAGCTGTGCGGTTAATTATTCATGACTTAATTATTCAAGAAACAACACCAACCGATCAGCACAAACTGGTGAAATATTAATGAGACTAATCTCAATTTCCCTTCCCAGACTAATTATATCTCCCAGGGAGAGATTTCTGATGCAGACTAATTAATGACGGATGCTGTCACCCACCATGCTCGTATTCTCACAATCAACTGTTATATTCTGGTGTAGGTTGATTCTCCTTCACTTAAAATAGACTCTATGAATTTTGTAACAAAAGCAATCTGTTACTAACCTACCTTTCAATCAAACTGAAGATATCTGTTTGCAAAAACTGTAAATCTTGAAATTTTAATGTGAGCATGAAAAGAATGTCAGTGGTCTTTGCTCACATTTATTAAACTTCAAATTTTGGGGTGGGGGTGGGGGGGGGGGGGGGGGGGGTTGGGGATTATATTAATATTGAATTGCATTTTTGGCTTGGGGTCAGGAGTCACTTTAATTTTAAAATTTACAGTATATCTGTTATTTGTCAAGATGGTATCATCAATAATTGATTGGAAAAATTATCCATGGCAATTTCGTATTCCCAAATTTGTATGTGGTGCACCTACCACTCTGTCATGCTGAGAGCTCCTCTGCCAGACTGCCCCATGTGGAGTTTCTGGTTCTCCTTCACGATGTCCTCGGCCCGACGCTTCAGACTCTGTAGCTCCTCCTGGACAACACGACAGTCAGTCAGTGCATGGGTTCAACAAAATACTGCATTCAAGGTTCAATTTTATTATATTGAAGAGTTTGGTCATATGTTGTTTTCTTGAGGGTCAAAGCATTATTTTAGGAGCTGACAAAATATGTGTGATTTGGGCTTGGACGAGTCCAAATTTACTACCCAGGTGCCCACACCACTATTACCCGACCCTACCCGGGTACCCACTGTAGGTCTCAGGAGATGTCTCAAAATTTGAATTTAGTTATATCTTTATTTAACCACATGAAAAATCAGAGGGAATGGGTGCATAGTCAGAAAGAAATGCGAACATTAGTGACTTGTAGTGTAACCATAGAGTTCTAGATATTTTTTGTCATCAAACAATATATCATGTGACTAAACCCGGGGCCGGGTAGTCCTGTGGGTACCCGGGTCCTACTCAGTACCCGAGTTACCCGTCCCAGCCCTAGTGTGTTTGCACATGCTGGTGTGAGTGAGTGAGCGAAGTGAGTGAGTGAGCGGAGTGAGTGAGTGAGTGAGTGAGTGAGTGAGTGAGTGAGTGAGTGAGTGAGTGAGTGAGTGAGTGAGTGAGTGAGTGAGTGAGTGGGTGGGTTGGTGGGTGGGTGGGAGGATAGGGAGTGTGTGTGTGTGTGTGTGTGTGTGTGTGTGTGTGTGTGTGTGTGTGTGTGTGTGTGTGTGTGTGTGTGTGTGTGGAGGCAGTCTGAATAATTATTTTGAGAATGTAATCACAAACATTTTTGTGACATTTTTCTAGCTTGTGACCTTCACCTTTGACATTCCATGGGGCCCAGGAGAGAAGCATTACCTGATACTGCCTGATGACATCATCCTTCTCCTTCAGCCTGGCATCGTAGGCAATGAACAGGGGGGCAAGGTACTTCTTGTTGATCTGAAACAGCATTCCATTATCAGGCATCGGGGATGAAGTCGGAAATGCAGAGACTACAAAATGGTAATTGTTTGGATTGCTTATGTTGGTCATATGATGTAATTTTCACACTCGAGCCTGCTATCAACTTTTATAACACAGTTACATACTTTTGTCCAGTGGGTGGTCACTATTTTCATCAGGTGGAGTACATTTATATGCTGATGAAGTACTGTAAAGTATACAGTTTATAGAGGTGAGAAACCCTCAGCTTTGTGAAACTTGTACATTTAAGCATGACAGACCTTAAGTGGAGTTCATGTGATCTGAGGTATAGAGTTTGTGGAACTGAAGTAGACACAGAGAGAACTTGTGCCAGTACTTTATCTGGACATAAATGTACTGCCACTCTGTCTATTACTGATAGTTTCATATAGAAATAATTAAATGTTTATTAGTTTGGCACAAGAAACAAACCCTACCCTTATCATGCTTATTTGGACTTAAAAACTGTCATCGTTCCTTTACCACCTTACAGGGGATAATTATACATGTGTTGTGTGAAAAGATATGCCAATACAATCTTGTGAGTGAGGAGTCCTTGCTTGGTTTGGATAAGAATACACACACAAACCACAAGGAGACTTTCGTAATAGCAAATCTTTCTGAAGAAAACAACTAACCACAGGTGGAATGATAGGGTTCGACTCATCCAAGAGATCCATAGCCAAATAGGTTCCTCTCAGTGTCCACAAACAAGACACGTCAATACTGTGCAGCAATCAATGTCACAAGACACACCCACAGTCTTGACAAAAGTTGAAGCTTAAAATGTTTCAATGAAGTCCAATACAGTGTCCAAATGTTTGTGAACACAAAATAAAATCTGTTGACTCGGGCACCGACACGTCAAGATACCTGCTGATGTACACAACAAACATCTACATCCAAGGGGCACAAAAGCCTGCACACTGCAACCTTTATACACAAACCATCCCTGAATGTACAAGTATATTGTTCCGGGGTGGAGGAGGTTCACCAGACAACACAAACAGGTACTGAAACTGTATTGTACAGTACAACAAGCATTGTAGAGAACAACAAGTCCAGACAAAGATTCCTAACTCACTCTCTACAGAGTATAGGCTACAAGATAAGGGAACATGGTAACACATGGATCTGACATACACAAGATTGACGGCAGGCAGGTAAAGCCAGTGCACTTCAGTGTGATAAATGGTAACACAGGTAATGGCAGGTTGACCTACATTCAAGGTACCTTTGACCTTGGCTGATAAGGTTGGGACATTTGTACTTCTTGTTGACATGATATAAGTAAAGGTAAGCTGATATGAGATGTAGCTATTGCCGTCTGGATAATCTAGTTCTTTATGTTGAAATTGTTGTACTGATACCAAAATTTGTTGAACTGTTACCATTGGTTACCAGAATTTGTTCTAGTTACCAGAAGGTATTTGCTGTAAAGCTATCAGAATTTGCTGATGGTTCAAGATGGTACAAAAATTTGCTGATTATACAAGAATTTGCTGATGGTACAAAAATTTGCTGATGGTACAAGAATTTGCTGATGGTACAAAAACTTGCTGATGGTACAAGAATTTGCTGATGGTACAAAATTTTGCTGATGGTACAAGAATTTGCTGATGGTACAAAAACTTGCTGATGGTACAAGAATTTGCTGATGGTACAAGAATTTGCTGATGGTACAAAAACTTGCTGATGGGACAAGAATTTGCTGATGGTACAAGAATTTGCTGTACAGTACCAGAAGGCATTATCTGTTCACTTACAAGAATTTTCTGTACAGAACTAAGATTTGCTGTACAGCACAAAAAAGCATTTTCTGCACAGTTACAAGAATTTCTGTAAGTACCAGAATTGGTTGTTCAGTTATCAGAAGAATTAGCTGTACAGTTCTTAGTATTTGTTGTACACTTGTTGATGAAGGTAGAAACCATCCTGCTTCTCTGCTTGTATTGTACCTGACATACAGAAACACCTGGGTGAGACCTCCATGCAACTTTGTGGCAACTGTGTATCTAGGTGACTATACTTACCAGCCAGGATGGAATAGGGCCCCTGTTGGGAAGGCCACTGAACTCTCTTGACTTGAAAAGAAAATGAATGTGACTTTATAAATCAATCTTAATCAGTATCAAACAAACAATTCAAGTTCAGACAACATGGCTACTGTATGTGATATGATTACTGTAAGTCTAGTGTGGAAGGAAAGCCAAGACTAAAGCTGGTTGAAATGTTTATCAGTTTTAGGAACTGAAATAAATCAGTCCCGGGGGGATGCTGGGTTAGGATTGGTCCCAGATACTTCTCTTGGTAAAAAGGCTTGGTTTGTTTGTTTGTTTGTTTGTTAGTTATTTAACGCCGCACTTGGCAATATTCAAGCTATATGACCGCGGTCTGTAAATAATTGAGTATGGACCAAACCAATCCAGTGATTAATATCATGAGCATCGATCCACGCAATGACATGCATCAACCAAGTCAGTGAGCCTGACCACCCGATCCCGTTAGTCGCCTCTTACTACAAGCATAGTTGCCTCTTACGACAAGCATGGGTTGCTGAAGACCTATTCTCTACCTGGATCTGCTATGATTCCAAATTGTGTCCCTTGCAGTCAAATTGGGAAACAAATGTATCGCAATTTGGAGTCATAAGCGCCCTGGTCGCTTAGAAAATTGGCAGGCAACTTCTAATCCATACACAAGTTCAATTTGTTTTAGAGGTTGAAAGGAAGTGAACAATCGTGCTGTGACAGGAAACTCGGGCACTTGGTTCGGGTGGGTCCTGAGTAGACCCTGTACCCACACCACTACCAAGACCCGTGGTTAGTCAACTGAAATATTGTTTAATTACAATATCGGCAACAATAAAACTCCATGGATACACTACAAGTCACTAATCATGCTAATGTTCGCATTTCTTTCTGACTATGCATGCATAGTTTGATTAAAGGTAAAGGTTCATTCCACTTTAGTGTATGCATGATCAGTTCATTTATACATGTATCTAAATAGTTTTTGCCAGGGCTTTGTGCTGCTGTTTGTGAAAAAAGTCTGTAATATATGCCATAAAATATGGAATATGAAGTCAATTTTCAGTCTCAGGAGGGGGCAATTATCAGAGCAGGCAGATTAAAACAATGATTACGATAGTTCTGAGTGTTCAAAATTTGAGACTTTCTTAAAAGTCATTCTTTTCTTAAATTTTAAGACTTCGTTCAATGCAACAATGTAAAGCTAAACATTAATGCCTCTTCTTGTTAACAGGCATTTTTTATAATCCAGCGCTCAACATGCAACTTGAAGAGGGGAGACTTGAAGGAGCAAGGTAGGTTCATCTCTGATGAAAGCTCAAAGAGTCAAGGCTCTGAGACATGTATCATTTCGGTGACTGGATACATGGACACTGGAATAAGTCCCACTCATTGTGGGGGGAATAGAACCTGCATGTATGTAAATCAAGTCTAGCCATCATCTTTGGGCTCATACAGGAGTGAGTGAGTATGGTTTTACACCGCTTTTAGCAATGTTCAAGCAATATCGCAGCGGGGGACACCAGAAATGGGCTTCACACATTGTACCCATGTGAAGAATCAAACCCGGGTCTTTGGCGAGACTTAGTGAATGCTTTAGCCACTAGGCTACCCGACCGCCCCCGGCTAACACATGAAGATGTTCCTCACCTGAGATCACCTGGAAGCATCATTACCAATGCAGGCTTAAAAATTCATACTAGTTCTCTAAACAAGAGGCTGCTAATTATGCTGAGGATATGTAAAAATCTGACAGTGGTAGTCCTCATTGACTAGTCCCATTTGAGGGATATAATTCTGAACCAGTTGTCAAAGCTTCAACTGTTCTACAAACTGGAACTGAATATAACTGACACATGTGGAGAATCGAACCCGGGTCTTTGGCGAGACTTAGTGAATGCTTTAGCCACTAGGCTACCCGACACATGAAGATGTTCCTCACCTGAGATGCAAGTCTGGAAGCATCATTTACCGCCTGTTTCTGGCTCAGCTCAATGTTGAGTTTGTGCACGGACTGTTTGAGAACCTCATTCTCCTCCTTCATCTCCTCTATTTGCTTCCGAAACAACAGCGAGGTCGCACTCTCCGTGTCTGATACAGAAAACAAGTGGGAATTAAATCTAGTTAATGTGTACCCAAAACATTGTCTATTGGCCCAAACTTGTCCTTTTTCTTCTTTTCATAAACATTTTACAATTTTACCATGGTCCGTCATAAGAAAACACTTTATTAACCTCTAAGGATTTAGAATGAGTTTAAGCGGAGTTACCTCCCTCCTTGACAGCCGACGCCACCTGGCGGAGAGAATGGAGTTCCGTCTCCTGGTCCTGAACAGTGTCTCTCAGTCGATGGTTCTCCATCTCGATGCCCACGATTCGTTCCTTCACAGTCACACGTGCTGACTGGGTCGATGAGAACACTAAACATCACAAGTATGAGTAAGTAAAAAATTGACTTTGCAGATTCAGTAGACATACCAAATGAACTAATAACATATATTAGTTTCAAAACTTAAGTTTGTCTGATAAATCAGATGGAATATCTAAAACAACTCCATGGAATCTTTTATGATGCTAGCCAATGCAGTCTCAATATTTACTTTTCATCTTATCAATATCCTATCCCATACATAAACTTGCAATCACTAGGAATTTTTCATACTTTCCCCTCCATATTGTGTTCTGTGCAAGACACTCAGTACTAGAATGTATTAAATACACTCCACTAGAAGAGTGAGCGAATGAGTTTAACATCGCAATTAACAGTATTCCAGTTTTATCACGACATATCAACCTAATGTGGGAGGAAAGCCCACCAAAATTCTGATGTGAGAAGTTTACCATTTTGGTAAAACTCACGGGCACAGATGTGGTGCTGACAAACCTGGAAACATAATTTGGGTGAACCAAGATTCAAATCCATGATCATAGGTTCTGGCGTGCCCAGGGGATGCAACTCTGCACAGCTAATTGCGGTGCCTTATACAACAGGGCTACCAGTGCCCCTCCACAAGAAGAACACTACCTAAACACATTATTCACTGTACAACAGGATACAAGGAGAAATGATACAACATGATACAACAGGATACAAGATACAAGGAGAGGAACTAAACAAAACCTATTCCTTTCTCACAATACTACATCAATAACAGTAATCAACAACAACGTCAATTGGCATATATTTTTACATTCAATACCTCATACACCCTTTAAGAACCAAATACTCCTACAGCTACAACCTTTTGGTGAAACTTATATCACTGGGTCTCAAACAAGTGCCAATTTCTGAAGACTTTGTCAACCAAGTGACTTGTTAGACAACATTCTGACACCTCGTCTGCCTTGATAAAGACCTTATATTGTGAGTAAGTAAATATTTTTCACTTTGGAGAAACCAATGCAGGCTTCAAAATTCATACTAGTTCGCTAACCAAAAGGCTGCTAATTATGCTGAGGACATGTAAAAATCCGACAATGGTAGTCCTCATTGACTAGTCCCATTTGAGGGCTAAAATTCTGAACCAGTTGTCAATGCTTCAACTGTGCTACAAACTGGAACTGATAAAAACTGATAGAAGTTAATATTTTTGTCTTGTTCAAGCAGGGCAAGCTTCAAACTCTAAGGAGTAGTGAAATAACATTTCAAATAGTCCTCGGGACTAGTCTTTCAAAAGACAAAGGCTGCCAACGAGCATGGATATGTCACCGGACAGACAAAATTTCATACTCTGGACAAATCTGGCACATCCTGTGCTTCCAGTGATCAAGCCCTGGCACCTGTGGCGTGCAGCTCTGCACACTGAGTTGTGGGGTCATGATTCTGTTGGCGAGATGGGCTTCACTCAAGTTTGCAACAGTATATTCTTTACCCTGACTGCCATCACAAAAAAATAATTTCCCGTTTATGATAGGCTAGAAGTGAGATACTAGTTCCATAATTGTGATTTATCTCGATACTGATTCCCCATGATCACACAAAGTTTGAAGCAGTTCCTGAAGGGTGTACAACGTATTGAACTGCTCTACTGTGAGAAGCTCATTCTGATGAGGACCAAACCTGTTTCATTATTGGTTAGGCTCTGAGTGTTGGCCTGCAACATTTCTTCACTAACAGTTTGGTTGTATTCTGGAGGCTGTTTTGAGTTGGAGGTACCTGCCACAACATTTTTCTCCAGCCATTCCTGCACAGGCCGAGTCTGCTTGTCTGGCTGAGATACAGCTTGGCCATCACTCAAATTATTCATGTTATTGTCTGTAGCAATAAAGTCAGTTATCAACAGTGGATAGCTCAGTCTCCCCTTCTATAGTCAACCCACCTCCTTGACAGTATATTGTGAAAAGGATATTTTAACACAAATGCTCTGATGTGCAAATGCTATTTACAAGATAACAGCATTTGACATCAGTTTGCTCACTCTTAAAATGTTGATAGATCTTTTGGAATAGATTGTATTTCTTATTTCATTTTCACAAAGATTTTTGGATAAAAAATTTGAATGTTTCACAAGATAGGACCACAACATTGTTGGAAACGTCTACACATATAATATTTAGGAGTTTTTTTTCAAAACGTTTTGATTCCAACATTCATTTCACTTTGCAAATTTATAAGCCCTTGACTGCCTGGGTAAAATATTTTACAGAGATGAAAACTTCTTTCTAATTCAGTGTTACACCTTTCTCATAGTGAGTGAGTGACTGAGTGAGTATGGTTTTACGTCGCTTTTAGTAATATTCCAGCAATATCACGGCGGGGGACACCAGAAATGGGCTTCACACATCATTTTTCGTAGCTTCAGAAACTCTATCTTAGACTGAACTTCCACTTTGTTGATGAGAGAGAGGAATCAGAGAAAACACAGCACAACGGTTAAAGCACATCAATCAGCAACACCAACAGTATTTAACCTTTCACATGAGCTTTTCTAGAATTGTATTTGTCATTTTAGCCAGACCAACTTCATTTCTCGTATTACAGAATAGTCAACACAAAGTTTGTTCAAATAATGACTGACAAAAAAATAATTAGATTTTCAAATATGTTTATTTATTTTTTTTGATTTTTCATCAAACTTTTTACCTCTCAAGATTATTTAAAAAAATAACCTCATATCAACCCTGACAACAACTTAAAAAAAATATTGACCAACTACATATTTAAATATTGACCAAGACATTCTGCATACCGCCAGACCAATCTCTTTTCTTGTATTACAGATTCTTTGGATTAAATTGGCTGGATGGAGGACAAAATAAAGATGTAATGGGACGAATGCAACGAAGTGATCATAGCGCCACGACTGTTGTAAGTCCATTTTGGAGTATGGGAGTTATCCCTAAGATCGCTTTGTGCAATGGACCCTGATCAGTATATAATTGTTTGTATTTTGGATTTATGGAGCCAAATTGGGCCTAGGGAGGAGCAAAAAAACAACAAAAAAACTTGGAAAATCCTGAGGAATCAGAAACCAACTTCTACAAGGCCAAGAAGCAAAACTTCTTGAAGCCAGTGTTTGAAATAATCTTAAAACCCAACAAGACAGTCAGGCAGGTGACCCATAAGTGTTGCCTGGAATTCTTCAAAGTTACCTGCCTGCATTCTGACGTTATAAATATTGAAAAATCGCAATAAATAAGGGACAATCATTGGGCTAAAGCACTTTGTTGACATTATGCAAAACGTAACAAGAAACGCTAATAATAACAAATTCACACACTACAACCGGCATCGACTATGTGTATACGACAATAATCAGCAAGCAGTAACTTGATTGGCAAAGCTGCAGCAGTCGTCCAATGAAATTATTTACACTTCTGCTGATGGCAAGTAACAATAGCGGAATAAAGTGATTGATATTTTAGTGTTGTCGGTAAATTATCATAAAATTGGTCTGGCCTTGTTTCAGTTTTGAATGTCATAACTTTTGTATATTGAAAACATTTTCTCATTCACTATTTCTAATAGCTAGGATCATCAGTGATTGAACACAAATGAACAGCCATATTGCCAAAGTCATTATCACAATTCTTCATGTAAAAGTAAAATACTGTCTGATAACAATAATAAACAGTGACACGTGTGCGGTTCTAGTGGATAAAGGACTTGAAACAAGTGAAGAATACATAAGGAATTAGGGTAAATGTAAATCAAGTTCAGGAATTCTTGTGCTTGAGATTCAGAAACCTAGATTAAACAGTTGTAACAGTTGTCATCTTCTGACAAATGACCTGTGCAATTTGAGAGTGTACAGCTATCCATTATCAGCAAGATCAAATGCTGATTTAAAGATGTTAAGCATAATAAATTGGCCAGCTTTTGGAACAGGGAAGTTTGGAATACATGTTGATGAGAAATATAGACTGAAAAATCTGAATTAGACCAAAAATTGGTCAATGAAAATCTTAATTGTAACATCTGGACGGATCAAGGGAGATAACCAAGTGAAAAGACTTTGTGCAGTTTCGAATACAGTTCATGTTAGAATGAAGACTCCACCACAGTGCCTATACCTTACCTTGCCGTGTGGAGCCTCTCCTGCTGCCACGGTGCATGATGGGACTGCCATGGCGATGACCTCCAGGCACTTTTCTCATTGTCTGCAACAGAGGTTTACTTTGAACAAAGTCACCTGTGTGGAGCATGGGGTAAGACCTAATCCAGACACTCTCAAGACTTATCCATTTGGAGCCTGGTCACAAATCCACAGGATTGATCCTCGCCATTGTATTATATCTCCATTTTATTATGTTAAAAACCCTTTACCCACCTGTCCCCTTAGCTCTGTTTTGAGCCCGAATGGTATGGTATGGTATTGTTTGTTGTTTACCGCCGCACTCAGCAATATTCCAGCTATATGACGGCGTTCTGTAAATAATCAGGTCTGGGCCAGATAAACCAGTGATTGACATCATGAGCATTGATCCACTCAATTGGGATACGATGACGTGTATCAACCAAGTCAGCGAGCCTGACCACCTGATCCCGTTAGTTGCCTCTTACGACAAGCATAGTTGCTTGAGTCCAAATGGAACCACACCTAAACCAGCCATGCAATCAAACTACTTTTATGGACCTAGCAATTCTGTGCTAAGTTTGAGATACGAGTGATGAAGGGAGATGCCACTCCTGAAACAAAGCAATGGTGGCGATTGGGTCCATGGCCCTCTTGCACAAAGCGATCTTAGCGTAACGGCTATCATAAGTCTATGTAAAAGGGAGTTACGATCGCCATAGCGCTGAGATCGCTTTATGCAAGAGGATCCAGGAGTGTAATACATTGTATAATTGAGTATGGTGACTGTTGTAGTCATTGTTAGTCCTGTGTTAATATATGGGAGTAACTACAGGCAATGCACTAAGATTGCCTTATAGAACTCTGCTTTCCATCATCACCAGGTTGATGTTGTACGAAGCAATCTTAGCACTGAGGAGATTGTACCTCTAATACCTTAACACAGATTTTTGACAGGCATGGCGCTAAGGTTGTTTTCTACAACGGCACCCTGAAGTATGGTATGTACGCAGTTGAACGTATTGAAATAACTCACCACCTCATCAACGTCAAACTCAGGCATATCATGAACAGCTTGCATGGCCTCTCGTACATCGCGTGTTGTCCCCATCATGGAGCCCTGCAGCTCTCCACCGTGGGACTTGACGAAGGTCTCATCCACCATCCCTCCTCCGGCGCCAATATCCCTGGCAGTCTTCTGTACAGGGGGCATAAGATAGGAAATACAACCATCATCACTGCAACCATGGGAAACATACAACCATCATCACTGTTACCATGGGAAACATACAACCATCATCACTGTAACCATGGGAAACATACAACCATCATCACTGTTACCATGGGAAACATACAACCATCATCCAACCCAGAATTGAAAATCAAGGGGGGACTTGTCCCCCCATCATGTAGAAAATAGGAGGGATTTTGAAAAAGTAGGGGGGATAATTGCTTTCTTCAAAATTGTCTTATTTTGTATTATGTACTGGAACATCATCATATAAAAGTGTAACAGATCAAAATAAAGAACTGAAATGAATAACAATGCTTTGTGCTTTTTTTCTATTTTGATTAAAAAAGTCTGTAATTCTTTTGTTTTTGCGTGACATATTCAAAAGATCGTCTGCTATGACAGTCGGCGATTCATATTTGTGATTTCAGAAACAAAACTAAAACGAACTAAAATGCTCAAAAATATTTTCAGAACTATTCAAGATAGAATATTTATGGTCTTTAAACATGTTGTCAAAGGTTTTTGATTACTAAACAACAAAATACAACATAATTTTGATCAAAGTTTTGATACCTTTTCTACTAAAGTAAATCAAATTTCGTTTCCTATGCCAATCCTGTCGATAATTTATTCAGCAACCCAAGGGATGTCACTCGTGTTCGAACTTCCGGTTGTTATCGATCGGTCTTCAACAGTTGTTTACAATGTTTGCTGTGAACTGTCTTTCTTGGTTAATTGATTTAAGATTTAGTGAGTATTGAATCTAAAGGTAGTGATAAACAGCTGATAAAGTAAGTGACTGTACAAGAAATAACTGTGCGCGACAGATCGCGCTTTGATTTTTTTATGAGGGGCGATTTGATTTTTTTTAGCGTGAATCGCGCAATCGCGCGGCCTGGGTTGGACACTGCAATACTGAATATTGAGTTATGGTCGGGGAACAAACCCGACCCTCATGTCATCCCAAGTTCAACCTTTTGCCTTGGAAACACAAAATATAAATTTAAACAAATTCTGAATAGCAAAAGCACCACTTCAATGCATATCTGATGTGTATACAAAGTTTCATCAAGAAATATTGAAAGAAATTACGAAACTGTGATGACCCTGTTTCTATATCCCCTGCAAACTTGTTAGGGCGGGGGATAACTATCAACTGCATGATCCTTCCTACCCCTTTTAACCTTGGTTTGTTAGGCACAGCATACAGATCCACGTCATTCTGGTTGATGTCTGTTCTTTCCAGCTCGTGGTAGAATGTTCCCCCTTGATGGAGGGAGATACAAATATTCACAACCTCCCACTTTGTACATGCTTAAAACATAGGTTAAATCATTCAGAACTGCATGTATAAGTGAAATCTTATAGATCAACACATTACTGCATTAAAAAATTAAAGGTATGGAGTCATGTCCATTAATATTTATATTGATGTTTCTGACCATGTGTTACAGCAATTGTGTGGAAGGCAGGATTTCCAGAATAATGGGGAAGGGATTTATCCAGGATTCCATTTGGCAGGCACTTTCAAAAAAAGATTGTTATTTTGCTCAAATTGGCCAGTGAAATACAATTCACCTGTACAAAGCTGTTATTTATTTAGTTATTTATTCCTGTGTAACATGACTTGGTAAACTTCTAATTCCAATTTGGGAATATTTTTTACCAATGCTGCAGAACTGGAGCCAAATATCAGCCTCTGAGCGGACCTTGATAAACCCCTACAGGGTCTGAACTAGCAGGGTTCCTCGGTACCTTACTTGTGCTGAACTGTTATAGTCCAATGCATTAAGTATTATAACTCCTTAAGATAACAAGCTGAGAGATATCGTCACATTGCACGCCTGATCTAAGATATACCGACCTGGTCCTTGGCCTTCACCTCTAAAGTCGTCCACATCATGCTCCCTGCCCCTCCTCAAACTCCCAGTGGAGGGGATGCGTGCTGGTGCTCTATTTGATATGGTATTCCGTTTGTCTTTTTGACATGTTCCAAAATCAACACTAGAATACCTGCAAGAATCCAGGTCATTTAATATCTTCATATTCTAGAGGTTTAACAGTACAGTGGGGTCACGATATGATATATATCCTGATACTAAGGGTGCAATACGATTCGTATCCTGATACAGGTGTAACAGTACAGTGGGGTCACGATATGATATATATCCTGATACTAAGGGTGCAATACGATTCGTATCCTGATACAGGTTTAACAGTACAGTGGGGTCACGATATGATATATATCCTGATACTAAGGGTGCAATACAATTCGTATCCTGATACAGTACTTTCTGTCCAAAGTTGACATCTTGCAGGTGAATCTCAACCCGGAATCACTACATTTTCACTTTCCAGAGATAGAAGATGGGATACTGTAGGGCAGAAACACATATACACTTGGGCTGTTACGATTCACTTGCGTATTCAGTGAATCGAACCCTATCCATTCATGAATTGAATTCGTTATTCGTGGCCACTAGAATCGAATATTTATGAATATGCAATCATGTACATTTACATACCCTATACCTAAAAATATACATAAGAACATATTATATGCATAGATTTCTTCATGTTTTTACACCAAAATAACCTGTAATATAATGTGTCATATGTATCATGATACAGGGATTGAATTAATGACAATCTTACGTGACCTGTAATGGGATGTCCTCAGATCCTTGTTTAGCGGTAGCGAGAACTAAGATCTGATTTTAATGAGATTGAATTAATGATGTATTGTATCGTGGGCCACGTATCCAGAAACAATACACACTGACAATGTCTCAGTTTCCCACAAACCAAACAAGTTATCTTTCAGGATTATTCGCAACCATACCTCTGTCATGACTAATCATATGCTAATGGTGTGACGTACGAGTTCATTAGTAGCAGTACTAATCATGCTCATCTGGAAGTTTAATCTTTAAATTTTTATCCACAAGTGTTTGAAATAAAATAAATTACCAGGCTGCCATCAGGACCCACAGACTTTAGAAGCTGCAGGCCCGGACTAAACTCTTCAGGCCCTCATTAAAAAAACTGCAGCTTATTATGACAAAGAAATTGACATGCAAACTTACTGCAGGCCATAAAGACCCATACAAATCTGAAACTAAGGGCCCAACACAAGATCTACCTGCCACGGACCTACAGAAAGGTGCTTATTTCTAACACTGCCTACCACCTACATTGAATGTTTGGTCAAAAGTTTTGTAAACCAACTACTACAAAATATAAGGCCTTACTTATTAATAGAGTGCACAATTTAACAAGTTATTAATTTTAGTGAGATATGCTTGAAAGGTGAGACTTGCGTCTTCCTGTTTCAAATATGGGATACCATCTTCCCGAGGCAAGGGAGTAAACTGACTGAAAACGTCCAGTTTCCACCCTTGCCGAACTAGGCTCCAATAATGGAGTTATATTTTGGCTGGACTAACGAGTCTATGCATAGTCCAATCAAAAACGTGTAATGATGTCGACATTAGTAAACAACATGGACTTCAACATGCAGATTTTGGTCGACTGCAGGATTTGCAAAGCATGTGTATCGTCAACAGATATTTCCCAAATCTTTTCATGTTTTTAATTTAGGTGCTCAAGTGATTTGATGCACTTCTTGAGGTAAGACCCGTTTTATGACAACATATACCTTGATCATCGATCAGATTGTCTTGACTGGGCGCCGCCATTTTTTTAAAGCAAATGCAAGTGATACGAGAGGTGGATTCTGATTTGGCAAGGGTGGAAACTGGACTTTCATAGTCAGTTAACTCCCTTGCCTCGGGAAGATGATAGGACACATGAAAAAATAGAATTCATCACCAGAGTCAGTCTTTTTTTCGCACAAAGATACAGATACAATTACAATGTGGTATATTTTTCATTCATACCGTTTCAAATAGAAGGTAATAGCCTCAACATCCAAATCTCAGAGGGAGATGAAATATTGTCTTGATTCTTACCCTGGTTCCTCCATTTGCTGGTAGTCATAGAGACTGCTCTCGGGGTCGCTAAAGGGTTCATCATCAGAAAGAGGCTGTGGTTGTGCCGCCATGCGACCAACCATGCTGGAGTTGAAGACAGTCGAGGAAAGACCGACCCCAGTGCCTGGGGGAGTCTGTGGGGGCGGGGTGCGAGGCACTGCCAGGAAGGCAGCTGTAGGTAACAGGGCTGCACCTATGTGGGCCTACAGAAACAAAAGATGCTAAATGATGGTATTTCTGTCTGCATTAGATTTCCACTTACCGTATTCGACGTAATAAGCGCCCACGGCGATATTTGCTGATATATTGGCTAGTGAACAATCCTAATTAGCACCCCTTCTGATTGATCAATGTACACAAGGCTTATCTATTCGTGTATGATACGCACTCGTGTGTTATATGCACCCTTAATTAGGGGCAATTAAATTCTGGACAAATATATCTGTCGTATATAAACATTTCAGGCTGTCAGTAAAAACCACGAAATTTACGATCTTTCAACTCTGTCTTTTTTCACCAAAATAATATTCTAATAAGAGCTGCCTATTTCTAATTTTGAGAGTGACCTGGGCGCTTATTACGTCAAATACGGTACTTTCCTAATTTGAGCATCAAGGAAAAGATATTGAGTGTGTAAGTCAGTTGGATTTAACACTGCTTTAAACAGTGTTCCAGTTATATCATGACGTGTCAGCTTATGTGAGAGGAAAGCTTGAAGTGCTCAGAGATTTACCACTTTGGTGAAACCCATAAGTACTGAAATGGTGGTGACAAACCTAGAAACATAACCAGGGAGAGTGGGTACGGGTGGCCCAGTTGTCTAAGGTGCCGCAACTCGGTGTGCAGACTTGCATCCCTTGGGCAACCTATGATTGTGGGTTTGAATCCCGATTAGCCCTAAATATGTTTCTAGGTTTGTCAGCACCATATCCATGTTTGTGGGTTTCACTGAAGTGGTAAACATCTAAGACCTGCATCACTTCGGGCTTTCCTCCCACATTGAGATGACACGCTGTGATATAACTGGAATACTATAAACACAACTCACTCACTCACTAATCAGGGCCAACAGGGTTTGAACCCAGTCATAGGTTTCTAGCATGCCCAAGGGACGCAACTCTGCACGGCAAAATGCAGCGCATCAGATGACTGGGACACCCGAGTCCCCGACAAGATATTGAGGCACCAGTCGAAAGACTCTTTCATCATATTAACAGTGGCATTCCTTATGTAAAATACTTAAAAGACATGTAATTCTCTCTCCTACACGTTTTCCCAACATACAGAAATACAGTCCATACAATTATTTAAAAAAATATCTTTTTCCATAAACAATCACACTGAATCTTAATTTGATTACTTAATTCTACTAACATTTTCATAAGAATTGGTCTTCAGCAACCCATACTTGTCGTAAGATGCGACTACTGGGACTGGGTGGTCAGGCTCACTGACTTGGATGAAGCATGTCATCATATCCCATTGCATAGATCAATGCTCATGATATCAATCACTGGATTGTCAGGTCCAGATTCGATTATTTACAGACCACCATCAAATAGCTCAAATATTGTTGAGTGTTTCATTAAACAACAAACCAAAACAAAAATCAAAACATGTTTATGATATGCACTGGTAAACATGGTAAACATGGTAAATGGTAGGCTTGGTATTAGACCATTATTGGCACTATTCCAGCCGTGTCAAACCTTGTTTGTTTTTCATTCATCAATAGCAGTACTAATCTGGAAGTTGAAAATTATCTTCTTATTTATCCAACCACCTACATTGAAATTTTGAAAAAACATTTCCTAAACCAACTGATAAAAACTAAGAGGCCTTATACTGTTAAAACGAGTACCATGTAACAGTGTGAGTGAGTGAGTCTGGTTTAACGCCGCTTTTAACAGTATTCCAGTTATATCACGGCGTGTCAGCTTAATGTTGGAGGAAAGCCTGAAGTGAAGCAGGTCTCAGACGTTTACCACTTCGGCAAAACCCATGATCATGGGTATGGTGCTGACAAACCTAGAAACATAACCGAGGCAAACCAGGATTTGAACCCACAATCATAGATTTCTGGCATGCCCAAGGGATGCAACTCTGCACAGTGAATAGCGGCGCCTTAGACGACTGGGCCACCCGTGTCCCCGTAACAGTGTGAGACACCAAGCATGCATCACACAGCATATGTGACGCATCCTTGAGGAGATTTAAACACTGGATCTTGGGTGCGGTTGTCACACACTGGTCTACTCCACCACCACACTGCCTTCTAGCTAACGGTAATGAAACTTTAGTGCTAGTTCCACTTGGTTGAGTCTTTATAGAATACACTGGGAAAACTGATACTTCATCAAGTGGTAGCGTGTCAGCAATCTGAGTATAATTAATATAGGACCCGGAGCAAGGAAGAGAGTGAGTGAGTGAGTAAGTATGGTTTTACGCCGCTTTTAGCAATATTCCAGCAATATCATGGCGGGTGTCACCAGATATGGGCTTCACACATTGTACCCATGTCGGGAATCAAACCCGGGTCTTCGGCATGACGAGCGAACGCTTTAACCACTAGGCTACCCGACCACCCCTAGGAAGAGAGTGGATGCATCATATCCACATCACCAGTAGTAATAACAAACAGTCGACATCTTATCTTGTGGTCATCAGGGTTTTATATCATAATTTTCCACATTCATTTATCATAACAAAACACACACAAATATTCACTCAACACAGAAACCAAGCAAATATGATGAGTATATTACAATTATGAAGGTGTGAAACACAACAGGCAAATGTGATGTGCAGGTTACAAAACAACAGGAAAGGATCGCAGAAATATAGGGTGGCATCTTTTTTTAAATATTTCGAGACTAAAAAAATCGCTGCAAAAATATATTTAATCTTGAAGCAAAGCTAAATGTTATTTCCTTGCACTAAAAATAGACAAGAGGAACCTAGATGGCAACTGACAATCTGACTTTGTTAGAAAAATATACTTATATGAATATCGCCAATGTTTTGTTCAACAACAAATAAGGTACTTTATTTGCCGGTCCACAGGGACTGGCAGTAACATGAATTACGGTCGAAGCCTAATTTTACCGGTAAAAAACTGGTAATTACTGGTAAACGGGAACACTATAGTAATATGAAAGAATCTGCAAGACAGATTAACTAAAGTAACATGAGAGAATCAGGTAGTCTTTAGTCTAACTTCTTTTGAGTAGTACAGATCAGTGTCACAATGTAACAAACAAGGCACGACCAGTGACTTTCATCACTCCCCTCATAAAGTTTTAAACACGTTTCTCTGCATTGCTATGACTAGGCAAGTTGACAGACAAGCAAGTTGGATTTAAGTGATTCAAAATCTGTTTCTTTTATCTGCTAACTCACATTTAATGTACATCTAACAGATGATGTTTATCCTATTCATTCACACAGAAAAACATGTCAGTTTCACTCATGGCATCCAATAAAACAATGAGACGACCTCTGCTACTGATCTCTGACTCAGTATGTGTGACTGCTTTACTTATTCTAAACGTGTTGTGTTGTTGTTGTTTAATGCCGCACTCAGCAATATTACAGCTATATGACGGCAGTCTGTAAATAATCCAGTCTGGACCAGACAATCCAGTGATTAATGTCATGAGCATCGAACAACGCAATTGGGATCGATGACCTGCATCAACCAAGTCAGCGAGCCTGACCACCCGATCCCGTTAGTCGCCTTTTACGACAAGCATAGTCGCCTTTTACGGCAAGCATGGGTTGCTGAAGACCTATTCTAAACAATAGGTGGGGGCAAAAAGAGGAAACCCCAGCATCCAGCATGATCCAGACCTAGACAGGAAATTGCAAAAACCCACAGGCATATTCCCCCTTTCGCAGATCAGGAGGCAAATGCTAGTTTGCATGGACTTTACAAATATGTCTTGAAATGCGATTTTCTGCCCGGAGTTGCCATGTATACCTAATCACATGTGACAGGAATAATTACATAGAAGGCTCTGTACCGATACACAAAGTTTACCTTTTTCACAGATAGTAATGGTAATGAGTATGGTGGGTGAACATTTATTAACATTGAATTCAGGACTATTCCAGCGCCATAGTTAATACTTCACCATTCTGTCTACACTGTTACTCCTGGTGGACAAGACTGTGAAATATTAACATGGAACAAGTGAACAATCTAACCAAAGAGATGCTATCATGACTATTGAACTGACTAAGCTATAAAGCTAAAAGAGCTAATATTGAACTGAGAAAGATGAATAGCATATAATTTTTTCCTGTTCACCAGTGTTTCACTCCTACTAGTCATGCTTGTGGTGAGGTGCAGTTTTCTTTCTGTTTTATATTGGTCTCTTGTTTTATTTGTCCACTATGTACAGCACTGACAATAACATGAATAATCAGTTGAAAACAATGTCAGTGTTTTCAGTATCATCATCAGCTGATCAGTGGATGCTACAGAACCTGTGCACTCAGAGGATATGTGCTCGTAATGTTTGGTGCAGTGTGGATGGAGGTCAAGGGGGTCCCTGTCATAATCGAAATATTACAGGTAATTTAGGGGGTCCCTCGATTCAAATACTAGAGGAGTACACCTTGAGGATTCCAGGACCTCTCCACCCCTCTTAATTTTGAACACTGCTTGGAGTAAATAACTCCCCTTCTTCAGACTTGTGAGGTTTAGTGCATTATTTAACTGATTTCAAAAGTGTTTAAATCCTGAAAGTGAGACAGAGGTCAGAGGTTTTAGTTTACATTAACAACATATTAGGCTACGATCTCGACTATTCTGGGTGTTAAACATTACCTCTTCTGCTACCTGAAAAAACAATCATTATCATTTGAGTCATGTATATTAATAAATAACATTTTACCTGAAAACAATATGTCAAGAAACTGATAAAAATAGAACTTTCTTCAACATTGTTCTAAAAGTATCGATAATTCTATGTATAGCAGAACTGGTAGAAAAAGTTGAAACTGAGCCTGTGACTAAACTTCTATTTATATTCGTGTATCCATATCTAAATTGAAATGTGGTGAAAAACAAAGAGAATGATTGGAACCTGTGTACATATGTGGCCACAGAAGTAGATATTTCATATTGTAACAACATAATATCACAAATGTTTGTTTTTATTATTCGAGGCTGAGCAGGCGAGAAAGTGAAATTTTACAACATACACTTAGAGTTACCTCCCTTTATCTATAGCACTTCACACACAAACTTGAAATTGATCAACAATCCTAAAACTGCTTTCAACATCCATTCTGTATAAAAAAGTAACCCCTTAAACTATTTCATTAACGGAGAAGTCACGCCTACATTCATTTGAATAGTATTAGAGTTTAAACATCCACCCGGCCATTCACAAACATGCACTGGCACGAAAATCGGAAGTTGTCAACCTGTCAAACAACCTAGGTTAGTAGGTTGCACACCTAAATGACAACACCTGAAGTTAAAATATATACATGCAAGCCCTGCAGCGGTTGGTAATTGGAATATATACAGGACATGCACTCTGGTGCTCACCATATCTGAAGATTTTGATCTTCCCCGTTTCCCCTTACGCTTCCCAGCCATTTTCGAATCGCACGCGAGCGGAATTTGTAAACAGAAAGTTGCGCGTGCGCAGACCGGCTGTCAATCGACTTAGCCGCATTTGCCTGTTGCAGAGATATAGATTATTATACGGTCTCTGTATGTAACAAATGTATGTTTATTTGTTTGTTGTTTAACGCCGCACTCAGCAATATTCCAGCTATATGACGGCGGTCTGTAAAATAATCGAATCTGGACCGGACAATCAAGTGATTGACATTATGTGCATCGTTCCACGCAATCGAGAACCATTACATGTAATCAGAGACCATATAATAGATTATATGGTCTCTGATGTAATGCATCAACCAAGTCAGCGAGCCTGACCACCCGATCCCGTTAGTCGCCTCTTACGACAAATGAACAGACTTATTTTAAAACGTTTACCCATTTAAGTTACATCGCAGGACCATGTAACTAATAATAACAAAACACTCGCAGACGATGATTTTTTTGGTTATTATTATTATTAGTTACATGGTCCCGTGGTTACATGTTGTCGATTTTTTTATCATTTTGAATATAAATGGGTTTTAAAAACGTATTTAATAACCAAATGCATCTTTTATGGCTTCTTTTATCTCATCAAAAGAACGACTTTGACTTTCGCCGTTAACCGACTGCGAAACAGAGTCGTAAAACTCTAAACGATCGACTAACTGCACATGAAGGATACCGTGTAAATCTTAGTTTCATGGAAATGTACTTTACTGAGACCTCGTCTCATTGGAAACATATTATGGAAGATATCAACACATTCTTTACTGTTTATGCAACTTGTGTGAGTGGCGGGTGATACCGGTAGAGCAGAACCTGCTAGCAGAGACCATATAATAGTATAGTATATGGTCTCAGCTGCTAGTACTCTTTACACGAAGACTTGGTGCCATCATTGATTTTCATTTATCCATTCATATTATTTTCACCGCTATTTAGCCTTTTACGCATGACAGATTAACTATAGTAATATGAAAGAATCGGGTGGACCTTAACTATTTTTGGGTAGTATATCGATCAGGTTTTGACTCAAAGCTACGTTACCAGGGACTACACATATAATAAAGGAACTATAAACTGATGTTCATATAGTTACGTTATTGCGTTTATTATTCTTATACCAAGTCCGAACGTATGTCTTATATTTCTCAAGAGTGGAGAAATGTCCGTTTCAAAGAGAGATATGTGCCTACTGAAAACAATTTTCACGTCAGATTTGAGTCATTATTTCTACCTTAAATATTGAGGTTGTTAGAAGTCCGGAATTGACTGTTCATGTTTATGATTCACAATTTAATTTACTACTTTTTGCTGTTAATGGTGTTATTGTCCACATTTATGTACTTTTTCGTGCATTTCGAGAAGTGATTACGCTAATGTGCATTTGTTTACATCCAAAGAATGAAAAGTAAAACAAAAATATTAATATTTGCAGAAAGTATCGAGTTTATATTTTATGTGAAACGGATACCAAATTTTGCTGTAATCTTAGAAATGTACGTTATCCACCAATCAAGGGAAATCCACAGCATATGTATTCAACTATTGCATGGTTGCTATTTTTGGCATCGTCCTCTATTACATATTTCTTCGTTTGATTTCAAAGTAATTTACTCGCACATAACAGCATAGATATTTCATTTAATATAGTTATATTATTTAATTTCATTTTCAGTAGTGTCAGTTATGTTTCTGACAGGTGTTATCAGAATTTACAAGACACTTTGTTGTGATTGATCGTGTTTCAAGTTGTTTAGTAAAATATCTTAACATGTTCAGTTGTCTGTTTGTTGGTTGTTTGTAAAAGAAGACTATAGTTGACAGGTAGTGTAATTTTGGGCCTTATTAACCAATAATGTCATACAAGGTGTTTAAATCCATACAAGAATCGGAATATTAACTTTCATTATTTTGTTTAACATTTCCATACAATGAACGGAAGGCGCACGGGTGGTCCAGTCTTCTTAGGCGCCGCGATTCGCTGTGCAGAGTTGCGTCCCTTGGGCACGCCAGAAACCTATGGTTGTGGGTTCGAATCTCGGTTCGCCCCGATTATGTTTCTAGGTTCGTCAGCACCATACCCGTGCTCGTGGGTTTAACCGAGGTGGTAAACGTCTGAGACCTGCATCACTTCGGGCTTTCCCCCCACATTAAGCTGCTACGCCGTGATTGGAATAATGTGAAAAGCGGCGTTAAACCCAACTCTCTCACTCACTCACTGTGAACGGAAATTATGAATCATCTAAACTTGCAAACATCTTTTATTTGTTATTTTATCTTCTTGAGTTTCAGTGATAGGGAATTGGGAAGCGATTACAAATCCTTCTACCAACTAATCTGTTGTTTCACAGTCATAAACGTATTCTACATTAGATGAGAAAGAGTCATGTTATTTAAAGTAGATTTTACAACATCGTATATCATGTCACACCCGCTTTGCATTGTGGGACAGTGACGCGCCAATTGTCACCTTATTGTCACCCGCAGCATTTATCTCCCTTGCTGCATTCCAATTACATAGGCGCGACCTCGACCTTAATCAGTCACCGCTCAGGTATTCAAACACTATCGGGGACAGGGGACACAGGTAAGCAAGTCAGATCGCAATCAAAACATTGTTAATTACTTATCATTACACTTTTTTATGACATAACTGTAGGCATTTTAGGTTTGTAATAACGTACGGCGTTTGATCGAAGCGTTACACCTGTAATCAAGAGCGTTTGTACACACCTGTACGGGACATAGGAAGTTCGAGTAGAAACATCATGGCGGACAACTCGAGGATTCCCCTGACTTTATTTATCTATCAGAATTTTCAGTCAATATGAAGGATCGTCGTGTTTAAAGGCGGTTTAAGTGGACAGTGGTAATAGTAGAAGCAGTAATAATCAACTTGACCAACACAAACCACTTAGAAAGTTCATTCAAATTGTATCCAATAATTTTGACATACTTCCGGTTTTCCCAACTCTTTACTAGTGCTATGATTACGTCGTTCATGTGTCATCAGAGATAGGCTGGGGTAGCTAATTAGCATCCCCTGGATTTAGGATTTTAAATCCCCCCCCCCCCCCCCCCCCCTTATAAATACACGACATGTAAACCATTGTTAATTTTACTTATTTTGTTATATTTGATTTTATGCATGTACTCTGTAGAATAAAGTCTAACTTCGTCATATCCCATATCTCAGCCCCATACAACAAAATAGGATTAATTTTTGTAAAAATCGAAGATCACAGAAAATGCATAAGTTTGTGTTATGATTAAGTTTGTCTGGGTAGCAGATTGTGTTGAATGGGAATTCTGTCACAGTTTTCTGGAGAAAAAGACACCCAGATATTTGTTTTGAGCAACAACATCTAATATTTATCCATTGACCATTAGACATATCTGTGTCATTACGTTAATTGTACCCCCAACCTAACAGGACGTCCTATTCCGTCCTTATGAGGACATTTTTTGTGAGACCTATAACTTGAAAACTACTCCCTCGATTCTTTTCAAACACTTTGTATACCAATAGGAGTGAGGCAGTGTGAAGTTGATTTCAATATTTGGATGTTCAGAGAAAATGCAGCTATTTTTCATGTTTTGACTTAGGCTTGTTTAACTAAAACGTTTGTGCAACCATAACTTGAACTACTTCATGGATTCTTTTCAAAATTTACAACACTTACTATACCAATAGGAAGGGAGCCGAGCAGTGTAAGGTTTGATTTTGAAAAGTGGATTTTCTGAGAAAATATTGCTTTCTTAATGTTTTGATCTTTGAAATATGTTGGAGTCCAAATCGGGGATATGAGTGAGCCCGGTCACTTTTTGCCTTGTTTGTTGTAAACTAGTGATGGTGCTGGAACTACTTACAGTACCATCAGCAAATAGCAGTGAAAAGAGGTTTACAATGTTGGGATGTAAATTATGCCACCTTGACATTTATCTTCTATCTCCATGGCCAATTCATAAATAAAGAAAAGAGGAAAGGGCTTAATATGCTTGTCTTACTCCTATATTGCATTAAAATTTATTACTAAAATTATCGTTGCATTGTATCAAAGCTTTTACGTTTTCACAGATACATGACAATAATTTTGACATTTTACAACTGCTTCAAATAATATGGTGTCGCACAGTGAAGACGATCTGATCGATAATCAAGATCTATTTTGTAATAAAAATGGGTCTTACTTTGCGAAGTGCATCAAATCATGTGAGCACCTTGATTAAAAACATGGAAAGATTTTGAAAATATCTGTTGATGCTAAGTTGTCGGTACACATGCTTAGCAAATCCTGCAATTGACCGAAATCTGCACAGCAGTTTATGAACCAGATGTCGATTTCGTTACGCAATTTCGATTGGACTATGCATAGACTCGTTATTCCAGGCCAAATACAACTCCATAATTCCAGCCTAGTTTGGCAAGGGTGGAAATTGGACTTTTATTGTCAGTTAACTCCCTTGCCTCGGGAAGATGGTCTGATTTTGGCTAAATCTTCATTGGTTGTTGATAGACGTAGAGCTTTGTCTATCATTACAGACACCATATGAAGATGTTTATGGCAAATGGGATTCCATTACTTTTTACAGTAAAACTTCAGCCTCAAAATTTGTTAAAATCATAAACCCTGGCTAGAAGAATTTTGAAAAATTGTTTATGTAATATTTTAAGGGTCAGTACATCGACTGTTCTGTGTGGTATTAAATCATGCATGAAATAATATCTTGAGTGTGACGTCGCACCCATCGTTCATGCACAGTGCAATTCTCAAACCAAAACATGCTCCTCACAGCGAAACCAACAACACAAGTTATGTGCAGAATATACTGGCTTCAGTCATGTTTTTACTAGAGGCAACTGAAAAGAAAGCTTGTGTTTTTCTAACAGATGTGTTGCAAAATGCAAATTACCAGCTTTATCAAAGGCCAATCACTTTGCAGACACAAGGTAGGTGGCCGAGAAGAAGCGCTTCCTGACCTGCTAATGATCCTAATTTCTGCAGTGTGGTCATTGGGGCAGAAACTTGTCTAACGGAATAAGGCGAAACTTGAATTATACTCTGCACTCCTGGATTTAGTAGAAATATGTTTGAATTGTTACCTTGTTTCGTTTTGTCGCTGTGTGTACATATGACTGCACTTCGTAACGTTATGACAGGCCAGACTGTCAACAACGTCTGAGCATGGCCGTGATGTCTCATAGACTAGGGTTAGAGTAGCTTCCCTTTGACAAAGGGCAGTCACTCTCAGCGGACAGACCGATGGATTGCCGTGAAAGACAAGTAAAAACAATTCATGTAGGCAATTGTTTTGCGTATATGTTTCACCACTGTATAAGAAACATGTTTCAATTGGAACTATATTGGCTACTGTCACTGTCCGACTAACACATCACTTACCTTGTGACACTATATATATTAATGCGCACATTCAAGGAAATCTTGCAATGTTTTGGTAATGTTTGTGAGAGAAGGAAAGCAATTTTTAAGCACAGATTTGAAGAATAACATAATATTATAAGAGGTTATCACCCTTGTGTGTTTGACTTTGAGGATGGTAAATATCCTGTATTAGGAATAAACACTATGTATTTAGCTCTCCGAGGCTCGCTAATTACAATGTTATTCCTAATACAGGATATTTACCATCCCCAAACACACTCGCGTGATAACCTCTTTACACACACACTAAAAACTGGTTGCAGGACATTCTGCAATTATATCCTCAGTTTAAGCTGAAATTTTTTTGACTTGCCAAAGTTTGAAGGGTGGCTTAAAAGTTTGGAGCCAAACTATGATGAACTGCATTGATGGACTTGGTTGCATATTATTTAGGGAGTATTCCCATCAGCATGAAGTCTTGCCTGTCTGGAGTACTTGTATTTTCTGTTTGCAGCTGACTATGTACGGGCACTTGCTACTGGGAGCAGTGCTGCTCTCGCTAGCTTCCTTCGGGGCAGGGCAGATGGAGAACAATTGTTTGGTGGAGAACACACAGGGATGCCGACTTGCAAGGCCGCCGTAAGTGTTTACTTTTTTTAATTCATTAATTAACTCATCATAGTGAAACTTGTCATGTGTATATTGTAAAAAATGGAAATGTTTGAATAATTTTGAGAAAGGCATAATCCTGTAACCTTGATAACCATGGTAACCCTGTACCGCTTTTTGTAAATGCCAATGCAATAAATGATAACAAGACCTGGGGTAGAATAGGTCTTCAGCAACCCATGCTTGTCGTAAAAGGTGACTATGCTTGTTGTAAGAGGCAACTAATGGGATCGGGTGGTCAGGTTCATTGACTTGGTTGATGCATATCATCATAGCCCAATTGTGTGGATCGATGCTCATGGTATCAATCAATGGATTTTTGCAGACCGCTGTCATATAGCTTGAATATTGCTGAGTGCGTCGTTAAACAACAAACAAACAAATAAATCAAAATTTGAAAATTAAGTTATAGAGATTGCATCTGATAGCTACAACCATGAGAACATACATGATACTCATTTGATAATCATGATAGTGTTTGAAGGGAATGAAAAATGTCATATTAATGTTGGCATGCTTATGAATGAAAAATGTCATATTAATGTTGGCATGCTTATCATGCTAATATTGGCATGTTTATCATCATGTTGACACACCATTGGAGGATTTATGCTCAAATGAAAATTTAATCACATCTGTGCTGAATTAGGTGTCTACAATCAGGACCATGACTAGTTTAGAGGATGTTAAATTGAACATTTGAAACCTGAACCTGTGTTCACTAAAACCTTTAGTTTCAGCCATCAAATCTATAGGGAACATCTCATGGTCGCCTCCAGTATGTATATTATGTTTGTTATGCCCTATTATGGCTGAAGGGGTCGTTGTCGGCACAGGTTCTACAGAAATGTACCCCAGGTAGGTTTCTGTATACAGAAATGTACTCTAGCCAAAATTAGAATACAGAAACGTACCTGGTACCCCTAACAGCGGATGAGTCCATATTTCCCAAACCCGAAACCGGTTCATGTTGTAGTTCCGGTTTGCCTGATTACGAGTGCATGCATGCTACTTCTACCCGATCTTTTGCCAATGGCCCCGTACACTTGTGTAACATTACGGCCTTAAGCTTGTCAAAGGCATTTAACTTCATAAGATAATCTTAAAGCTCTTCCTGTCGAATGTGTACTGCCATGTTGCCTTTAACCACGGTTTGGCATACAGGAAGTGACAAATACCTAAAGAACCAGTTACACGCATTGCACCCAGCGGCAGAATGGACGCATCCTAGGCTACGTTTTTAATTTTGGCTAGGGTACATTTATGTATTCAGAAACGTGCCTGGGGTATATTTCTGTAGTACCTGTGCTGACAACAACCCCTTCGGCCCTATTATATCCTTATGTAGGATAGCTACACGATAAATAGCAAAAAACAATGAAGAACAAAGCATGGTTTATTTCAGATAAAACATTGTTCTATTATGACGTCATTTCTGGAGATTCAAACTTGCGCTTGCAACTTGATGAGGGAGTGTGTAGTGAGTTGTTCCCATAGATCTAGCAGGGCAATGCAGATAAACGTGATGGCCGAACGATTGCATCCCAAAGCAGGAGTGACATGACAATCGGTATTGGGAGAAAAGGCACAGGTAATCGACGTGAGGATTTTGAGAATATGCGGGAAATACCCACCTGTGCATAAAGTTTGAATTGTCTGACATTGCCAAGTGTTCCATGATGGCGTTCGTCTTTGTTTCAGTATTTACATGATCCTGGCACCAAAGAGGGTGAGACCCAATCAGGTGATCCAGATATTTGCAACCATCCTGAAGCTAGAGTATACACACGTCAATATCCGGATATCCATCGTCAAGGAGAACATCGAATATGCCGGAACGGTGATGAAGTTTGACAGACCATCCAGCAGGATAATGCAGCTACAGGTATGTTAATTATCTCCCTTGATGTTGTAATGCACCTGAAGGGGGACAGCTGGCCCAGTCTTCAGAGTGCTATAAGTCTTTGTGCAGAGTTGTGTCCCTTAGATGTGTCAGGATATATTGCCCTGTTGAGATCCTTGCTTTGTCAGTACAAGACCTCTTCACCAGTGATCATGGGCCTGCAGGTACCATTTGGTCCATTTGATCACGCCTCAAACAATCTCATTAAAATCACTTTTTATCAGATCTTAGTTCTTGCTACCGCCGAACAAAGATCTTAGGACATCCCCTTACGGGTCACGTCAGACCGACCTTTCGTGAAGTTTGACCGACCAATGGAATGACAAACAGGAAGTCGACAATAGCCAATCAGAAGGCAGCTTAATCAAGCTTTACGGCACAAGTTTCAAACTGGCAACTACACTTGGAACATATTTTGACATATACTTGATTAAAAAATTTAAAGCTGAACAAAGGAACATTCTGGAATGGCTAAAAGATGATCTAGATTGTATGAATACAGACAAAAAGCCCATAACTGTGGTTCGGAATACTCTTTTTTATGAGGTTGCATGATCACATTTCATCTGTCACTTGATGCTCTGATTGGTCAAATAAAAGGTCGTCCTGACATGACCTGAAATGGTGAGTGAGTGAGTTGTGTTTAACGCCGCTTTTAACAGTATTCCAGTTATATCACGGCGTGTCAGCTTAATGTGGGAGGAAAGCCCGAAGTGATGCAGGTCTTAGACGTTTACCACTTCGGTGAAACCCACGAGCACGGGTATGGTGCTGACAAACCTAGAAACATAATCGGGGCGAACCGGGATTTGAACCCACAACCACAGGTTTCTGGCATGCCCAAGGGACGCAACTCTGCACAGCGAATCTCGGCGCCTTAGACGACTGGGCCACCCGTGCCCCCGACCTGTAATGGGATGTCCTCAGATCTTTGTTTAGCGGTAGTGAGAACTAAGATCTGATTTTAATGAGATTGCCCCTCAAACAGCATACATTCAGTGGAACTGTTTATACTGATGAATGTACCTCCATGTTTGCAGATGCCACAGAATGCACAGGCCGGGCAGTACAGACTGAGACTGGAGGGAACTCTCAATGGCGGCACAAGTGGTTACATCTTCCGCAACGAGACTGACATCGAGTTTGACACCAAACAAGCCTCTATCTTCATCCAGATGAGCAAGCCAATTTACAGACAGGGACAGACAGGTGAGCATGATCAAGTAGCCAGAGTTGTCTCCCATCAACAGAGTTGTCTCCCATCAGTCACAGTTGTCTACCTTACTTAATTTACATTTGATAAGGAGTTCAGCTACAGTTAGTTTCTAAATGCTCCACTGGAACATAAAAGCAATTGGAATTTGTACCATGGTGTGAAAAATGATCGTGACATTGGTGGGTTTTGTTTCAGTTCAATTTCGAGTGGTTCCTATTCTACCCAACCTGATGCCCAAATATGGAAGTATGACTATATACGTTGAGGTGAGTGTTGGCATTTAGTTTGTTTGTTTGTTTGTTTGCTGTTTAATACCGCACTCAGCAATATTTCAGCTATATCTGTAAATAATCAAGTCTGGACCAGACAATGCAGTGATTGACATCATGAGCATCGATCTACGCAATTGGGATACAATGACATGCATCAACCAAATCACGAGTCTGACCACCCGATCCCGTTAGTCGCTTCTTATGACAAGCATAGTCGCCTCTTACAGCGAGCATATGTTGCTGAAGACCTATTCTACCCCAGATCTTGACATTTAGGAATGAATGAAGTTTAATTGAGGCATAACATGTTTGTTTAAGTTATGTTTCAGAAATCAGAATGATTAGAGTTCTGGTACAGATATTTGGTTGATAAAAATATTTTTAAAATAATTGAATACAATGTTTCATGTTTACAGGATCCAACAGGAATTCCTGTGAGGAGATGGCTGGGTTTGCAGACAAATGCAGGAGGTATGAAAATGTTATGTAACATCATGCACAAGAAAGATAATTCATGATTAAATGTCGTTAAATTGCTTCATGTCTGTACTGCTGGTTCTGTGGAACAAACACCAGCAACATGTCTGTGACCAAAGATATCTGACGTGCCTCTACCAGATTGTATATTGGTACCTTACCTACATGAAAATCTGACAATTACACTTGTTCCAGCATGAACTTAAAGAATCTTAACTTTGCAAATGTTTCTTCTTTTTAATGAATTGTTTTTCCTGAATATATTTCTTGATCAACTTTGATATCACTTGTATTAATTCAGTTAAGGATAATCTTTGTCTTTTAAGAGCTTCATGAAAATGATAAATTCTCATCTTTCAAGGTCTTGTAAGTCAAAGCTTTGATCTTGCTGACCAGCCAAACTATGGAAATTGGAGCATCAGAGTTGATGCCTTTGTGAGTACCTTGTGGTTCTTTAAATAAAAAATAAACAAAGAATTATTGGTCCATTTAGCATTATTGTTACAACTATTTTCAATTTGGGGTGAAATGGGGTTTAACGTCACATCCGGACTGATGCCAATTTATTGTGCAAGCCCACATAGATACCATGCCACAGTTAAACATGAATACCCCACTCATACACAGTAAACTTTGACTCCGAGCTGACCTTGTTTTAGCCCCATAATGCCGAGCGCCAGACAAGGTAACTACAAGTACCATCTCTTAACGTCTTTTGGTACTATTTTCAAAGTTTGCTGTACTGCAAATATGAAACTTATTGTTTTAATTTCAATCAATAGTCATTTTGAAGTTGAATGAAAAATAGTCATTTTGTTGGTCCTGGAGGGCCCTGTGAGTTCAACATAGAACTTACTTCATTGTCAAATAAACTCAGTGCATTGTTTAACCTGCTACATGTTTCTTCCCACAGGGACACACATACAGGAAACCATTTGTGGTGGAAGAATTTTGTAAGTATTGAATGTCTGGACGATGTGTCGTGATATTTCAGCAAAGTCGTTCATTGCTTCATTTCATTTTATTCGTATCACCCCGGTGGGTTAAGACAACACAATAGAATATACTTTGTATAGTAACTAAACAAACATCATAAATTTGGGGCTCAAATTTTTAATGTGCCAAAGTGGGGTTAGCAATTGGATCCACGCAAGGATGGAACGCAGTAGTACAAATCACTTACCAGTAGTACCCAAACTTTGGAGAAACCCCAAACTCACAATAGAACTTTATATGTTTATAAGCATAGCTGTAATATCTCCTACACAAAATGCCCACAGTATTACTACTGGGTGGGAGGGTGTGGCTAAAATGGAGCAAAGCAAAAGGCTACCATGTTAGCGCTGTGGTATGGCTGTCACATACTCTGCGTGGAAGGGACGTCACTCCTATAGCGGTTTAACAGGTCAGAGACCTCTATCATGAAATAAGGGGAGGTAACTCCCAAAGTCCAATTCACTAATGAACATAAACTATATGGAGAAACCAACTTGAACTCAGTGTTAAACTCAGTATCATGTCTAGTTACTGATAGTCTGATGTAATCACATTGACCCAAAGGTTTTCATGTTCATTGTATGTGATTAAAATTACTTTTGAAAATACTGATATTTTAATGGGTATATACTAGCCGATTGATGTGTTGGTTTTTTTCTCATTTGTCAGGGGAGCCTCGATTTGACGTGAATGTCTCAGTTCCCCCCTACATCATGGACAATATCCAGATCTTCCAGGGTGTCGTACTGGCCAAGTAAGTAGATACTGTAAATCTTGAAATTAATGCGCCTCCAAATTAATACGACTGCTGACCCCTATATAGCCAATAATGCGAGTCAACATCAGTGTGACTCCCCCCACCCCATCCCATCCCCATCCCCAGTGGAACGATACATAACCTTACCTAATTCCAATCAAACATCAAATAGCACCGCTTATTACCACTGAGTAAAGCACTTCCGTAATAAAATAAACAGTGTTTTCCTAAAAAAACACACAGTTTTGTTTGTTTATTCTGTTGACTGGCATTAAGGATGGGAGGGGTCAGTGATGCCTAGTTTGACCCGAGTGGGTAGAACTCTTGACCTCAGCAGTGATAACTCACCGGATGCCTATTGTGTAATTCCTATTCTTTGAATGACATTGTTATGAACTTGTTACAACTGCTGCTCAATAAACCATGTTTCGGTTTATATTATATATCATTAGTTGGTATTTCTGCTGTCCAAAGTGTGCAGTGAGGCCTTCCTATTGTTGATAGTCATTTTGGAGACATAAATGCAAAATCTAGTTAATGCGAACAAAGACCACTCGCATTTTATTCACGTTCGCGTTAATTTCAAGATTTATATTACCCTCACTCCCTTCAAGGTAGTACTTGGGAACACCCATATATATCCAACAGAATATTCCTCCATCCATCCCCATAATTTGTTAAACCAACAATTAGTTAATTAACCTGGAAGACTACACTTGGTACAGAACCATCCAGAATATCAAGGTGTACACCTGACTATACTTATCTTTCCTTACAGTCAGACGAGCGGTCGTCCTGTGATCGGCAATGCCTCTATCACGCTCACATTCAAACCCAAGCCGATACCGGGAATTGACTACGGCAACAAATTCCCCTACATTTTCAGGTTTATTGAATATGTGAGTAGAATGATTTTTTGTTGTTGTTTTGTTTGTTGTTTTAACGCCTCACTCAGCAATATTCCAGCTAAGTGATGGCGAGTCTGGACCAGACAATCCAGTGATTGACATCATGAGCATTGATCTACGTAATTGAGATACGATGACATGCATCAACCATGTCAGCAAGCCTGATCACCTGATCCCGTTAGTCGCCTCTTACGACAAACATAGTCACCTTTTACAGCGAGCATGTGTTGCTGAAGACATATTCTACCTCCGATCTGCTTTCTTTTCATAGGACATCTTTTCGTAACATTTGCATACTTTTGAACTTTGTATTCTTTAACTGGCGTCTCTTTGTTTTGTATTTCGACATTTATTAGTAACATTTCATACTTTATTTGTAACATTTGACCTTTATTGCATACTTTTGTCCTTTATTTCAACTTTGTATTTGACTGAATGGCCGCCCATACATGACATACCAACTTTTAAATGCAGTTTGTGATGTCAGGTGGCTGTGTGGTGTCAGAGGCATCATTTTATGTGCGGTTGTTTTGCTTTGATTGCGCCAGAATGACCCATTGTGATTCAGAATAGACTTTTTCTGAAATTATGCATCTTCTTCCATTTCTTTACAGCATCTCGGTCGTATTGATTTCAAATTCACCATCGAGGAAATTCGACAACTGGCGGACAGAATCATACCTGGCCAGAATTTAGTTGACTGCGAGCTGGAAATGAGCGTCAACGTCTCAGATTGGCATTCTGGTTTGAACCGGACAGGGGTTGCCAGCACCATCATCTTCAACAGCAACGTAAAGCTGAAGTGGGTCGGGGACCACGTACGGACGTTCAAGCCCAACTCCATCATTAAAATAGATGTAAGTGATGACGAACAGTCAGCCCTCTGAGACTTCTTCACACATAATCCCTAAGTTTATTTTTAAAGTGTTAAATGGTCTGTCTGTCTGTCTGTCTGTCTGTCTGTCTGGTTAGCCACTTTTCTGGTCCAGACTGCCTGTGGCGTAAAACCGCAATCATAGAGGTCCTGTAGTAATGGGATTTTTTATTCTGCAAACATGCCACAACAGATGTTGAATTTCCTGTATTGAGATTTGCCTCTGCTTGTCAGGTTGCGGTGATGAAGTATGATGGGACTCCAGTGGATACAGCCAATAAGATCGTGCGACTGTACTCCTCCATGTCCAACTCGGGTCCCGCGACCCCGCGATACGATCAGCCAGTGGACAAGTCGCCTGTGGGAGGCATCGTGGAGTTTGAGGTGTATGCAGACACAGAGGTTCAGGGCATGATGCTGGAGGTAGGCAGCCCACACGGAGAAATACCGCCATGTAGAATAATCTTATCCTGACTCATACACGAGTATAAGTATGAGTTAGGATAAGTTTAAATTTACTCTAAAATATAAATGTTTCAAATACAGAAATATATCGAATTAATAATATGACCAGATTTTCTGAGGCCATTTTGATCACCTTCAATATTAATTGTTCTCATGGCATCTTTTGCATCTTATATGGCCTCATCTGTTTTGTCAATTTTCTTACTAATTAGGTTGTGATAGAAGGTAAGTAAAAATCTCTCACACTATATTTATGTAAGAAATAAACCCAGGTTTCTTTTAATTTAAATGGCAATGCCGTGGCATCTGTTTTAGTGTCCATGTAATAAACAGTCAAGGGGAGACAACTCAGACTGTCAAATTGCTGATAATGCTGTAAGCGGTATTTGCTATTTATTGTTGCAAGGGACACATCACAGGCGCCAAGCGTAACGTGCAAACTACATGTTGTTCAGAAAAATCCCAGACTATATTTGTATTATAAATAGGGCTACCACAGTTGTGTCCCTTTGGCGTACCAGAATCCTATGATCATGTGTTCAAATCCCAGAATCACCCTGATTATGTTTCTAGCTTGTCAGTGCTATATCTAGGATCATTGATTTCTAGTCGTTGTTTGTTCTTCTGTTCTAGGCTGAATATGACAATGATCCTACAACTCGTATCCAACTCCGTGGAACGCGATTCTTCTCTCGAAGCCAGAGCTACATCACCGTCACAACCTCAACAGACAACCCGAAGGTAAGAACTAAATGAACAATCTACAGACTGATTAGATTTCTCAGTGATATAATTTCTTTTCAAAAGGTTTAAATAGCCAATCAATTGAAGGTGTGTGAGCTTGCTGCTTGGGAATTTCTGTTGCTCATGCTATCAACCACTAGTTTTACTGGACTTGACACTTACCTGTAATCAATCACACACTCACCTGTAATCAATTGTATTCAACAGGTCAATGAGTACATGATCTTCCATGTGAAGACCAGCAACTTTATTCCAAGGATCTTCTACCAGGTATGATGGTTTACTTTTCATCATTTAACGAATGAATCTGATGCCATTTCTTGTCATTTATTACTTTACTATACAGTAAACTATGATTATAATGAAATCAAAGGGACCACTAATTGAAGTTGGTTTTTACCTTAATTCATTGTAAGAATGTGTACAGCATGTATAAAGCAAATGGCCGGGACCAGAAAATATGTTTGTTGTATCCACCAGTTCATTATTAGCATGTTCGTTATATTACTGTAATTGTATATTTTCATCCTCTATGATGAAGTTTGGTTATTAAACCTGCATTTTCATCTCTGCCCCCTCCCCCCCTACACACACACACACACACACACACACACACACACACACACACACACACACACACACACACACACACACACACACACACACACACACACACACACACACACACACACACACACACACACACACACACACACACACACACACACACTTTTCACACACTTTTCTCACACTTTTCTCACACTTTTCACACACTTTCACAAGAAAATTGTCTATTCTGTGCTGAGAATTGAAGCTGAATATCGACTTCCATGACAAAGTAGTATCAAGAATGTACTGATTGTCACAAATAGCTAAATCGTCACAATATGGCAGAAATATTGCTGATGTGACATTAAATATTAACGCACTCACTCACAAATAGCTAAGAATTGTTGATGTGGTACAAGATGAATTGGCACTAAAGGTTTTGACGATGTTGACTAACAAAGTAAGATGCTATGATAAACTTCTATTACAGGTGGTGTCGGGAGGGAACATCATCATTGGTGATGAGCTGGAGATGACTTCAAGGCAGAAGACGTTTGCCATAGCGTTGTCCCGGGAGATGATCCCCACGGCAAGGATGGTAGTGTACTATCTCAGACAACCGGAGGAGATCGTCATCGACGTCCTCAACTTCTTCGTTAATGGAACCAGACAGAATCAGGTAAATCACACCACCTTCCTGTTGTCATCATCTAGAAGCTTTCATGGATGATATGTCACAGGGTACCTTGGTATGTCTTCATTGTCTAGAAGGTATCATTGACAGGAGATCACAGGGTACCTTGGTATGTCTTCATTGTCTAGAAGGTTTCATGGCCAAGAGATCACATGGTACCTTGGTATGTTTTCATTGCCAAGAGGTCACAGAGTGCTAAGTTAGATAAGAAGAGGTCACAGAGTGATATTTTGGAGAACAACAGCGAACAACCTCAGACTACCATGTCTTCATTGCCAAGAGGTCACAGGGTGCTATGTTAGATAAGAAGAGGTCAGAGGGTGCTATGTTAGATAAGAAGAGGTCACAGAGTGCTATGTTTGATAAGAAGAGGTCACAGGGTGCTATGTTAGATAAGAAGAGGTCACAGGGTGCTATGTTAGATAAGAAGAGGTCACAGGGTGCTATGTTAGATAAGAAGAGGTCACAGGGTGCTATGTTAGATAAGAAGAGGTCACAGGGTGCTATGTTAGATAAGAAGAGGTCACAGGGTGCTATGTTAGATAAGAAGAGGTCAGAGAGTGATATTTTGGAGAACAAGAGCGATCAACCTCAGACCACCATGTCTTCATTGCCAAGAGGTCACAGGGTGCTATGTTAGATAAGAAGAGGTCAGAGAGTGATATTTTGGAGAACAACAGCGATCAACCTCAGACTACCATGTCTTCATAGGTCTCATGTTCCATGTTGAATGTGCCAATGTTGAAGTATAGGACCTCTGACTGGTGAGTGGTGGGATGGCGTCTACCTCATTAAGCACTTATCTCATCATGTGAAATGCTACTCTTTTGTTTAACTTGAATATACTACCCCGACTAACCAGCTGAAATTGTCAAATGTTTTGTATGCTCACATTACTCACTCACTCACTCATGGTTTCAGGTCAAACTAGAAATCAACCGAGGCAAGGACTTCAGCCGTGACAGTATAGAGTTTAACGCTTGGGCAGACCCTGGCTCCTACGTTGCCTTCGCAGGCATGCCTGTTGACTTGTACAATCGGGGAATGGATGACGGCATCAGTGAAAAAAATGTAAGTAGGGCTCCAGGAAATTATGTACGACGGTGATATTGAGCTCTTGAATCTTTCAATTGTTAGATTTTCATAATAGCGAATGTTAGGAAAGAAAATGTACACTGTTTGTTTGTATATGCTTGTTACATGATGGCAGCCTGTTAATAATTGACTCTGCATAGGTGGATCTAGAAGAGGGTTCCAGCGGGTCCGGCCCCCCACTTTTGAAAAACAAATGTTTGGTGTAGGCAGTAAAATTATCAGAGAGAGGATTTTGATATTTTGGACCCCTCCCTTTTTAAAGTGCTGGATCCAACCTTGCTTTGGACTTGACAAACCAGTGATTGATGTTTATCGTCCATACCATTGAGGTCAGATGACAATGCAGATCACTGACCCCGACCACCATTAAGTGACCTGTTATAGCATAGGTTGCTAGGGCCTGTTATAGCATAGGTTGCTAGGGCCTGTTATAGCATAGGTTGCCAGGGCCTGTTATGGCATAGGTTGCCAGGGCCTGTTATAGCATAGGTTGCCAGGGCCTGTTATGGCATAGGTTGCCAGGGCCTGTTATAGCATTGGTTGCCCTGGCCTGTTATAGCATAGGTTGCCCTGGCCTGTTATAGCATTGGTTGCCAGGGCCTGTTATAGCATAGGTTGCCCTGGCCTGTTATGGCATAGGTTGCTAGGGCCTGTTATAGCATAGGTTGCTAGGGCCTGTTATAGCATAGGTTGCCAGGGCCTGTTATAGCATAGGTTGCCAGGGCCTGTTATAGCATTGGTTGCCAGGGCCTGTTATAGCATAGGTTGCCAGGGCCTGTTGTAGCATTGGTTGCCAGGGCCTGTTATAGCATAGGTTGCTAGGGCCTGTTATAGCATAGGTTGCCCTGGCCTGTTATAGCATAGGTTGCTAGGGCCTGTTATAGCATTGGTTGCCCTGGCCTGTTATAGCATAGGTTGCCCTGGCCTGTTATAGCATAGGTTGCTAGGGCCTGTTCTAGCATTGGTTGCCAGGGCCTGTTATAGCATAGGTTGCCCTGGCCTGTTATAGCATTGGTTGCCAGGGCCTGTTATAGCATAGGTTGCCAGGGCCTGTTATAGCATAGGTTGCCCTGGCCTGTTATAGCATTGGTTGCTAGGGCCTGTTATAGCATAGGTTGCCAGGGCCCAAATCTAAGTACAGTAAACTATGGTCATAACGACCTCAAAAGGACCACTTATTTTAGTTTGTTAAAAGCATATATACAGCACATATATACAGCAATTGCATATGGGAACAAAAAGCAGTTTGTTCTATCCATCAGTTCGTATTGAGTGTGTTCGTTTACTGTACACTGAAAACTGATAACACCCGAACAGAACTGAATGTGAACTGATATGTCTAGGTGTGGAGGCTCATGTCTTACGTAAGGAGGGTACAGTAAACTACTGTTATAACGAACACGCTTATAACGAACTGACGGATATAACGAACTTACTTTTTGGCCCCGACTATTTGCTGTAGTTATGCTGTATATATGTTTATAACGAACTACGGTTATAACGAACTAAAATTAGTAGTCCCTTTGAGTTCTTTATAACCGTAGTTTACTGTATTTGTAAATGAATATGAAAATGAATAGAATATACACCATTTCAAGCAATGACACTATAGATATTATATATTTATTACTGTGGTCATGCAAGATATCTCTATATGGTGGCGAGTAACCAATGCTTGTCTTTGGAGCAGAATAAGGGCGTTTAGGTTGTTAAACTGCACAACCTGGAGGATTTTGTGTCATTGACCTGATGGCGACAATCAGTGCTCATGCTGTCAACTGCTGATTTATCTGTCACAGACTAAGTGTGACTGGCTGGAATATTGCTGACTATATTTCTTAAGAGTCCTTGATACCGGTGAAAATCCGGGGTAGAATTGGTCTTCAGCAACCCATGCTTGTCGGAAGAGGCGACAATAGGATCAGGTGGTCAGGCTTGCTGACCTGGTTGATGCATGTCATCGTATCCCAATTGCGTAGATCGATGCTCATGATGTTAATCACTGGATTGTCTGTTCCAGACTTGATTATTGACAGACTGCCTTCATATAGCTTGAATATTGCTGAGTGCAGTGTTAAACAACAAACAAACAAATCCTTGAATGACCCTGAACACATCTGATATTGAGACTGTCTTGATTTTGTTCAGCTGATCGATGAGCTGGACACGTATGACCAGCCAGCCAATGGCAGCTACCGCCATCTGTGGAGGATCAGCGACACAGAGTACGAGTACAAGTTCTTCCATGCCTCTGACTATGGCATAGACACCAACACAACGTTCAAGGTGACGACTGTTACATAGAAGACTCTTCACCATTGATCCAATATTGTTTCGTTCATGAAAACATGACTTTCAGTTTCACTTGTTTTGGGGGGGCCCGGGTGGCCCGGGTGGCTGTACAGAGTTGCGTCCCTTGGGCACGCCAGAAACCTATGATTGTGGGTTCGAATCCCGGTTCGCCCCGATTATGTTTCTAGGTTTGTCAGCACCATACCCGTGCTCGTGGGTTTCACCAAAGTGGTGAACGTCTAAGACCTGCATCACTTCGGGCTTTCCTCCCACATTAAGCTGACACGCCGTGAAATAACTGGAATAATGTTAAAAGCGGCGTTGAACTCACTCACTCACTCACTCACTCACTCACTCACTCACTCACTCACTCACTCACTCACTCACTCACTCACTCACTCACTCACTCACTCACTCACTCGTTTGGGGTCCAATGCGTGATCTTAAGGATCCCAGGTAATTGACACAGGCATCCCAGGTAGTACAGCTGATTGACATGTGTCCCAGGTAATACAACTGATACACAGGGGTCCCAGGTAGTACAGCTTATGGACATATGTGTCCCAGGTAATACAACTGATACACAGGGGTCCCAGGTAGTACAGCTTATTGACATATGTGTCCCAGGTAGTACAGCTGATTGACATGTGTCCCAGGTAATACAACTGATACACAGGGGTCCCAGGTAGTACAGCTTATTGACATATGTGTCCCAGGTAATACAACTGATACACAGGGGTCCCAGGTAGTACAGCTTATTGACATATGTGTCCCAGGTAATACAGCTGATTGACACAGGGGTCCTAGGTAGTACAGCTAATTGACAGTGGTCCCAGGTAATACAGCTGATTGACACAGGTGTCCCAGGTAGTACAGCTGATTAACATATGTGTCCCAGGTAATATAACTGATACACAGGGGTCCCAGGTTGTACAGCTGATTGACATATGTGTCTCAGGTAATACAGCTGATTGACACAGGGGTCCTAGGTAGTACAGCTGATTGACACAGGGGTCCCAGGTACTACAGCTGATTGACACAGTGGTCCCAGGTAGTACAGCTGATTGACACAGGGGTCCCAGGTAATACAGCTACAGAAATATAGCCTACACCGGGTGTTTTGGGGGAATCAGTGTTAACATAATTTTTTTGTTAGAAAGGAGGAATTTAGTTTGATGGAAGAGTAAGATTGTTTAACTTTGTAAGGACATTTGCGGTTGTGGGGTGACTAGACAGCTTTCACACACAATGCCCAGGTTTAATTCCAGTTATATCTGAGTGACTTTGACCCCAGTCATGGAAGCCTGCAACATAATTTTTGCCATTAAACAATTTATCACGTGACTAACCACTGGTCCAGGTAGTCCTATATTTACCCGGGCCCTACTCAGGCCCCCGACCCAAGGTACCCGAGTTACCCGTCCCAGCCCTACTTTGTCGTAGCGCCATGGCTCTCTTTAATAGATATGGTTTAATAATCCTTATCCCTGTTTCAGACCTCCGGCCTCATCATTCTGACAGATGCTGATGTTGGAAGACTCAACAGTAAGTAAACAGGACCCAGAGTGGCTCGGCTTACAAGGCCTGGAATATCTTCAGAATATAAATGTCTCGTGTCATCAATACAAATAAACTCAAAGGAAAATCCCCAGTCTCTCACTGCCGTGTTTCTGTCCTCAGATGTGCAGAGCTGCGAGGATTCGCAACAGTTACCATGTTTCTCGGGGGAGGCCTGTTACACTGTGGAGGAAATGTGTGACAGGGTCTTCAAATGTCCTGATGGCGCGGACGAGCAGGGATGTAAGTCAACCTCACTTTTCAATGTTACATGTGGAGATAATCTATACTCAGGTCCAGGGATGTAAGTCAACTTCACTTAACAATGTTACATGTGGATATAATATATATTCAAAGTACTTCATGGTTACCCTTTGTGGTGGTGCTGTACCCAAGGCAACACAATTTGCTGGACAGAGTTGTGTCCCTTAAGAATGCCAGGAACCTATGTTTGGTTTATCAGCACCATACCCGTGCAAGTATCAAAATTTGGGTCTGTATTTGGAATAGTAAGGATGTTCTGGCATGTGTTGTTCCAAAGTGACTTTATAATGTCACGGGTTCCAAGCATAGAATTTGGTTGGTTTTGCAATTAGCATGACACATCTACCCTTTCGTTTTGAAGGCCAGTATGAAGATAATCAACTACGTCATGCATCTGCCATGGACAGAGTGAGCAGAATTATGCGATTCTATGACAACAGCTCCTGGGCTTGGCAGGAAATCTTTGTTAAGTAAGTAGAAATAATTAAATAACTAAACACATTATACCCTTTGAATAAGAATTATGGAACAAACACACTTCAATTCCGATTTCGTTTTTTTTAATGGTGCATCTTTTTTCATTGCATTCTTGATTTTGATGTTTTAAATCTCATTAAAGTTGCTGTTTCAGAAGCAAATTGTACTTTAGAGAAGTAACAAGCTGGTATACTTCATACTCAGTGGAGGGGGCACGGGTGGCCCAGTCGTCTAAGGCGCCGTGATTCGCTGTGCAGAATTGCATCCCTTGGACAAGCCAGAAACCTATGATTGTGGGTTCGAATCCCGGTTCACCCCAATTTTGTTTCTAGGTTTGTCAGCACCATACCTGTGCTCGTGGGTTTCACCGAAGTGGTAAACGTCTGAGACCTGCATCACTTCAGGCTTTCCTCCCACATTAAGCTGACACGCCGCGATATAACTGTAATACTGTTAAAAGCGGCGTTAAACCCAACTCACTCACTCACTCATACTCAGTGGACATGATGGAATGGTCTGAATAAGATGTAAATTTGAACTAAATTGTAACTTGAATATCTGATAAACCTCCTTTCCAGACCTGATGGCCGTGTAGATTTCCGTGTTGATGTTCCAAAGTACCCATTGTCATGGGTGATAAACGGCCTGTCTGTCAGCAGAGAACTCGGCCTTGGAATCATGCAGAGACCAGTCTTGGTATGTAGCCTTGAAGCAAGGGAGATTACTCTTGAACCTGAACCTTGGAACAAGGGAGATAATTCTTTAAGATTTTATTAGAATTGTTGGAGTTGTATATCAAGACATATGTATTTTTAGACTTAACCTATCTCACACACATTTCTGCCTTCTTCTTTCGATCCTTATGTGGAAACGTGCTTAAACAAAGCTTCATGCTTCTAAAAGCAGTTCACCTGAACACATCCTGTGGGAGCAGGTTGCTCTAACATCGGCATGGTAACGAGCGCACTAGAAGCAGACGTCTAGTTCGTTTGGGTGGCAACATCGTCACTGAGGAAGCTATCCGATACTCCATAGTCTTCAACTGACAACAATGGTATGGTAGACAGAAGAGGTGGTTTCATGGCTGTTATGGCAGAAGAGATGGCCTTGTAACACGTTTGGGCTTTTTGGCTGAGGAAGGCCTGTGTCCTGCGTCCTCAGATTTAAACCGCCAATCAGTATTACGCTTATGACATTTGCGCAGGTAAATACAAAAGGCTTCCTCCGAGAGGTGGGAACAATGTTAACAAGTACAGTCCTTATAACAAAGGACACGACAGTGACAGCAATGGGCGTGGGTCCGCCAAGGAAATAGTATGTTTGCAATTTACGCCGGCTGGGCCGGGCGTTTACCTTGGTCTGTTTCCGTCTTCTACATTAGTATCCTAGGTGTTATTACCAAGCAGGAGGGACCCTACAAGAAATAAAAAAAACTAAAATGTATTCTCTTATAATTCCCAAAACACGTCTTCACACAGTGGCGATGAGAAAGAGAATGATGTGGCAGCGTGGTCATGTGATCCGATCGTGTAGGTCGCTATGCACGGGATTACAGTGCGTGACCTCTTTGTTTGGGTGGTGACCATGGTGATGCTGGGATGTGATTGGGTGAATTGTTTTTAGAAGCTTGAAAGTTCAAGCACAATTCCACATAAAGATTGAAAGAAGGAAGATTTCATGTATATAGTATATAGATACACAATTTAATGTATAATTTACAATATGTTTGATGACCTCCCATTCAGTGAATATTTAGTCATTCTTGGAGCCATGATGTAGACGTACCAATCACCTAACAATGAATGGTACTTTTATTTGCGTATGGTGTCCCCTTTCAGTATGACGCTGCCAGGTATATGTACATCCAAGTAGAAGCACCTGTGACCATCGTGAGAGGAGAGCAGATTGGAGTCAGGGTCACTGTCTTCAACTACTGGTACAACGATGACTACATTGAGGTCAGTGGAATCACTTGGTGAACAGACAAACGTTTTAGGTGAAAATAGACATTTATGTTCACCGATTCCCATTCCATAATAAATATGAGCAGTTGGTGGAAATGTTTTAAGCATAAGTAAATGTTTATTCCAGGATAGATATGAGCAACATTGACTTAGGTCAACACAGATTCGGAAGCACCCACCCACCCAATCCCACTCTTTACCCCACACTTCACCATACCCCACCCCATCACCCACCCCAGAGCCAAGGAAGCACCCACATGCACCCCATCCAACAATCTCATGCCCCTACCAACCTCATCCCCCTACAGCCTAGGTAGCACCTAACCATACAAGTTTCATCAAGTATTGTGAGTTGCAGGTGCTTGTCACCATGCATTGAGAGAGACTTGTAAAGTTGTTGTCAAATGTTGGTTAAAGAATGTCTGTATGTATATAGTCTCATCAACATGATCAAGTATTGTGAGTTGCAGGTGCTTGTCACCATGCATTGAGAGAGACTTGTAAAGTTGTTGTCAAATGTTGGTTAAAGAATGTCTGTATGTATATAGTCTCATCAAGTATTGTGAGTTGCAGGTGCTTGTCACCATGCATTGAGAGAGACTTGTTGTCAAATGTTGGTTAAAGAATGTCTGTATGTATATAGTCTCATCAAGTATAGTGAGTTGCAGGTGCTTGTCACCATGCATTGAGAGAGACTTGTTGTCAAATGTTGGTTAAAGAATGTCTGTATGTATATAGTCTCATCAAGTATAGTGAGTTGCAGGTGCTTGTCACCATGCATTGAGAGAGACTTGTTGTCAAATGTTGGTTAAAGAATGTCTGTATGTATATAGTCTCATCAAGTATTGTGAGTTGCAGGTGCTTGTCACCATGCATTGAGAGAGACTTGTTGTCAAATGTTGGTTAAAGAATGTCTGTATGTATATAGTCTCATCAAGTATTGTGAGTTGCAGGTGCTTGTCACCATGCATTGTTTTTTGCTTGTGCTGTCACCATGCATTGAGAGAGACTCATCAAATGTTCCTTAAAGAATGTCTGTCTGTACATTGTTTCAACAAGTGTTGTGTTTTGCAGGTGCTTGTCACCATGCATTGTTTTTTGCTTGTGCTGTCACCATGCATTGAGAGACTCATCAAATATTGGTTAAAGAATGTCTGTATGCATATTGTTTCATCAAGTGTTGGGATTTGCTTGTGCTGTCACCATGCATTGAGAGACTCGTCAAATGTTCCTTAAAGAATGTCTGTCTGTTCATTGTTTCAACAAGTGTTGTGTTTTGCAGGTGCTTGTCACCATGCATGGCGGTCCAGACTATGAGTTTGTGGTGGTGAATGACATGGGCATCGTCAGCGCCTACAAGCCAACCACCCACAAGGGAGACCATCAGACCATTGTCTTTGTAAGTATTCCGCTAGCCAACATGTTATGATTGTAGGGATTGTATATTTTGGGGGTATCAAAGAGTTACGAGCTTGTTCAAATTATGGAATTATGTACGTTAAAGAGAAGCAAGACATTCGGTTTGAATGATTGAATTCTATATGAAATAAGTACGTTGGGCATTTTGGATATTATAAGATTAGGTAATATAAAGAGTGGCATTACAATGAGATCAGATGGTATGTGAGACCTTATGTGCGTTTGGCCGCACAATGTATTGTTATTCTGTGTACACAAGTGATACAAATTACTCTGTAGAGTGGCACTACAGTGGGTCTGTAGAGTGGCATTACAATGGGTCTGTAGAGAGACATTACAGTGGGTCTGGAGAGCGGCACTACAATGGGTCTGTAGAGTGGAATTACAATGGGTCTGTAGAGAGGCATTACAGTGGGTCTGTAGAGTGGCATTGAAATGGGTCTATAGAGTGGCATTACAATGGGTCTGTAAAGTGGCATTACAATGGATCTGGAGAGTGGCACTAGAGTGGGTCTGTAGAGAGACATTACAATGGGTCTGTAGAGTGGCACTACAGTGGGACTGTAGAGTGGCAATACAATGGGTCTGGAGGGGCATTACAAAGGGTCTGTAGAGGGGCACTACAGTGGGTCTGTGATCACGGGACTTGTCTTCCTGCAGCTGGAGCCTGGGGAGTCAAAGGACATCTACATGCCGATTGTGCCGACAATAATCAAGGGACAGTTCACTTTCCGTGTGAGCGCCTCCTGTTTCATGGAGCGGGATGAGGTCGTCAGGACGGTGCACCTACAGGTAGGTGACGCTGATGAAGATGTATGAGTGAGTGAATATTGCATTTAGACGCATCAACAGTATTGCCAGTATTGATATACCTGTTTACCACTACTTGGTGCTAGCGTGTACATATCCTTAGCTATGACCATTGTGAATTTATGAAATGTATCTGACAGTATCACTCTTACAGTCTCAGATCATGCTATGGTATTGAGCCATAGACTGCTTGTTTTCAGACAAACAGTAAGAACATTTCTGTTTATCATAGTGTTTCACACACATTCTATGAATTTACGAAAATTGCTGCTGTTGCTAAAAATTGAAAAGAATGACGCTTGGTAACAGGATAGTATTCAATCTTAGAAATTATTGCAAAAGTATATATGCTTATCACATACATACAGTATTACACATCAGTTTAGAACCTACATTTTATTCCATGCATACAGTATTACACATCTGTTTAGAACATACATTTTATGACATGCATACATTATTACACATCAGTTTAGAACCTACATTTTATTACATGCATACAGTATTACACATCAGTTTAGAACATACATTTTATGACATGCATACAGTATTACACATCAGTTTAGAACCTACATTTTATTACATGCATACAGTATTACACATCAGTTTAGAACCTACATTTTATTACATGCATACAGTATTACACATCAGTTTAGAACATACAATTTATTACATGCATACAGTATTACACATCAGTTTAGAACCTACATTTTATTACATGCATACAGTATTACACATCTGTTTAGAACATACATTTTATGACATGCATACAGTATTAAACATCACTTTAGAACCTACATTTTATTACATGCATACAGTATTACACATCTGTTTAGAACATACATTTTATGACATGCATACAGTATTACACATCAGTTTAGAACCTACATTTTATTACATGCATACAGTATTACACATCTGTTTAGAACATACATTTTATGACATGCATACAGTATTACACATCAGTTTAGAACCTACATTTTATTACATACATTATTACACATCAGTTTAGAACCTACATTTTATTACATGCATACAGTATTACACATCAGTTTAGAACCTACATTTTATTACATGCATACAGTATTACACATCTGTTTAGAACATACATTTTATGACATGCATACAGTATTACACATCAGTTTAGAACCTACATATTATTACATGCATACAGTATTACACATCTGTTTAGAACATACATTTTATGACATGCATACAGTATTACACATCAGTTTAGAACCTACATTTTATTACATACATTATTACACATCAGTTTAGAACCTACATTTTATTACATGCATACAGTATTACACATCTGTTTAGAACATACATTTTATTACATGCATACAGTATTACACATCTGTTTAGAACATACATTTTATGACATGCATACAGTATTACACATCAGTTTAGAACATACATTTTATGACATGCATACAGTATTACACATCAGTTTAGAACCTACATTTTATTACATGCATACAGTATTACACATAAGTTTAGAACCTACATTTTATTACATGCATACAGTATTACACATCAGTTTAGAACATACAATTTATTACATGCATACAGTATTACACATCAGTTTAGAACCTACATTTTATTACATGCATACAGTATTACACATCTGTTTAGAACCTACATTTTATGACATGCATACAGTATTACACATCAGTTTAGAACCTACATTTTATTACATGCATACAGTATTACACATCTGTTTAGAACATACATTTTATTACATGCATACAGTATTACACATCAGTTTAGAACCTACATTTTATTACATGCATACAGTATTACACATCTGTTTAGAACATACATTTTATGACATGCATACAGTATTACACATCAGTTTAGAACCTACATTTTATTACATACATTATTACACATCAGTTTAGAACCTACATTTTATTACATGCATACAGTATTACACATCAGTTTAGAACATACATTTTATTACATGCATACAGTATCACACATCTGTTTAGAACCTACATTTTATTACATGCATACAGTATTACACATCAGTTTAGAACCTACATTTTATTACATGCATACAGTATTACACATCTGTTTAGAACATACATTTTATGACATGCATACAGTATTACACATCAGTTTAGAACCTACATTTTATTACATACATTATTACACATCAGTTTAGAACCTACATTTTATTACATGCATACAGTATTACACATCTGTTTAGAACATACATTTTATTACATGCATACAGTATTACACATCTGTTTAGAACATACATTTTATGACATGCATACAGTATTACACATCAGTTTAGAACATACATTTTATTACATGCATACAGTATTACACATCAGTTTAGAACCTACATTTTATTACATGCATACAGTATTACACATCTGTTTAGAACATACATTTTATGACATGCATACAGTATTACACATCTGTTTAGAACATACATTTTATGACATGCATACAGTATTACACATCAGTTTAGAACATACATTTTATGACATGCATACAGTATTACACATCAGTTTAGAACCTACATTTTATTACATGCATACAGTATTACACATAAGTTTAGAACCTACATTTTATTACATGCATACAGTATTACACATCAGTTTAGAACATACAATTTATTACATGCATACAGTATTACACATCAGTTTATAACCTACATTTTATTACATGCATACAGTATTACACATCTGTTTAGAACCTACATTTTATTACATGCATACAGTATTACACATCAGTTTAGAACCTACATTTTATTACATGCATACAGTATTACACATCTGTTTAGAACATACATTTTATGACATGCATACAGTATTACACATCAGTTTAGAACCTACATTTTATTACATGCATACAGTATTACACATCTGTTTAGAACATACATTTTATGACATGCATACAGTATTACACATCAGTTTAGAACCTACATTTTATTACATACATTATTACACATCAGTTTAGAACCTACATTTTATTACATGCATACAGTATTACACATCAGTTTAGAACCTACATTTTATTACATGCATACAGTATTACACATCTGTTTAGAACATACATTTTATGACATGCATACAGTATTACACATCAGTTTAGAACCCACATTTTATTACATGCATACAGTATTACACATCTGTTTAGAACATACATTTTATGACATGCATACAGTATTACACATCAGTTTAGAACCTACATTTTATTACATACATTATTACACATCAGTTTAGAACCTACATTTTATTACATGCATACAGTATTACACATCTGTTTAGAACATACATTTTATTACATGCATACAGTATTACACATCTGTTTAGAACATACATTTTATGACATGCATACAGTATTACACATCAGTTTAGAACATACATTTTATTACATGCATACAGTATTACACATCAGTTTAGAACCTACATTTTATTACATGCATACAGTATTACACATCTGTTTAGAACATACATTTTATGACATGCATACAGTATTACACATCAGTTTAGAACCTACATTTTATTACATGCATACAGTATTACACATCTGTTTAGAACATACATTTTATGACATGCATACAGTATTACACATCAGTTTAGAACCTACATTTTATTACATACATTATTACACATCAGTTTAGAACCTACATTTTATTACATGCATACAGTATTACACATCTGTTTAGAACATACATTTTATGACATGCATACAGTATTACACATCAGTTTAGAACCTACATTTTATTACATGCATACAGTATTACACATCTGTTTAGAACATACATTTTATGACATGCATACAGTATTACACATAAGTTTAGAACATACATTTTATTACATACATTATTACACATCAGTTTAGAACCTACATTTTATTACATGCATACAGTATTACACATCTGTTTAGAACATACATTTTATTACATGCATACAGTATTACACATCTGTTTAGAACATACATTTTATGACATGCATACAGTATTACACATCAGTTTAGAACATACATTTTATTACATACATTATTACACATCAGTTTAGAACCTACATTTTATTACATGCATACAGTATTACACATCTGTTTAGAACATACATTTTATGACATGCATACAGTATTACACATCAGTTTAGAACCTACATTTTATTACATGCATACAGTATTACACATCAGTTTAGAACATACATTTTATGACATGCATACAGTATTACACATCAGTTTAGAACCTACATTTTATTACATACATTATTACACATCAGTTTAGAACCTACATTTTATTACATGCATACAGTATTACACATCTGTTTAGAACATACATTTTATGACATGCATACAGTATTACACATCAGTTTAGAACCTACATTTTATTACATGCATACAGTATTACACATCTGTTTAGAACATACATTTTATGACATGCATACAGTATTACACATAAGTTTAGAACATACATTTTATTACATACATTATTACACATCAGTTTAGAACCTACATTTTATTACATGCATACAGTATTACACATCTGTTTAGAACATACATTTTATTACATGCATACAGTATTACACATCTGTTTAGAACATACATTTTATGACATGCATACAGTATTACACATCAGTTTAGAACATACATTTTATTACATACATTATTACACATCAGTTTAGAACCTACATTTTATTACATGCATACAGTATTACACATCTGTTTAGAACATACATTTTATGACATGCATACAGTATTACACATCTGTCTAGAACATACATTTTATTACATACATTATTACACATCAGTTTAGAACCTACATTTTATTACATGCATACAGTATTACACATCTGTTTAGAACATACATTTTATGACATGCATACAGTATTACACATCAGTTTAGAACCTACATTTTATTACATGCATACAGTATTACACATCTGTTTAGAACATACATTTTATGACATGCATACAGTATTACACATAAGTTTAGAACATACATTTTATTACATACATTATTACACATCAGTTTAGAACCTACATTTTATTACATGCATACAGTATTACACATCTGTTTAGAACATACATTTTATTACATGCATACAGTATTACACATCTGTTTAGAACATACATTTTATGACATGCATACAGTATTACACATCAGTTTAGAACATACATTTTATTACATACATTATTACACATCAGTTTAGAACCTACATTTTATTACATGCATACAGTATTACACATCTGTTTAGAACATACATTTTATGACATGCATACAGTATTACACATCTGTTTAGAACATACATTTTATTACATACATTATTACACATCAGTTTAGAACCTACATTTTATTACATGCATACGGTATTACACATCAGTTTAGAACCTACATTTTATGACATGCATACAGTATTACACATCTGTTTAGAACATACATTTTATTACATGCATACAGTATTACACATCTGTTTAGAACATACATTTTATGACATGCATACAGTATTACACATCAGTTTAGAACATACATTTTATGACATGCATACAGTATTACACATCAGTTTAGAACATACATTTTATTACATACATTATTACACATCAGTTTAGAACCTACATTTTATTACATGCATACAGTATTACACATCTGTTTAGAACATACATTTTATGACATGCATACAGTATTACACATCTGTTTAGAACATACATTTTATTACATACATTATTACACATCAGTTTAGAACCTACATTTTATTACATGCATACAGTATTACACATCTGTTTAGAACATACATTTTATGACATGCATACAGTATTACACATCAGTTTAGAACCTACATTTTATTACATGCATACAGTATTACACATCTGTTTAGAACATACATTTTATGACATGCATACAGTATTACACATAAGTTTAGAACATACATTTTATTACATACATTATTACACATCAGTTTAGAACCTACATTTTATTACATGCATACAGTATTACACATCTGTTTAGAACATACATTTTATTACATGCATACAGTATTACACATCTGTTTAGAACATACATTTTATGACATGCATACAGTATTACACATCAGTTTAGAACATACATTTTATTACATACATTATTACACATCAGTTTAGAACCTACATTTTATTACATGCATACAGTATTACACATCTGTTTAGAACATACATTTTATGACATGCATACAGTATTACACATCTGTTTAGAACATACATTTTATTACATACATTATTACACATCAGTTTAGAACCTACATTTTATTACATGCATACGGTATTACACATCAGTTTAGAACCTACATTTTATGACATGCATACAGTATTACACATCTGTTTAGAACATACATTTTATTACATGCATACAGTATTACACATCTGTTTAGAACATACATTTTATGACATGCATACAGTATTACACATCAGTTTAGAACATACATTTTATTACATGCATACAGTATTACACATCAGTTTAGAACCTACATTTTATTACATGCATACAGTATTACACATCTGTTTAGAACATACATTTTATGACATGCATACAGTATTACACATCAGTTTAGAACCTACATTTTATTACATGCATACAGTATTACACATCTGTTTAGAACATACATTTTATGACATGCATACAGTATTACACATCTGTTTAGAACATACATTTTATGACATGCATACATTATTACACATCAGTTTAGAACCTACATTTTATTACATGCATACAGTATTACACATCTGTTTAGAACATACATTTTATGACATGCATACAGTATTACACATCAGTTTAGAACCTACATTTTATTACATGCATACAGTATTACACATCTGTTTAGAACATACATTTTATGACATGCATACAGTATTACACATCAGTTTAGAACATACATTTTATTACATACATTATTACACATCAGTTTAGAACCTACATTTTATTACATGCATACAGTATTACACATCTGTTTAGAACATACATTTTATTACATGCATACAGTATTACACATCTGTTTAGAACATACATTTTATGACATGCATACAGTATTACACATCAGTTTAGAACATACATTTTATTACATACATTATTACACATCAGTTTAGAACCTACATTTTATTACATGCACACAGTATTACACATCAGTTTAGAACATACATTTTATGACATGCATACAGTATTACACATCTGTTTAGAACATACATTTTATGACATGCATACAGTATTACACATCAGTTTAGAACCTACATTTTATTACATGCATACAGTATTACACATCAGTTTAGAACCTACATTTTATTACATGCATACAGTATTACACATCTGTTTAGAACATACATTTTATGACATGCATACAGTATTACACATCAGTTTAGAACCTACATTTTATTACATGCATACAGTATTACACATCTGTTTAGAACATACATTTTATGACATGCATACAGTATTACACATCTGTTTAGAACATACATTTTATGACATGCATACAGTATTACACATCAGTTTAGAACCTACATTTTATTACATGCATACAGTATTACACATCAGTTTAGAACATACATTTTATTACATGCATACAGTATTACACATCAGTTTAGAACCTACATTTTATTACATGCATACAGTATTACACATCTGTTTAGAACATACATTTTATGACATGCATACATTATTACACATCAGTTTAGAACCTACATTTTATTACATGCATACAGTATTACACATCTGTTTAGAACATACATTTTATGACATGCATACAGTATTACACATCAGTTTAGAACCTACATTTTATTACATACATTATTACACATCAGTTTAGAACCTACATTTTATTACATGCATACAGTATTACACATCAGTTTAGAACATACATTTTATTACATGCATACAGTATTACACATCTGTTTAGAACATACATTTTATGACATGCATACAGTATTACACATCAGTTTAGAACCTACATTTTATTACATGCATACAGTATTACACATCTGTTTAGAACCTACATTTTATTACATGCATACAGTATTACACATCAGTTTAGAACCTACATTTTATTACATACATTATTACACATCAGTTTAGAACCTACATTTTATTACATGCATACAGTATTACACATCTGTTTAGAACATACATTTTATTACATGCATACAGTATTACACATCTGTTTAGAACATACATTTTATGACATGCATACAGTATTACACATCAGTTTAGAACATACATTTTATTACATGCATACAGTATTACACATCAGTTTAGAACCTACATTTTATTACATGCATACAGTATTACACATCTGTTTAGAACATACATTTTATGACATGCATACAGTATTACACATCAGTTTAGAACCTACATTTTATTACATGCATACAGTATTACACATCAGTTTAGAACATACATTTTATTACATGCATACAGTATTACACATCAGTTTAGAACATACAATTTATTACATGCATACAGTATTACACATCTGTTTAGAACATACATTTCATTACATACATTATTACACATCAGTTTAGAACATACAATTTATTACATGCATACAGTATTACACATTATTACATTAGTATTCTTCATATGGTTCAAGATGAGCTTGCTAAAAGCAAATCCATTCAATTCAAACATTTATTATGACTGCACACGCATTGTAGAGTTCTAGACATAATACTCAAGTCTTTGTTCATATTCTGAAACTTGATAGGAAGAAGATGAAGATATATTTCTCCCCCAAATTGTAATTAATCTGTTAATTAATCTGAATAATTTATGGATGCTGACTTTTTCCTGAAATTAAATATGCATTTCAGTTATGACGAGTGGTAGACAATTTAAGATATTAGCATTTCGTATCAAATGTAACTTTTTTGTGATTGTCAGCCTGATGGCGTGATGAACTACTATCACACCCCGTACCTCATCGATCTCATCACCTACGCCTCCATCATCATCCCCGACCTGGACGTTCCGGTGCCAGAACAGTTTGTTGTTCCCGAACAGCGATACCACCTGTATGTGCCTGGCTCAGCCGAGGGGCATCTCAGTATTTTCGGTAAGCGCCACCACAAGTTGATCCAAGGCTATCACAGGTTTGTTCCTGTACTTTCTTGAAGAATTCACTTCCTCCGGTGATGTTATGATAAACTGTGTCATTAAAGCCTCCCTCACATGGGGAAATAGATGCTGACCTATCGTAACCATGGCATTAGAACCACATACTTTTTGATCTGAGTGCGGGGCGATTGGGGATTGGGTAGCCTCGTGGTTAATGCTTTCCTTCTCATGCCAAAGACCCGGGTTCAATTCCCAACATGGGCACTATGTGTGAAGCCCTTTTCTGGTGTCCCAAGCCGTGATATTGCTGGAATATTGCTAAAAGCGGTGTAAAACCATACTCACTCACTCACTCACTGATCTGAGTGCAGATGGGCAGATATTTGCATGCAGTTTGTTGTTTTTTCCAAATCTACTCTGAACCTACAGCATGTATTTGCCAAGTCCTAGTTAGCAGACTTGGCAGGACGGGAAAAAGACAATTTTCAAATTTCCGATTTTATTCCACTTTTGTACAATTTTTGTTTGAATGATTCGTCATCCAAGTATTTAGGAGTAGAAGTGTCTTTGAGGCTGATGTAGAGATATTAGTGTTACAGTGCCATATACTGTATGGGGGACATTGATACGTGTTCTAACTCTCAGGTGACGTGGTGACCCCTGGATTCTTTGAGGACTATCTGAATGCTGAGAATGTCTTGTGGCGTCCGTACGGGACCGGAGAGAACATCGCCTTCAACTTCGCCTACAATCTACTGACCTTGAGATTCATGAAGGCAAGCCAGCAGCTGAGTGAAGAGGCTCTCCAGAAAGCTCTCTACTACATGAACATAGGTAGGCAGGATTGAACCTTCTAGACCTACTCCTGGCTTAGACAAGGCTGGCACCTTCTAGATGTACTCCTGGCTTAGACAAGGCTGGCACCTTCTAGACGTACTCCTGGCTTAGACAAGGCTGGCACCTTCTAGACGTACTCCTGGTTTAGACAAGGCTGGCACCTTCTAGACATACTCTTGGCTTAGACAAGGCTGGCATCTTCTAGACGTACTTTTGGCTTAGACAAGGCTGGCACCTTCTAGACGTACTCTTGGCTTAGACAAGGCTGGCACCTTCTAGATATACTTTTGGCTTAGACAAGGCTGGCACCTTCTAGAAGTACTCTTGGCTTAGACAAGGCTGGCAGCTCTGTCCATCAAAATATAAAGGTGGCTCAGTTTGATCTGGTGGCCAGGCTTGGTGGCTTGTGTGTCATTGATCCTTGCTAGATATTGCCCATAATATCCATCACTGGTTTGTCTGGTCCAGACTTGAGTATGACATGGTGCTGTGAGTTGTAATATTGATGAACATCAAACAACCAAATTACCTTGACAATGGCTCCATGCTCATGCTATCAACCACTAGTTTGGCATCTCCAGATTGGACTTCATACAGGCTGTCATTTTATTGCTGGGATAATGCTGACTTCAGCGTAAGCAGCATCAATCACTGGGCTTAAGAAAATAAAAGAATTGGTTCTCAGACAATGACTTCTGAAAATATAGGGGCGGGCTGTGTTTTTTTTTGTTGTTGCTTGTTCAAACTAGTATGTCACCAAATAAACCTGGGAAAGGCCATCTACATAAACAAGCATCCAAACTCCTATTGCTGCCATGACCATAACACGAGATGCACAGTTAAGCAGTGCGCATGTCAAGGGAAGTAACTGTGTGCTATATTGGATTGCATTGTTTTTGACAGAGACCATACTCTCTGTTTTTAAGCACCGTATTAGGATTTTTTGATTTGTTAAAAATGGAAATAAAAACGAAAAAAGCGGACTTTATGATGATGCCCTATTTTAGCCCTATGTACCATCAGATATATATATACTACTCAAAAGAAGTTAAGGATCACCTGATTCTTTCATATTACTATAATAAATCTCTCATGTCATGACAGATTAACTTTACCATTATGAAAGAATCGGGTGATCCTTAACTTCTTTTGAGTAGTATATATATATTTGATGGTGATGTTGAGACACTTTCTGTGTTATTACAGTACTACAGAGACAGATGGGATACATGAATGATGACGGGTCCTTCCGCATGTTCCGAGATGACCCCAAACCCAGTCTGTGGTGAGTAGAGAAGTTGGCAGTGGACTTGTTATGAATGTATTCCTTAGGTGTTGAAATATACATCGTGCCGGAACTACTTTCAGTCACAAACCCAGTCTGTGGTGAGTAGAGAAGTTGGCAGTGGACTTGTTATGAATGTATTACTTAGGTGTTGAAATATACATCGTGCCGGAACTACTTTCAGTCACAAACCCAGTCTGTGGTGAGTAGAGAAGTTGGCAGTGGACTTGTTATGAATGTATTCCTTAGGTGTTGAAATATACATCGTGCTGGAACTACTTTCAGTCACAAACCCAGTCTGTGGTGAGTAGAGAAGTTGGCAGTGGACTTGTTATGAATGTATTCCTTAGGTGTTGAAATATACATCGTGCCGGAACTACTTTCAGTCACATACCCAGTCTGTGGTGAGTAGAGAAGTTGGCAGTGGACTTGTTATGAATGTATTCCTTAGGTGTTGAAATATACATCGTGCCGGAACTACTTTCAGTCACATACCCAGTCTGTGGTGAGTAGAGAAGTTGGCAGTGGACTTGTTATGAATGTATTCCTTAGGTGTTGAAATATACATCGTGCCGGAACTACTTTCAGTCACAAACCCAGTCTGTGGTGAGTAGAGAAGTTGGCAGTGGACTTGTTATGAATGTATTCCTTAGGTGTTGAAATATACATCGTGCTGGAACTACTTTCAGTCACAAACCCAGTCTGTGGTGAGTAGAGCGGTTGGCAGTGGACTCGTTATGAATGTATTAGGTGTTGAGATATAAATCGTGCCAGAACTACTTTCAGTCACAAACCCAGTCTGTGGTGAGTAGAGCGGTTGGCAGTGGACTCGTTATGAATGTATTAGGTGTTGAGATATAAATCGTGCCAGAACTACTTTCAGTCACAAACCCAGTCTGTGGTGAGTAGAGCGGTTGGCAGTGGACTCGTTATGAATGTATTAGGTGTTGAGATATAAATCGTGCCAGAACTACTTTCAGTCACAAACCCAGTCTGTGGTGAGTAGAGCGGTTGGCAGTGGACTCGTTATGAATGTATTAGGTGTTGAGATATAAATCGTGCCAGAACTACTTTCAGTCACAAACCCAGTCTGTGGTGAGTAGAGCGGTTGGCAGTGGACTCGTTATGAATGTATTGGGTGTTGAAATATACATCGTGCTGGAACTACTTTCAGTCACAAACCCAGTCTGTGTTGAGTAGAGCGGTTGGCAGTGGACTCGTTATGAATGTATTAGGTGTTGAAATATACATCGTGCTGGAACTACTTTCAGTCACATACCCAGTCTGTGGTGAGTAGAGAAGTTGGCAGTGGACTTGTTATGAATGTATTCCTTAGGTGTTGAAATATACATCGTGCTGGAACTACTTTCAGTCACAAACCCAGTCTGTGGTGAGTAGAGCGGTTGGCAGTGGACTCGTTATGAATGTATTAGGTGTTGAGATATAAATCGTGCCAGAACTACTTTCAGTCACAAACCCAGTCTGTGGTGAGTAGAGCGGTTGGCAGTGGACTCGTTATGAATGTATTAGGTGTTGAGATATAAATCGTGCCAGAACTACTTTCAGTCACAAACCCAGTCTGTGGTGAGTAGAGCGGTTGGCAGTGGACTCGTTATGAATGTATTGGGTGTTGAAATATACATCGTGCTGGAACTACTTTCAGTCACAAACCCAGTCTGTGTTGAGTAGAGCGGTTGGCAGTGGACTCGTTATGAATGTATTAGGTGTTGAAATATACATCGTGCTGGAACTACTTTCAGTCACATACCCAGTCTGTGGTGAGTAGAGAAGTTGGCAGTGGACTTGTTATGAATGTATTCCTTAGGTGTTGAAATATACATCGTGCTGGAACTACTTTCAGTCACAAACCCAGTCTGTGGTGAGTAGAGCGGTTGGCAGTGGACTCGTTATGAATGTATTAGGTGTTGAGATATAAATCGTGCCAGAACTACTTTCAGTCACAAACCCAGTCTGTGGTGAGTAGAGCGGTTGGCAGTGGACTCGTTATGAATGTATTAGGTGTTGAGATATAAATCGTGCCAGAACTACTTTCAGTCACAAACCCAGTCTGTGGTGAGTAGAGCGGTTGGCAGTGGACTCGTTATGAATGTATTAGGTGTTGAGATATAAATCGTGCCAGAACTACTTTCAGTCACAAACCCAGTCTGTGGTGAGTAGAGCGGTTGGCAGTGGACTCGTTATGAATGTATTAGGTGTTGAGATATAAATCGTGCCAGAACTACTTTCAGTCACAAACCCAGTCTGTGGTGAGTAGAGCGGTTGGCAGTGGACTCGTTATGAATGTATTGGGTGTTGAAATATACATCGTGCTGGAACTACTTTCAGTCACAAACCCAGTCTGTGGTGAGTAGAGCGGTTGGCAGTGGACTCGTTATGAATGTATTAGGTGTTGAGATATAAATCGTGCCAGAACTACTTTCAGTCACAAACCCAGTCTGTGGTGAGTAGAGCGGTTGGCAGTGGACTCGTTATGAATGTATTGGGTGTTGAAATATACATCGTGCTGGAACTACTTTCAGTCACAAACCCAGTCTGTGTTGAGTAGAGCGGTTGGCAGTGGACTCGTTATGAATGTATTAGGTGTTGAAATATACATCGTGCTGGAACTACTTTCAGTCACATACCCAGTCTGTGGTGAGTAGAGAAGTTGGCAGTGGACTTGTTATGAATGTATTCCTTAGGTGTTGAAATATACATCGTGCTGGAACTACTTTCAGTCACAAACCCAGTCTGTGGTGAGTAGAGCGGTTGGCAGTGGACTCGTTATGAATGTATTAGGTGTTGAGATATAAATCGTGCCAGAACTACTTTCAGTCACAAACCCAGTCTGTGGTGAGTAGAGCGGTTGGCAGTGGACTCGTTATGAATGTATTAGGTGTTGAGATATAAATCGTGCCAGAACTACTTTCAGTCACAAACCCAGTCTGTGGTGAGTAGAGCGGTTGGCAGTGGACTCGTTATGAATGTATTGGGTGTTGAAATATACATCGTGCTGGAACTACTTTCAGTCACAAACCCAGTCTGTGTTGAGTAGAGCGGTTGGCAGTGGACTCGTTATGAATGTATTAGGTGTTGAAATATACATCGTGCTGGAACTACTTTCAGTCACATACCCAGTCTGTGGTGAGTAGAGAAGTTGGCAGTGGACTTGTTATGAATGTATTCCTTAGGTGTTGAAATATACATCGTGCTGGAACTACTTTCAGTCACAAACCCAGTCTGTGGTGAGTAGAGCGGTTGGCAGTGGACTCGTTATGAATGTATTAGGTGTTGAGATATAAATCGTGCCAGAACTACTTTCAGTCACAAACCCAGTCTGTGGTGAGTAGAGCGGTTGGCAGTGGACTCGTTATGAATGTATTAGGTGTTGAGATATAAATCGTGCCAGAACTACTTTCAGTCACAAACCCAGTCTGTGGTGAGTAGAGCGGTTGGCAGTGGACTCGTTATGAATGTATTAGGTGTTGAGATATAAATCGTGCCAGAACTACTTTCAGTCACAAACCCAGTCTGTGGTGAGTAGAGCGGTTGGCAGTGGACTCGTTATGAATGTATTAGGTGTTGAGATATAAATCGTGCCAGAACTACTTTCAGTCACAAACCCAGTCTGTGGTGAGTAGAGCGGTTGGCAGTGGACTCGTTATGAATGTATTGGGTGTTGAAATATACATCGTGCTGGAACTACTTTCAGTCACAAACCCAGTCTGTGTTGAGTAGAGCGGTTGGCAGTGGACTCGTTATGAATGTATTAGGTGTTGAAATATACATCGTTCTGGAACTACTTTCAGTCACAAACCCAGTCTGTGGTGAGTAGAGCGGTTGGCAGTGGACTCGTTATGAATGTATTGGGTGTTGAAATATACATCGTGCTGGAACTACTTTCAGTCACAAACCCAGTCTGTGTTGAGTAGAGCGGTTGGCAGTGGACTCGTTATGAATGTATTAGGTGTTGAAATATACATCGTTCTGGAACTACTTTCAGTCACAAACCCAGTCTGTGGTGAGTAGAGCGGTTGGCAGTGGACTCGTTATAAATGTATTACTTAGGTGTTGAGATATAAATCGTGCCAGAACTACTTTCAGTCACAAACCCAGTCTGTGGTGAGTAGAGCGGTTGGCAGTGGACTTGTTATGAATGTATTACTTAGGTGTTGAAATATACATCGTGCCAGAACTACTTTCAGTCACATACCCAGTCTGTGGTGAGTAGAGAAGTTGGCAGTGGACTCGTTATGAATGTATTACTTAGGTGTTGAGATATAAATCGTGCCAGAACTACTTTCAGTCACAAACCCAGTCTGTGGTGAGTAGAGCGGTTGGCAGTGGACTTGTTATGAATGTATTAGGTGTTGAGATATAAATCGTGCCAGAACTACTTTCAGTCACATACCCAGTCTGTGTTGAGAAAAAAGATTGGCAATCGACTCGTTATGAATGTATTGAGTATGGAATTACTTTCAGAACCATCTGTAATGTGAATCAAGTGCCTGGTTACAATATATGAACAGCCAGTATCAATGTGGATTGTTGCTCTGTCTGGTCCAAACCCTGTGCAATCCATATTACTCACTGTTGTCTTACTTAGGGTGACGGCGTTCGTGGCCAAGAGTTTGCATCAGGGCAGGTTTGGAGAGTGGGAGCGTGACCTCTTCATCCCTCTCGAGCTCATCAATAAGATGGTGGTGTGGATCTGTCGTCAGCAGAATGAGACTGGTGCCTTCCATCCAGATTACTCTGTGGCATACGACAGGAAAATGGTGAGACTGTTTCTTTAAACACCTTCTCTTCACACTGATAGTCTTTTTATAAATTCTGTATGAAATGTAAAACTGTATTTGTAAATCAGTTCCAAAATATTGGATTAATGGCCCAAACAACGGCTGTACCCTACACACCAACCCACTCACTCATCCATCCACCCTCCCAAAACAAACAAACACTCTCACTCACTCACTCAAAGAACAAACCCACCAAATCTCCAACACATCTCACTCACCCAACCACTCATCCATCAACCCACTTATGCACCCACCCACCCACTCACCCATCCACTCACCCGTCCACTCATTCATCCACCTACCGTTTCACACTCATCCCCAACCAACCCTTCCATCCACTTATCCACCAACCTCCTCATCCATCCACTTATCCACCCACCTCCTCATCCAGCCACTTATCCATCCCCCCTTCTCATCCAGCCACTTATCCACCCCCCCTTCTCATTCAGCCACTTATCCACCCACCTCCTCATCCAGCCACTTATCCACCCACGTCCTCATCCAGCCACTTATCCACCCACCTCCTCATCCAGCCACTTATCCACCCACCTCCTCATCCAGCCACTTATCCACCCACCTCCTCATCCAGCCACTTATCCACCCACCTCCTCATCCAGCCACTTATCCACCCACCTCCTCATGCAGCCACTTATCCACCCATCTCCTCATGCAGCCACTTATCCACCCATCTCCTCATCCAGCCACTTATCCACCCACCTCCTCATCCAGCCACTTATCCACCCACCTCCTCATCCAGCCACTTATCCACCCACCTCCTCATCCATCCACTTATCCACCCACCTCCTCATCCAGCCACTTATCCACCCACCTCCTCATCCATCCACTTATCCACCCACCTCCTCATCCAGCCATCTATCCACCCACCTCCTCATCCAGCCACTTATCCACCCACCATCTCATCCAGCCACTTATCCACCCACCTCCTCATCCAGCCACTTATCCACCCACCTCCTCATGCAGCCACTTATCCACCCATCTCCTCATCCACCCACTTATCCACCCACCTCCTCATCCACCCACTTATCCACCCACCTCCTCATCCAGCCACTTATCCACCCATCTCCTCATCCAGCCACTTATCCACCCACCTCCTCATCCAGCCACTTATCCACCCACCTCCTCATCCAGCCACTTATCCACCCACCACCTCATCCAGCCACTTATCCACCCACCTCCTCATCCAGCCACTTATCCACCCACCTCCTCATCCAGCCACTTACCCACTCATCAATCCCCCCCACTCATCCCCCCAATCATCCACCCACCTCCTCATTCACCCGTCCCCTCACTCATCCACGCACTCATCCACGCACTCATCCACTCACTCATCCACTCACATATCCACCCACATATCCACCCTCTCATCCACCCAATCATCCACTCACTCACTCACTGACTGATGTTATCTGTGCAGGCTTCCGGTGACAATATCCTCAGCCAGAGAATGTATGACGACCCAATATCACTGACAGCGTACGTTCTCATAGCTCTGTACGAAACTACAGATGTTTCAGAGGTAAGTAAAAGATCATTAGAAATTTCAACACTTCTCAGAAAATTGTGATAATGCTTCACTTAGGGCTTTCCACCCACATTGATATGACATATGGTGATATAAGTAAAATGATCATCTCATCCGAGTTAATCCAATCTCACTCACGCCTCCTCAGCCAGAATACGCCTCTCTTCCAGGATGCACTGGCATGCTTGGACTCAGCCAGAGCCAATGCAGCGAACTACCTGGCCAATAAAGTGAGTGCCATCCCCTCCACGGCCACGTTCCAGCTGGCCATCACATCCTACGCCCTCTCCCTCAGCCAGGAGAAGAGTCGCACAGCCTTTGATAAACTCTGGGCTACCAGGAGATCAAGTAAGTGCTGGACAAACCTTCTAAGATAAAGTACTGACTAATATGTTGTGACATCAGTCACCTTGTTGCTACAGTGTACCAAGTCATATTCCCTACACATTATTCAAATTGGTTTTAGTTTCCATAACAACCAACAGGGCAGGATCAGTGCCTTGGTGCCATCCTACCCTGGTGGTGTGTGTTAGTGGGGGGGGGGGGGGGGGGGTGTGTGTGTCAGGATCAGTGCCTTGGTGCCATCCTACCCTCGTGGTGTGTGTTAGTGGGGGGGGGGGGGGCGGTAAGGATCAGTGCCTTGGTGCCATCCTACCCTGGTGGCGTGGATCATTGCTTGTAGTATTAATCACTGAATTGTCTGATCCAGACTAGGTTATTTACAGACTGTCATTATTCAGCTTGAATAAAGAGGATGTGACATTAAAAAAAAAGATCACTAGATACTGTTCCTTTGTGCCATACAATCAGATCATGTAACATTAATTAAAGCTTATCAACTTGTGAAAATGCCATATCATTGTTTGAGAAATACCTTTAGATTTTGTTTGTAAAAGAAAAATATATTAAAAAAGTTTAATATTTTGATTCTCTTTTTCAGGTACTGATACCTACTTTTCCAATGATGAAGTGCCTCCCAACCCGTCAGAAATTGTAAACACTGTTCGTTTCCTGAAGCCTCGCCAAGAACTTAGCAATGATGCCTACGCAGTGCAATCGACAGCATACGCTCTGATGGCATACATCAACAACAATGGCATCAAGTTCGAAAGGGATTCCATGATGCGCTGGCTCCAGACGATGAGGAACAGCATTGGAGGGTTTGCTTCTACACAGGTACTGTGCAGAGTTACTTCCCTTAATATTGTACGTTCGAATCCTTACACTTTGTTTCTGAAAATGTTTGTCAATGTGTGCTTGTGGTATTCATGAAAGTGGTAAATGTCTAAGATCGGCTTTCCTCCCACATTAAGCTGAAATTTTGTGATATAACTGCAATAATATTAAAAGCAGCATTGAACCAAACTGACACTCCATTGAGTGAAGTAGTTTCAGGAATGGATTGTTTCTTTTGTCCCCAAATGACTTTTGATTCCATTTGAAGAACTCCAATGTTCTGCACCGTGAAACTTCGACTACAATATTTCTCATCATTTTCAGGATACTCTGGTTGCCATGGAAGCATTGTTCCAGTTCACTCAAGTTGATCCCAACAGAAATGTCTTTGACATGATGGTGAAGTTAGAATCTACTGCTTCCCCAAATTGGGCTGAGATCCGATCCTTCACCAAGGCCAACTACACAAAACTGCAGAATGCCTACGTGAGTATTCAGCGGTGTTTGCGTTGTGTTCCAAAATAATGGGGTACCCTGTGACACGAGCGCTGCGAGCGCCATAAGCGCGAAGCTATCTAGGGGTGTTTGGGGGCATGTCCCCCAAGAAATTTTGTTAAATGTGGACCTGAAATGGTGAACTTTGGGCCATTCTGAGCATAAATAAGTGTGTGGTTAAAATCTTTAAGTCTCAGTTTTTATGGGTGTACACAAAACATCTTTGAAATCTTCATAGATTAGCCACTTGACTCTTTCAACACCAGTCAACCAGGAGCTTTATCTGCTGTGAAACCAAGTTCCCAGAGACTCTTGTGTGATAGATGAAGCCAACATTTATCAAGGAAATTATCTGCTTGTAAAACATTAGTCCTGCAACATGACTGGAATATATATAATTTTTTAACTTATCCTGCATTACTCCGTATTGCATTTACTGCTATGTTTGACAGAGAGACGAACTGTGTGAGATCCAGCTGCTGAAGAAAGTTGTCCCAACCAGCCCAGGAGGCAGCGCCCTCTCACAGTCGGCACGTGACCCGGAAGTCATGACGTCACACAAAAAGACATAACTGCTTTGTCACCTCCACGGACGGACGTACTTTGTATCCCTTGTGGAAATTAAAGCTTATTATTTGTTTTTTATATTTTGCGTGTTTCTACATTCATTATATGCTGCTACATTGTTACCTGATATGGGCCGTGACCTTAGGGTCTTCCCATTCGTAAATTGTAACGTTTATCGCTCGTCTGTGGCTCACGTCACAGTAATTTACGGGCGCAATGTTGTTCCCGCCATTTTGTTTTCTTTCCCGCCATTTTGGCCATTCACCACGTGGCCACGTAATGTCGTGTTCTGCGTTTTGAATTCTCTCTTTGGCTTGGGTAATACATTACATTTATGTATGTTGTTTTGGTGTGCTTGAAGCCTTGCCTTTTCGCTACCTCTCAGCGTAATTGTTTCTTCTCATAAACTTCAATATAATACGAAGTTTATGAGTTACATTATGTCTCCCGTACTCTGTGGTTTTGCCACATGGTTACGTGTTTGCTTAAGGCTTTGCCTTTTCGCTCCCTTTTAGCGTACTTGTTTATCTCATAAACTTTAATAAAATATACTGTTTTTGAGTTACTTTATGCTTCCCATACTTTGTGATTGGCCACACATTATGCTTCCCGCACTTTGTGGCTTTGCCACATAGTTATGTTTTGCTTAAATTCCAGATTTTCTGCCTCGCTGCACTTGTTTCCGCGGGAACAAATCTGGTCGGGGCCGCCCCTTTCTGCCGTGATTGTACGACGCCCTGTACTTTCACAAGGCAGTGCCGATGTTGCAGTCATTCGTAGCTGTGATCCTTCAGCTCATGCGAGTATCCAGGACACACCTCGCTCAACGTGCTCGTCGACCCCCACCTACGTTGACGGCAGCAGCGCTCAGCGGAGCTTCACGGCGGCTCCCAACGTAGAGTCTGCCTCCCATGGCACGACATACGACCGTTCACGGTCTCCTACTCCACTGGCGGCTCCAGCGCTCCCAACGTAGAGTCTGCCTCCCCTGGCACGACATACGACCGTTCACGGTCTCCTACTCCACCGGCGGCTCCAGCGCTCCCAACGTAGAGTCTGCCTCCCCTGGCACGACATACGACCGTTCACGGTCTCCAACACCGTCAACGCTGATGTCTCCGGCGCCCCCGGCGCCTCCGATGACTCGGCGCCTCTGATGACGCGGCGCCTCCGGCGCCTCTGATGACACGGCGCTCACGGCGCTCACGGCGCCTCTGATGACGCGGCGCCTCCGGCGCCTCTGATGACTCGGCGCCTCCGATGTCTCGGCGCTCCCGGCGCCTCTGATGACTCGGCGCTACCGGCGCCTCTGATGACTCGGCGCTCAACAAGCTTCATGACTTGTTCATGACAAGCTGTTGACTCGGCGCCTCCGATGACTCGGCGCCACCGGCGCCGCTGATGTCTCCGCGCTCCGGCGCCTCCGCATCCTCTGATGTCTTCGGCGCTCAACAAGCTTCAGATCAACAAGCTTTATCAAGCTCAGATCAACGAGCCGACCATCTGATCTTCTACTGCGGCTTAAGGGGCATCATCGGCAATCGCCTCCCCGGCGCCACTGCCCTCTTCTCTTGCTGCCGTCTCATAACTCGTCACACGGAGAAGCATGGTGAAACAACTGTCGCCGCTCCTTTCGCTACTCTCCCGTCGGTCTTCGGGATCGTAAATATCGTTCTACTTCCTGGGTGGAATCATTTCAACCAATAGACAGTTGGTCTGATTCAACTTGCCCACTGAGACGTTATCCATAATCCCGTCGTTTAAAGCGCTATGATTCCGGAGAGATGACCTGCGGGTTTCCATCGAAACAGAGCGTCATGTGAACAGCGTCTGTATCAGATTCGACGACGACATCCACTTACAAAGAGTTTACTTCGTCGACATCGCAGACATCAACGCTGTTCTACCCTACCCTAGCGCCAGCGTTCCTTAGAGAGACTCTTCCTCGGCGCTCCCCGGGTTTTGCACGACGCCCATGGGGTTCCGTGTTTTATCGCAAAACTCGGGTACACCACTTTATCGTCTCTCACACAGTTCATTGAGGATTGTCTGTGTGTGGAGTTTGCACCTCAGTTCCGACTCCAAGGCGGTTTTCTCGGCTACTGCGCAGAGTGATTTACATGTCACGTGTCAAGTACTCGGACTGTCAACAACTCCGACCGGATTTAGGTCAACTTACCATGGCAAGGGGTGCCATGTATTTCTACAGATTGGTTTCCATGTCTACCTGTACGCTTGGTGATACCACTCAACCAGGCGCCTGTCGCAGTCCATCCATGCACGGATGTTGGAAACAATAGACCTCCTCTACCAACACGGCTGTCACGAGGAACCTTGTTTCATCAACCCTTCGCTATAAGAACGATAGCGCCTATAGGCGTTCAAGGGATGGAAGAGATCGCCTTCCTTCGTCCGGTTTGATCTTTTCGACTACGACACCTTCCTATCTTCCGCCTTGACTACCGGACACAGTGTCGATTTGATACTTAAAGTCCCTCGGCCGTCCCACTGACCCCTGTTGCATACCTGCCTCGTATCGTGTTGTCGTCCTCCATCGTCACCTTGATATAAGAACAGGAGTACTTATACGCCGCTTCAGGGATGAAAACGATCTCATTACTTCGTGCAATGGCCATATTGCCTCGACTTCCTACTACCCGGTTACGTCGATGCCCCGGCGGTCGATTGTGAAGCAGGTTTACTTCGTCTACTTGAGGTTGGCTCGCAGGCGATCACACCTTTTTCCGAATCGTACCGACGGTACGCAATCGCAGACCCCTGTTGCTGACTACCTCCCCTGCCACCTTGTCAGTGGCTAGTGGCCCACGCCAGCCCACATTGTGACCACCTGTGATCCAGAGATCAACACCATTGGCACAGCAACAGCCTCGAGATAAATGCTTATCCAGGACGGCACTTGCTGACAGTGCATTCTCGGTCACGCCCTGTTGATCGTGTCCACTGACGACGTCACCGTAGTGTGGTGTTTGCGGACCCAGAGTTCTCGCCCCTCTCCCGGCGCCACAAACTCGACCGGCGCACCCGAGAATCACCATCTTCGGCGTTCCAGGCGCCTCAAGCTCTCCGACGCCTCACGCTCTCCGGCGCCTCGGGCCAGACTATGTGAAACGGTCGACACCCCAACCCTAGATCTGTTTGCCTCATATCTGAATGTGGCCAGCTGTCGTCTTCCATTCCACCTGTGCCGGATACGACCGCTGTGGCAGTCGAAACCTTCCATCGTTCCTGAGAAGGATTACGCGCGTACGCTTTTACGACTCCGGTTCTCCCTCCCACGGTTCTTCAGAGATCCAGGCCACTCGACCCCTGCCATTGACTTTGGTCTCGCCTTATTGGTCAGCCAGAAGTTGGGTTATCGACCTCCGAAACATAGCCAGAGACAACCCCTGGAACTTCCGGTGTGGTCCAACCTTCTGCTCCATCCACACGGTCTGTTAGAATGAGAAGCCACACCCTCATACCCGCATGTTATCGTCTGCACGCCTGACACACATGCAGAAAGCCAAGGGCTATTCGGCTAGAGCGACCAAGGCTATTGCTTCAGCCCACCGTCCATCTACAGGGGGACTGTATGCTGATAAATGATGCTTGTTCCAGGCATTTTGTTCTGACAAACACCAGGATCCGATGACAGCGTCACCGCAGATCCTGGATCAGTTCCTTCTGTACTTGTGTAGCACCCATCGGTTGAAGGGCTTACCACCCCCACATACCTGGTCGCCATCTACTCCGTTCTGGCCATCCCGGACGATCGGAGAAAGACGAAAATTCCCGACCTACGGGCCTGGCTGCGCTCGTTCAGTCTTGAAGACCTGAAGACCAAGTTTGGACCGCCTGCGTTGGATCTGAATGTGGTCTTCAACGCCCTTCGAACCACTCCCCTCGTCTTCCTTCTACGACCTTAAGTAGAAGACGGGTGTTTCTACTGGTTTTGACTACTGCCGCTCGAGTCCATGTACAGCACGCCCTCGACGTCTCCCATGCCCGGTTCGAATGCGGTACCCAGGGCGCCGTTCATCATGGACCGTACTGGGACGTCAGCGTAAAGACTCAACTCCCAGGACAGCCTGATTGATCATTCCTTGTCCCCTCCCCCCTCGTCCAGTGCGGGTGCCGAGGATGAGGATGAGCGTCATTATGCCCAGTAAGGGCACTGAAGGTTATTCTACGATCTAAAGACTGCCGCAAGTCTAGGAAACACCTTTTTCTGCCGGTCTCCCCTTCGTCGCTGTCGTTGGTCAGCCGGAATACTTTTCCCTGTGGCTCCGGGCGGTCATCCTTAAAGCGTATGAGCCGCCGGATTGGACCCTCCCCCCAAAGGCTATTACCTGAAATAAAATGAGATCAGGGCGATCGTATTTACACTGGTTCTTCACGGTATACTGTTCCATCCCGTCGTTCAG